TTGACCAGAAGTGGTTTTCTTTGTTCATGCATTTTCCTGATAGTGTGACATTCCAGTAACTCTGCACAGGCTCGCAGAGAAAGATGTTACCGAAGATGCCCCAAGCCGTGGCACCGAAGACCAGGATAAGAAGCACGTTACATATCCAGACGATCTGAGGGATGACTAGGAAGAGGCGAAGATATTGTACCAGAAATGAGGCTTTGACAAGGTTGCTTGCCAGGTGGTAGAGGATAGTCTGGGCGAGAACAAGCTACAAACAGTCAACAGTCAACAGTGTGCGAAGCCTAATGGATATCACGCACCTTCAGCATAGCAGCAAGCGAGGGTGATTCAAGGCCTCCTTGCTTCAGATCCTCTCCGTCGATGCTGAACTCTGTATTGCAGTCAGCTTTTCCTTCCTCATGCAATGTTTGATTGGGTGTCTTGCGTCCAGCTACTACGGCCGCGAATCCGATGGAGAATACCTGCGAGAATCAGAATGTTGCTTTAAATACTGCCCAGATTACTTGTGCTGGTTACCATGGCTGCAGTGACGATGTAGTCTTCCGGCATAACTGTAGTTGATGTTACTCGGCTGCACCATCGCAAACCCACCACAAGTGAGGCGATCGCAGTGAAGATCACAGTAGGAATCAAAGTCTCATATCGTATATCCGCTGTTGCTTTTGATCTCAGGACGAACCAACTTGGAGATTGATCGTGCATTTGATGAGGAAACGATGGGATCGTTGAGTGGAAGTCAAAATGAGCGCTTTCGGCGTTTGCAGAACAGCAAGGCGATTGTCTTCTAGAATAAATGTCCAAAGTCATCAGCCGCATTCCTTTGTGGGCACATGCAAACGCGGGCTGGACCAATCTACATGTTCCTGAGGGGCACTGCAATTCTGGTCGCTATGATGCCGCAGACCCACTGTGATAGCTCCTGGCCAACTATAAGCTCAGCTGGGGGGTAAACCATGGTACCTAGGAACTATTTATGAGGGGACAGAACAAAGATCGTTCAGCACCTCAGTTCAGAGAATGTTCGAGAATTTACACAGCTACTCCCCAAAACAATGAATGAGTCAGGCGAATACACCACATGGTGATCATCGATCGTGAGATAGCCGTTGTGCCAAAGTGTGGTTCACTAGTGGATCGGGCCACGCTGAACCGGAATACACAGACTGGATGATATCATCTTGATGTTTACTCACTCTTTCTATGAGACCGCCATGGTGTGTAGACAGGACTCGCAGATCATGTAGTGGGTACATAGAAGCAAACACCAAAGAGCGCGTTCACACCGCATTTCATGAAAATTGAGACGACTTGATCGAGTTCTGGAAACAGTGTGTGGAAGGTCGCGGCAGATTGTATCGTATACATGTGTAAAGGGCACACTTGTGAAATGCAGCAAAGTGAAAGGTGAACGCTGCGCAGGGTGCCGGGTCTTCGCATTGCCTAAAGGGATACTTACAGTGACTCCTTCTAAGAGAGCGCACATGTAAGGGTACACCTCAGCAGGTTGGCTGATAGAGATCGGTCCGAATCTCCCTTGGAGGCGTGGAGGCTTTTACGCTAGGTGCTGTCAATTGTCATGTGTCGGACACTATCTGGGCCGACTATACTTCTAGATGTGCATGAAGTATGGCCCCTTAGCGGCTTAACAGCATGGCGGCCGCGTTGACAGGTAGGGGACCTCTTTTGAAATGCCCTCGACGGACGCGTACCGGGTATGGTTGCCGACACGACACAGGGTTTGACGTCAGATCTAACAGGAGTTGAATGTGAGTATAGGCTCAGTTGCAAAGCATTTAACCCGATCAGCCTCCTCTCGCACACTGCAGTGGCATCAGAGCGGCACGTCCACATAGAGAGTTACATCGGCATGATGCTCATAAAACGTTTCAGAAATCACAGGTTGTCTACAGTTGGTGGAAACGGGTATGCCCAGCTCGTAGGCACACAGCTGTTTACAGATTTGTCACTGCGGGATGCCTTAGTCTGCGCCCCGTGTAGGATAGGATCTTTGGTGGCTGCCTGGGTGGAGCCTTCCCAGGCTGACTGCGGTGAACGTGTGATAAGCGGTGTGCGCTTTGGGGTGATGCTCTATTGCCTTGCGTGCTTTTGTCACCAAGATGCAGAGAAGAGGCTATGACAACAGGCTCTTGGGGCAAATTGCGCATCCGACCAGGGGTCCACCCTCCTTACAAAGGACCTCGCGGTCCGCTTAGCGTGCAGCTGGCACCGAGATGTCTTTCCCGTTTAAGGTAGTCCATTCATAAGGCTTGCTCTGCCAGCAGTGCACGATCATCATCAACACCAGCGGCTGAGGCGCTTTAGACACCGGACATGGGCATATTCGCGGACCGAGCTTCAGAGAACATGCAGGTGCATGCGAGATCGTTAAAGTTGCGTTTCGAGGAAGTGAGACCGGAGGAACTAGCAGCCGTTAGCGTCGAATTCGCGTGAGGAATTTGGAATAAACACCACCAGACTGTCGGTAAGTCAACACGGAATGTCGCGTATACGCCGTATGAGATTGGCGATTCCCGAGGCTCTGGGATTTGTCAAGCAACACACGATTTTCGTCCTCGTGGCATCTAGCAGTCCCTTATGTGAAGCAGGCCCATCCATGTCGCTCGGTTGCGATTGGTCAAATCTCCAAGGATTTCGTATTGCGATTGGATAAAGGTTGTTTCGCGACGATCTCCCGTGCGACTCTGCGCGTCTGCACTCTGATTACTGTGTCATTGACGACAACAAGGTTGCCATTCTTATCACAATATCGTGATTTGGAAATTTGGTCCATCATCCTGCAAGCCCTAGTCGTAATCGTGCCGGAGCACGTTTCGGAGTTCAGCATGGTATTCGACTTTTGGGATTTGTTATCGTTCGCATCTTGCTTGACAAATTATCCCCAGGCCTTATATGGGTCGCGGGTGTCCACGTTTCCAGCAGACCAAAATGTCTTCTCCTGCTACAAGCTCAACTGGCTCTCAGTCTTCATCCACTTCTTCTCCAAGGATCATGGCTTCTACCACCCATCATGCGTCGTCGCATCCTTTCCTATCACCTGCACACGCCTCGGACATATCATCATGGACAACTTCATTACCCAGACCCCAGTTGTGTCCGTCGACAGAGTCTCATTCCGCACTTCAGTCCCAGGAACAAGCTATCGAGGCCTACCGACAAATGAAAGCTGCACTATTCTCGAGAGCCATGAGCCCTAGCATAACCAAGCCCGCATGAGCATCTCGCGGAGGCGCGGTTCTCCGCCGGATACCATATGCCAACCCACACATACTACTGAGACGACTTACATTTAACGACCAATGGTGTCATACGCCGCTTTATACGGCAGATACCTGGAGGCTGGAACCTCGACGATACCCTAATGGCACGGAGCGTTGCTAGCGCAAACGACGGAGATACTGGTGGTCTGAGAGCCGACATATGGTGACGACGCCATATGATTAGTCCAGATTCATTCTTGGTGGACATTGCAGTCCGGAACGTCCTCATGGTTCGAGACGTAGGGCGACGCTAGAATATCACTACTGTTAATTCACGGCTCTTCAAGAGTTCTCGAACGTTTGGTTCCACGTCATTGCATGTTGTGCGAGTCTGGCCCATCTTGAAATCCGTCTCTTGTACACCGGTGAACTTCCTGGCAACCGCTGCATGCAGCCCTGGAGGTACCTAGGTATGGTCGTGCCCTGCTTTGTGGGAGGCGAAGTCCTGTGTAGCCAATGTCGGACCTTCTGAGATACTGTTCATACTCGAAGCTAACCTGATGCTGAGACAAAACCGAAATCACGCCAAAAGAGGCTTTGTGGAAGCTCGGTTGCGACATTGCTCAGGATGCGTGAAATGGCAGAGCCACATCATCGGCTTGGCACTTGGGCATGGCCTTATCGATAGCGCGATGGGTCCGTGCATCAAAAGTTCGCCGAACGCGACTCTGCGCGTTCGCAAACGAAGACAGCAACATCACAAGCCAGCCAACCCTTCGCGGCAATACCGATACTGCAGCCAATCACAACATGTCTGGAAACACGCCCAAAACCATGTCCAAGGGACTGATGGGGATGAAGGTACGCAGGGCACTACTGGATTACCCTAGGAATACGCTGAACGCGAGTAGTTTATGCAGCGCGCGGCCGCAAAATCTTCGCCCTCGACGCCCAATGGCCCGCCTAGCAAGAAAGCACGCCTTTCGAATGGTGCATCTGCTGTAGGAACCTCGGATCACGACATCATACAATCGGGACTGGATGCGGAAGAAGCGAAGCGCCAGGCGGCCCTAGACAAAGCTGCGCAACATGCGGGTGAGACAAAGTGGGTGTTGAGTTTCAAGGACCCTCTTGAAGGAAAGAGACAAGATGCAATGAAGGTTAGGCAAGCGGGATTCGCTGAGCTCGACGCAGAGGACGAGGACGAGGACGATGAGGAAGATGTTAAGCCTATAAGAATGCAGTTCGGCGGTGGTGTCAAGAAGAAGGCAGATGTGTGTACAATTTGCACTTGCGATAGAATCAAACTGACGAAATGCAGACAACGGTGCCTTTTGTCAAGGCCGAGAACTCAGAATCAGAATCCGAGCATTCTTCAGACGATTACGATTCGGACGATCCTGCCGCAGATCTGATCCGACAGACCAAGCGCGAAATGGCCACGGAAAAGCGCGAATCCAAGAACAAGCGGGGCGACGATTCCGTCAAGGCAACACCGAAGCGACAGAAGGACAATGGCGACCTACAGGGCTTGACATCGATATCAGGCAGTCGACGGTCCGGAGGCGGGGGCGGCTTCGGTGGCATGGCCAACATGGAATGCTACAAATGTGGGCAAAAGGGACATATCTCAGCCAACTGCTCGTCTACACCACGAGGATCTGCAGGCAAAGGCAAAGGCCGGAGGTAGCCGCGGCGACGTCTTCTCGATGTATTTGTACACTTGGTCCGGTTCAATGATACCCCATGAAGACTCCGTCTTCAGTTGCACTTTGGTCATCCGACCTTGTCCCCGTCTTGGATGAGCATGTACTCGTCTCCGACCATCATCTTCATTTGGCTGTCGTCCATGAAGTTGTCGTGATCGCCATTCAAGGCAGCGCCGTCTTTGTCGTACATGAACTTGGCCAGCGCCAGATAGTCGGGGAAGACGAAGGTGCAGATGGCATCGTAGTCCATGAGTTTGGCTTTGCCGTGCATAATGTCTTGTATGGCTTTTCGATCCCGCTCTAGATGGTATGTCTGTGGCGGTCTCAGCTTGGGTGCTATGTAGTGGACTGCGCTCGGGCTGTACAAGGCTGTAGCTGAGGATGCCATGGCGCTGCAGGATGGGAACCGCGCGCTGTGCGTGGTTGTTGTTATAGTACTCGATAAAGTCGGCATCCGACATGCCATCTTTCTTCTTGATGTATATAGTCGCCTTGACAACCTTTCTGAAGCCAGTCGTGTTCGCGTAACCTGCTTGAAATGCCTTGGGTACCATGTTGTCACGTAGACGAAGATCAACGGTGACGGGCACGGGCAGTAGCCAGCCCTAGTGTCTTATCGACAATGCAGGGCCCACCGTATCTGACGTTGGTCGTTACCACAACGCCGGACGCTGCTGCATTCATTGTTTGGTGAGTAGAGCCGCACTCAGCGCCTGCCACTTCCCCGCCACAATATACGCTGTCCCTCACCGCCTCTTGTCTGCCACAGCTGCAGGCAACTCATTAGTCTCGGACCATAGTGAATCACCAGCGGACCCGCCTGTCCGACCATAGTCCGCTCCACCGCACGTCTTGTGGATGCTCCCATCGCTAGGCGCACGACAGTCTCTGGGAAATCTGTCGCTGGTACCACGACACCGAACACTCGTTCCCAGGCTACCGGTTGCCTGGTCGATCGCACAGTACACAGCATCGTCATCACACTGCTCAGCCTCGACTCGGCTCGCCACCAGTAACCTCGGACCACGCCCCATACATAACCCGCTTCGCTGCCAGGCCGCCGTCGTCCCGCTACCAGCTACACATCGCGCCCTTGCGACTTCGCTGAGAAGAAAGCAGTCAGCCGCCATGGCGGAAGAGCTAGGAAGAGAAGCCGGGGGGAGGTCGCGCATAGAAGACCTGGAAAGGCCACAACTCGACGATCGTTCCTACCGAATCATCACTCTACCAAATCAACTAGAGGTCCTATTGATACACGAGGCGGGGACGGACAAGGCTAGTGCGGCTTTGGATGTCAATGTGGGCAGCTTCAGCGATGCGCCGGATATGCCGGGTATCGCGCACGCGGTGGAACATCTGCTGTTCATGGGGACCGAAAAGTACCCAGAGGAGAACGCCTACAACCAATATCTGACACGCCACGGCGGGTATTCGAATGCCTTCACAGCCTCTACCTCAACCAACTACTACTTTGAGCTTTCATACCCTTCCTCCACACCTGCGAGCAGCCAAACCGCATCGCCAGACGTGTCACAAACTAATCTGTCAGAGTCCAAGGACGAGTCGCCGCTATGGGGAGGGCTGGACCGCTTCGGCCAGTTCTTCATCAGTCCTCTGTTCTTGGAAGACACGGTCGATCGCGAGCTCAAGGCTGTGGACTCAGAGAATAAGAAGAACCTCCAAAATGATACCTGGCGGATGCATCAGCTTAACAAGGCATTGGCCAATCCAGATCATCCCTACAACCATTTCTCGACCGGAAGCTACAAGACCCTCCATGACGAGCCCATAGCACGAGGCGTGAAGATTCGAGACGAGTTTATCAAGTTTCACTCAACGCACTATTCTGCAAACCGGATGAAGTTAGTCGTCCTAGGCCGAGAGAGCCTTGACACACTGGAAACATGGGTGGAGGACATCTTCGCTAAAGTCCCGAACAAGAACCTTGGACAAAATCGATGGGATATGCCCGTTTACACTGGGAATGAACTGTTGACACAGACGTTTGCCAGACCAGTCTTGGAATCACGGTCGTTAGAGCTTACATTCGCCTATCGCGATGAAGAGAAGTTCTACGAGTCACATCCTTCAAGATACCTTAGTCACTTGCTCGGTCACGAAGGTCCCGGTAGCATCCTTGCACACATCAAAGCAAAGGGCTGGGCGAACGGACTTGGTGCTGGAGGCTCTACCCTGTGCCCTGGCTCAGGGCTGTTCACTGTCAATATCAAATTGACCGAGGAGGGGCTCAAGAATTACAAAGAGGTTGCCAAGCTTGTCTTCCAATACATCGGGTTGATGCGCGATCAGCCGCCTCTCGAATGGGTAGTCGAGGAGCAAATGCGGATCAGTGAAGTGGAGTTCCGATTTAAGCAAAAGAGCCCACCTAGCCGCACTGCCAGTGGTCTCGCCGGCATCATGCAGAGGCCTTACGACCGCAAGATGCTTCTGAGCGGTCCAGCCATCATCAAGAAGTTCGATGCCCAGCTGATCAGTGAGGCTATGTCCTACCTTCGACCAGACAACTTCAGGATGACGATCATTAGTCAAGATTTCCCAGGTGGATGGGATCAAAAGGAAAAGTGGTATGGAACAGAGCACAAGGTCGAAAAGATACCAGAAGACTTCCTTGCCGAGATCAAACAAGCTTTCGAGAGCAAGAGCCGGCCGGCAGAGCTACACTTCCCGCACAAGAATGAGTTCATCCCAACCCGGCTCGAAGTAGAGAAGAAAGAGGTTGAACAGCCGACCAAGGAGCCGAAGCTTATCCGCCACGACGACAACGTGCGCATCTGGTGGAAGAAGGATGATCAGTTCTGGGTACCCAAGGCTAACGTTCATATCTACTTCCGAACACCCATCACCAACGTCACAGCTCGTATCACGTTGTTGTGCACAATCTATCGCGAGCTTGTAAATGACGCTCTAGTGGAATATTCCTACGACGCTGACCTATCCGGTTTGGTCTACGACTTCACCAACCACATCAGTGGCCTTTCGATTACCGTTAGCGGCTACAACGACAAGTTGCACGTATTACTGGAGAAGGTCTTACTGCAAGTACGGGATCTTGAAGTATCGGAAGATCGTTTCAGGATTATTCACGACCGCATGCTACGTTCTCTACGCAACTGGGAGTACGGGCAGCCTTTCCATCAGGTTGGGACATACTCTCGGCAGTTCAAGAGTGAGAAGAGCGTAATGAACGACGAACTTCTTCCAGAGCTTGAGAATGTGACGGCTCAGGACGTACAGCAGTTCTTCCCGCAAATCCTGGCGCAATGTCAAATCGAGGTTTTGGCACATGGCAACCTATACAAGGAGGAAGCTCTGAAGATTACTGATCTAGTAGAACGTACTATCAAGCCAAGGAGACTGCCATCGAACCAGTTACCTACACGCCGAGGACTCATCTGGCCATCCGGCAGTAACTTCATCTACGAGAAACAACTAAAAGATCCCCAAAACGTCAATCACTGCATCGAATATAGCTTATATGCCGGTCACCGTTACGACAGCGTCACGCGCGCCAAGCTCCTGCTTCTTGGGCAGATGACGGACGAGCCGTGTTTCAACCAACTTCGTACGATTGAGCAGCTTGGCTACGTCGTATTCTCTGGCCCTAGCTTTCACGACATTTGGTCAGGATATCGCATTCTCATCCAGAGTGAGAAAGATTGTCGGTACCTTGAAGGTCGCATCGAGAACTTCCTCAATACGTTCGAGCAGACACTAAACGACATGAATGAGGAAGACTTTGAGAGTCACAAGCGTGCGATGATCAACAAGAGGCTCGCGAAACTGAAGAATCTATCTTCGGAGGACAATAGGTTCTGGAATCATATTTATAGTGATTCGTATGATTTCCTGCAAGGTATGCTGTCACCTAGACCCGTGCACTAGTGCATTTCTAACGAGTATACAGCCGATGTTGATGCCGCGACTATCGAGAAGCTTACAAAGAAGGACATGGTAGACTTCTACAGTCACTACATCTCGACTTCATCCTCTCAAAGATCCAAACTCTCAGTGCATCTACAAGCGCAAGCCAAGGCCAAGGAGCCCTCGCTCGAGGAGAAGAAGACTGCCGCCGCCGCTGCGCTCAAAATTATTCTCGCAGAACACAAGATCACAACCAATGACGAAGCTTTCGAGGCTCGCATCAAGGACGCATCGGCCAATGCGGCTATCTCGGATGCAGTTGCCAGCCATCTCACTGACGATCTCAAGATCGAGAAGGAAGTCGCGAACAAGATCCTCGACGAAGCAAAGGCTGCATTGGGTGTAGCAGATTCAGGTCTGCCGGCCGCGCCTCAGGCTCTGGATACGAGTGCAGATGTCAAGAGCGTAGTGGATGCTTCACAGCCTGTTCTTATCGAGGATGTGCATGCTTGGAAGGCGAGTATGCAAGTCAGCACCGGTGTCCGACCGGTGCGAAACTTGGAAGACTTTGTCGAGGTTGCTGAGAAGCTATGAGTAAAACTACCGCGCTGAGCTTTCTGTTCAGCAATATATCGAAGAAGAACATGGAGATGCATTATGAGGATGTAGAAAAAAAGGAAGGGGTGCAGCTTCGTTCCCATGTTAGCGTAGTTTCCCTCGATCTATAAATCAATCATACGTATTGCAAGTGTCTGATCTATGATCTCTGATCAGCCATCTGAACCGCGTCCCATTGTCTCGTTAGATCAAGTTCCCATCGCAAAGGTCTCCGCCTCGTCACTCTTCACGAAGCCGACAGGCGAACCGAAACACCACGCACGTGGGAACTCTATACCCCATTTGGCCATCAAGCTCCGCAAATCTTCTTCTGTACCTGGAATTACATTGATGAATACTCGATCGGCATCACAGCGGGGTTCCGAATGCACTGCCCCTTCTTCTCCGCCTATTCTGAAAAACGCCACTTCTCTAGAAGCCGGGGTCTCACGCTCCACATCTTGTAGAGAATGTACGAGTGACTGACGTACGGAGTCACTATACGTGGAACAGCCTACGCAGCATATTGATGTACAGGTATGATCACCCAACTTCTCTTTCTCGCTCTTCTTGGTCTCCCTAAGCACTCTCAGCGCCATCTCATTATGTTTTGCGAAGAGAGTGCTTGGTCCGAGGAGTGTGGTACAGAGCTTCCATGACCTTTGCGTACTAGACTGAGCCAGACCAAAGCCAGTGGCTTCAGCATCGTAGGCGAAAACGTTCTCATCCGTGTGCCAGCGTGGTGTATCGTATTCGTGGGTTGTCGCGGTGCAGCGGATGGTCAGCCAGTAATTGTGGATGTTCGCTGCTGACAAGAAAGTCTGTAGCCAGGAGAGGAGAGGGAGGAGCCGGTGTATCAAAGTGGCGGGAGAAGACAGTGTAAGTGATGCCCAGGTGTGGAACGACGGTGGGAGGGACGTGGTGCTTGCGTGGAGGAGAGGACCGCAATATGTCCATGAAGAAGGGCTGAGTACTCTGAGCCGTGATGGGGATGTACTATCAGCTTTGAGGTCTTCTGACGAGGCATCGTTTGGTATGGTCGTAGGTGGGTATGGAATGAAAGCGTGGGAGCCGTATTGCGGTAGCGGATCGATGGCTGGCGTTGAAGCATTGTTTATCGTCTTGAATGAGGGCTGCACATTTTCAATTGAGCTGGGCTCATCTTCGTAGAATAGTAACATGTTGAGCGAGTTTGCTCTCAGTACGATTGAGAGAGTTCTGCAGATGCTTCTGCAGCGGTTCGTAACTGAAAATAATTTGACTTCTGGAACTACGTGTTTTACGCGCTTTGGTCACACAGGGCGTCTGATTAGTGGTTGATGTTTAGGGCGTGGTGGCACAGGGGGCGCGGCATCAATCCTTTGACGGACATGTATATGCCACGCATTATTCAAAGAGAGCTCGGAATGTCGCCAGACCGAATTGCGCGAATAACACTACCAGGTCTACCCGTCAATGCGGGAGTTGGCAAGGTGCTGCTACCTAGGTGACCGGTAGACGCGACCGACGTGGATCGGCCCGTCAGTGTTCCGACGGCTTCGTCATACTTGACGAAGGCGCAGTGGCAGCTCTCCTCATGGAAGCACAACACCGTGTAAGGCGTAAGGAGCCACTCGGGCCGGAAGGTTGAGAAAAGGAGGAGGAATTGCTACAGCCAATATGCTACGACGAACCATTCTGCGGTCGGCCGCGCGCCCACCACAGCTCCTTCGCAGCCCACACACGCGCCGCTATGCGACAGAGCCGCCAGCCTCTCCCGCGTCCTCCCAATCGCGCATCGAGCGCTTCAATCGCCGCTTACCAAGATTCCTGCACAAGTACACCAATGCGCTCGGAAATGCGCCGGTCACGCACATAACGTCGTTCCTCCTCCTCCACGAGCTCACGGCCGTCATCCCTCTGTTCGGTCTCGCTGGCTACTTCCACTACACACATTGGCTGCCTCCGTGGTTCGCAGAAGGGGCTTGGATAGCGTCAGGTGTCGAGCGCTTCGGTCGGTACTTCAAGCGCAAGGGCTGGATACGCAGCGATGAAGCGCTGGAAGCCGAACGTGAGGTCGACGAGATCCAGAAGGATGACAAACAGAGGCAGTGGATGAAGAGTCAGGGTTTGTTGTCACATTCCGATGACGACGGCATCGGCAGCGAGACTAAGAGGCTGAGGAAGGTGGACCAGGCATGGAACATCAGCGAAGGCGGTGTCAGGCTGGTCGTCGAGTTTGCGACGGCTTACGCGATTGTCAAGATGTTCTTGATTCCGAGAATCGTGTTCAGCGTATGGGCTACTCCCACCTTTGCGCGATGGACGGTCGCCCCGGTCTTGAAGAAGTTCCGCGCGATGTTTGAGAAGAAGGGGAGCGGCGCGCCTGGAGCGGGGACTGGTGCTATCGAAGGAGGTCCTATACCGAAGAGTGGAAATGGAAAGACTTGATCATCCAAGTGGGCTCTAGTTGCAGACAGGCCCTCGGTAGGTACTCTAGGTCTGTACTGTACATACCATTGTATCGCTGAATGCAGATACATGGTAAGCATTTCTCGATTGGCTACTTCCCAAGTCACGCCTTACTATCGATATCGCGGTGAAGTCTGTATCTCCCTCATCTTGTCATTCGCGTCATAGGCCGCCGTTTGTTTCGCTCATTGTCGGCTTTCTCGGCTGTTTCTTTCCCTCATCTCCAGTCCCTATCCAGCCCAATTCCACGGCCAGCAAGATGTGCTTCAACGACGACGATTACAGCTACGAGTCCAGAGTTGAGGTTCGCAATGGCCAGCGCTACTACACCGAGGATTACTATCCCCGCTTTGGTATGTCCAGACGCCGCAGGTATGGCCTCGGCGGCTCGTACTACCCTTCGCGTTACTACGACCAGACCCCCAGAGGCCGCTATATGAGCCGGGCAGTCACATATCCGAATCGGTACTCTCAGTACAGCGGCGGATACCCAAGTGGTGTCGTTCCCGGAGGTTATTCTAGGGGTGTGATCCCGGGCGGCCACTCCCAGGCCATGGTTCCTCGAGGGTTTATAGGAGGTGGGCATCCCGGTCATTCGTCTGCATATACGTACGGTACCGGATACCATGGCGGTGCTCGTAACGTTGTGCCGCTCAATCCCGCAATGGTAAGTTCCCGCTTGTTTTTCGTTGCCCCGATCGCGGTTGTTTGCGACTTCCCTTTACTACACCGCTGCCTTGCCCCGCCATCATTGGCTCGCATGTATTCTTGAACATCGCGTGGCTCTCGGCCTTTACTGCCGCGACACCATCTTTCCCTCGATCTTGCTGTATCTCACTCCGACCTTCACCTCCTTCCTCCTCTCGCCCTGCTCCACTGTAACCGCGCAATTCCCACCGACCGCCATCGCGACTTGCCTCCTTCACAACTCTCCTAGTCATCGTCCGATCGGCCCTTATCCATCAACTCTTGCAATGGAGGCGTACCCAAAGCCCCGCCACCAATACATCTACAACCCTCGTTACGGCCAACGCGGTTTCCTCTCCTATGCCGGCCAAGCCGCGAATGGCGCCGCGCCCACTGGCGTCATAGGCGGCGGCTATGGCTACGGTGGGCTCGGAGGCGTTGGCGTCGGTATGGGTGTCGGATACGGGGTGGCCGCCTACCAACCTGCGGTATACACCCGTCCCTTGTACCCTCAAACCTACGCCACCAACTACTTTCCCCAGAACTACTATGCCTCAAATTATTCTTACCCTTCCTATGGCGGTGGCTATGGCTACTACAACTACAACTTGTATGGCTCGCTGTACCCACTTGCTAACTTCTATTACCCCTACCAGAGGACCTACTACAACACTGTGCCTAGCTACGGCTACTCGGCGCACGTCTATCCACCCGGACCAAGTACAACTACCACAACATACCATGTGACGAACAGTCAACCACAAGGACCGCAAGGCTTCTCAGGCCCAAGGACGGTCAGAGAGACAAGGCCAGCATACGTTCACGGTCACACACAGCAAGGTCCTACGCGCGAAGACATCCAGATGGAAAATCGGAGGATCGCGACTGAGCGTGGCTCGTACGACCCGCGCAAGATTAGGCCAGCAGATGCACGCGACGACGATCCTTTCTGGTGTCGCGAGCTCAATGGCGAGTGGCATCTCAGGTCCTACTACCAGATTGAGAACGAGTGCCATCCTGGCCGATGGATGATGGACGCTGACGTTGGCTTCCTCGTCTTCCACCGCGCATGATCGGAGCGTTCTTCCACAGCTAGCGACGCGCTCATCAGAGACAAGAAGTGGTTGATGATACGGACAAGAAGGAGTGGTCCACATCACGTTAGGCATCAACGGCAATGAGACAACGGAGTGACAGGATCTACGGTTTCCACGATTTTGTTCATGTATAGGGCGGTGGATACTTCTGCCTAGGTATACGAAGCAGCAAACCATGACATTGGCGTTGAGGTTATGAAGCCCAGGCGTTATCAGGAGTGTTTCTTGGGAGGGTCAGAAAAGCGACGGCGGAATTGCGACTGCACAATAGACTATAATAACATAACATACTGCTCAAACATTCGGATTCGGCTCTCGCACTTCCCACTCTTATGGTATTGTTTCGTTATTATATCCTTGACGTTTCAAGTTCCTCATGCAAAACTCATCGAGTCCAACACAGACTCCACGTCGCTCGCGAACAGGTCCATCTTAAGTTCCTGCACTTCACATCTTCTCTCCCTGAATCGTGGCAACCACCTTCCGTGTGTGCTTCGAATCTCTGAACTCCAGGTACCATATACCTTGCCATGTGCCCGTGTTCAGCTTTCCATTTGTGATCGGAATCGTGACGCTCGCGCCAATCAACGCAGACTTGACATGCGCGGGCATGTCATCACTGCCTTCTGCATCATGGCGGTACAGCCCCTGGCCCTTCTTGTCCTCCGGTACAATGCGGTCCAACGCTGTGCTCATGTCCGCGCGAACATCCTGATCCCAGTTCTCATTCAAAGACAGCGCGCACGATGTGTGTTGAATGAAGAGGTTCAGCAGGCCAGTCTTGTAGTTCTTGATCTCGGGGACTTCTTTGAGGATGTGGTCGGTGATGAGGTAGGAGCCGCGCGACCGGCTGGGGAGGGTGAGGGATTTCTGTGCCCTGGGGATTGTCAGCAACAAACAGACATATTGTAGAGTAGAAAAAGCAAGGACATACCAAGACATGATTGGTACGGAGGTGCAGACGTTCGGACTCTTGCACAGTACGCTTGCGCGCGGTTGGGGTGTTGGTACGAGGTAGTTTGCGAGGCTGTTGTAGGGCGCCCAGAATATGCCGACAAAGAGGCCTGGGAATAGCGCGATTACGAAGATGAAGACGATCAGGAAGGTCGTTAGATGTGAGCTTGTAGAGTGTGGTTGCGGCATTGCGTTGAGCTAAAGTTCGGAGAGTTGAGTCGCGTTATGTGGGGTGCTGTGACGTCAGAGGAGTGTCGCGGTGGGGTTAGGTCGTCTTGAATGTAAAGAGCATGTCCGTCTTCAAATTTCACACCCAACATACGCACATGAGATACGCATTGGTTGTATGGTCACTGACGCAGTAAGAATGGGTGTCCGTGCTAAGCCAGTGCTGAATCACCCGTAGTGAGGTCCTTCCGCTGGGCACAGCCTCGTTCTCTGCTCATCCGCTTCTAACTCATTAACAACGACTTCAATCGACCTTCAGGGCCTTCAGGACGCGCTTCCTACGCGTTTTTTGTGTGCCTTCAAAATCACTGAATCGATGGTAAATGCATGTAAACTAGGATGAACGTGCAAAGCACCATTCTGACTGCAGAAGAGAGACTGCGAGTGCGATACCCTCACTTGGAGTGCCTGGTTTCATCTGACGTAGAGGAAACCATCGGAAACTGTGCCTTCGGATCATGAGCCAACAAATATCTCAAGCTTTCACAGGATAGGAGTCCGAAAGATCATCCGCCTGCAATGTAGTTTGCTTTCTTTGAGCCAGAGTTGTACAAAAGTGAAGCACGTTGGGTCCTACATGTACAACGGACATATCACCAGCATGCTCAGGTTTGACGCATGCCAATGTCTCACATAGCCCTGACGATTGTGAAACGAGACCTTATTTTCAGCTCAGATGGTGATCTCATCAACCATCCAGTTCAAATGAAGGCCTTTCTGCTCTTTGACATCGCCGTTAGAGTCGGTTGTCTTCCCGTATGCGCTGGCAGTGACTTGGGGATTTAAGCTCAGAGCATGTCAATATTGGTGGACTTGTAATGTATATCTTTCAGTACCATGAGGTGGAACATGAAGGCTGTCTCACATCCATATAGAATGACCACTCGACGCTGTCCGGTAAGAGATGGCTCAACTTGATTCGCGAAAGCCATGTATTCAGGGAATACACTCTGCTCTCGAATGATGATACCAAAGCGGAGCTCAATCCCAGAACTTTTTCTAGTTCAATGCGCATACATTGCATCTTTCAGAATACAGGCGAATACCGCGACCTCAACACGACAGAAGACGACAGTTTGTCAAAGTCTCAATTGCAATGCATATATACACCAGCCCTGATCTCTCTTCTGACTGCCTCGCTCTATCGCTGTGCAAGCGGCTCATCCGTAACCTTCTGCGTCTCGTTGACTTCCGCCGCATCGCCTTTGGGTCCAAGGGGGTATGATAGCTCGTGTTCAGGGGTGGCTTCGAGGAGCGGTCGGTGTTTCTCGTGTGCCTATAGAGGTAATTAGCGGTAGTTCTCTTGCCTTAACCAGCTCCAGTATCGGAAGGCTGAAATAGACACAATCCAAACGGGTACTTACGAATGGAAGTCCACAGTATGTGCACCAGCAGATCTGGGGCTTATCTACGTTGATGAAGATCCTTGGGTGTCCGAGAGGGCCACCGCCTCCGTCACAGGATACGGTACGGTCGTGCGTCCAGCGAACGGGCTGCTTGTGGATGAGCTCGATCGCGGCGTATGGGCGCGGCTGTACGATTGTATGTCAGCATATGAATCTCCCCTGCATAAACCAACCCTTTCTTCCACGGTTGTTTCCGTTCCTTCTTTAATGTCTGCTCCAAGGGATTTCGACATACCTGATCCTCCATAATGCTCTGCTCAAATCTTGGCCCACTCATCGCAACCTCCCTCGGGTTTTGACTCCGCGACCAAATGCCCTTGTAGTTCGGCGCCTGCTCAACCCTCAACTTCTCGGCTGTCTCTGGAGACTCCTGCAAGACCTTATCGAACGAACCCTCGGAAGACGTAGGCATCGCATTGGTCTCGGAAACGTTCGGCTTCGCATCGCGCTTGACAGGGTCGTTGGCGGGGACCTGGTTGCTGGTAGTCGCGGTGGAGGTGTAGCGGACGAAGGAGCGGGAGGAAGCCGCTGCGCTGCGAGAGCGCAGGGCGCGAAGGGCGATTGGGAGCATATCTGGCGAGATGTTGTAGCAGACGGGCTGCGCAATTGGTTGGAAAAGATGCCGTTTGGATGGTGAAGTTGAGCTTCCGACGGTTCGCGCTAAATCACTTACATAAGCGATCGTGTTATTGGCTTGCTTCCCTTCACACTCAACCTTCAAGAAAGGTGATTCCAAGAACATTTTCAAGACATCGCACTAAACTTAGATCCCGAGACTAGTGGAATCATTGTAATGAACTACTAACTTGGCCTGTGAAGACACGATCAACACAGTATAAATCGACATTGAGGAAGAGATACAATCGTACGGTACATATCGCATTTTCCTCCTCTGATATTCACGACTTCGACGCTTCCAGGTACTTATTATGGCCAATCACATTGGAAATCGGAACTTAAAGACATAAAAGCCGCAAAGAGAAAGACGTATCACGCGGAACTTCGATGGTCTGAGTCGAGAAGGCGATATGGAGTAGAAACACTGAAGGCTCAAGATCTGCCGGATACTGCTTCGCAAAGCACATCGATGAGTTCATCTGGAACCACCATCTGTACAACAGAATAAGCATGTAGAAGAGCCTAAGGATGACGCCCACACACCGCAGGGCTGATATGGTAGCCGAGTCGGAGATCGGCTCTCCGCTAAGCCCGGGCCCTTACCTACCCAACCTCGAACTCCAACACACCTAGGCATCAAACACCAGATACCATCACCCGGATCACAGACCTTTACAGTACTTTCCGTCATGGTTGGCTCAATACCAAACGATATATTCCAATTCTCCACCTATTCAGCTCTCAACGCCGGATTCAATCAAGGCCAACCTCGAACCGCAGATCTTACTTCTCACGGCACAGATGGCATTGGCGTTTACGAAGATGGCAGTCTCATGATTTTGAAAGACCGACAAGCTTACGCACTTGCCAAGGATGGAAAAGCAAAGTCAGCACCCATGAATGCACGCCTTCCTCTCGCATTGGTCACAGTATACCAGCCAACATTTCGTCTGAAGATCGGGTCGATGTCGCTGGAAGCCCTTGATGAGCTCGTTTCATCAGATGATGTGGGTCCAGCGAAGGGTGTGAATACTCTTATGCCCTTTAAGATCGCTGGTCGTTTCGATTCGATAGAATTCGAAGATGGGCCCAGTAGAAATGCAATCGATGGTACGGTGTTCGGCTTCGTGGTGCCAGCCTGGATGAAGGCCATCAGCGGCCCACGGATCCATGCCCATTTTCTGGACGCAAACGAAGAGGTCGGAGGGAAGGTCGTCGATTTCACGATGGCGGAAGAAGCAGTGTTCAGTTTTGCGAAATGCGGGAGATTTCATTTGGGCTTTCCGCAGGGAGGAGAGTGGGAGGAGGTGAAGTTGTGATTGGAGATGTGTGCTCGAGATTGGATCACTATCATCGTGTTGATCGCTTTATAGAATCGCCGCGATCGCCTGAGTGTGGTGACACTACCAAGCACTTAGACAACATGTAGCTACGCAGCTCCATCGATGTCGTCGTTCTTCCCCTTTGTTCTCTAACGCGTCCTCATCATCGATGTTTCAATCGCAACGGCATCGACGAACACGTCTCAGGGCTTTCTTAGACGACATAGAAATCCTCGCCGTTATCGTCGACTCATTGCGTTCTCTTGGATTCGTCGCATCATGCATCGTTCTTGATGTTCGTGCTGCTAGAATCAAGCCCATTGTCGACATAAACATGATGAATGGATATTCTGCGTCAAAGCTGCCTCCGGCACTCAGAGAAGTTGCTGAGGGCGTGATCGAGCAGCGTATGAGTGGTCGGTATGATCTCAACCCACCAATTCGTCAAATACGATCTCTTCGAGCCTCAAACCATCTGTTGACGAGTTCGCAGGTTTAAATGTAACTCAGTACTTACTTTTTGTTGATACTTGCACCCTTACAGTTATCGCTGATTTGTGTTAGTATGCAACGCTTGACAGATCCGCGTCGATGTCAAGGCATTCAGTGCATCGATCGGTCTTCGCGTCGGGCGAAACTTCCACCTTCTCACGGTACCAGCCCAGAATTCAGCATTCCTCGTAGTAGTTCAGCAACAAAAACCTTCATAGATGAGATGGTGCTGTTCAGGGTAGATGATTCTATACGTGGTCATCACTTTACTCTAACAACCGCACAATATCCTCATGTCCCAATTTGCGAGCAAGATTCAAAGCTGTTAACCCCACCATGTTCCTGTACTCTCTGGCCGTGCCTTTCTCTAAGAGAAATGAGACTGCCTCGGTATGGTGATTTTTAACGGCACAATGTAGCGCAGAGCCCCAACCTTCGTCCTCTAGTTGGCAAGGGATTATCTCGAGCCTTCCGTACGGGTGTGCATTGATATCGGCGCCTCGATCCAGAAGCTGCTGCATAATGTCAATGCTGCCTTCACTGGCAGCATTGAGGAGTGCCTTGGGCGCCTTTTCTAGCGATGCGTCATGTGCCAACAATAGCGCTGCCATATGCCTGTCATCTTTCCCACAGGCTATTTCGAGCGGGTTTTCGTTCGTCCGGGTGCTCTCGTCCACATGGGCGCCTTTTGACAATAGATGCGCAGCAATTTTTAGGCAAGCTGTATCGCCATCGGGATATCCTGGGCCTGTCTCCGCGTCACTGACGGTGGATCTGTTTACCTGTCAGTTGTTTCTGGGAGTCGAATGGTCTCCAGAAGGGTAGCGAAGGCTTACACAAGAGCGCTGCCAACATGCTCATAGGGCTCGTTGATATTCCAACCGTACGCCAGCGCCACATCGATGGCTTTCGTGTTCCACTCATTCTCCCCACATGCCCCATCCAGAACATATCCGATGGTGCAATCAGTGCACCTAGCACCACGCTTGAAAAGCTCTTCGGCCATGTCGTACCGGGCCAGCCCTAATGCTTCGTTGAGGGCATCGCTCAATCCGTTACCCCAACGCAAAGCATCAGGACCTTCAGCCTCGCGTTTCGAAATCACATCATGTAGGGTAGAGAGGTCTTTGGACTCGATAGCGGCAAGCATTTTTGTGTTGAAGTTATCTTCGTTGTTATCAGTAAATCCTGTCATTGCTTGAGTGATGTAGAAGATAAATTTTGAATGTGAATATCTTTTGCACTTGCGATTTGGAAAATGAATATTGCGGGCTTGGCAGGTGGGATTCAGCTGGCAAAATGGTAATGGGTTGGAGGGAAGAAGCCGAGGGCGGAAAGCCTTTCTAACATGCTGTCTCTTTAGTGTGGCGCAGTCAGGTCGTACAAGGCGTAGCAACATCCATTTCAGCCCTTTGAGCGCCCTTCAACGCCCTCGCACGTATAACGTACCTTTGATTTCTAACTGCCTCCTTATTGCACCCCGAACTATCTAATTTCCACCGCTCACACACTAGCTATACATCATCACACTGTCGCCCTTGGCACCTCCTCACTCTCTACAAGGCGTAGCATCCTTAGGTAGTCACAGCCCCAGCTAACCTGTCTAAATCCTGACGTAAGGCCTTACCCTCATACATACAACGCCGTCGTGGGGCTTCTTTACTGTGCAGGAACTAGCCAAGAATCACTTTTGTTACAGTCAAGGTCATTATTATCTCTTGGTACTGAGGCAACCTTGGAATAGTAAAGAAACCTAACATGAACGACGATGATGATTGCTATGCTGGCGAGCACGAGCAAAGCAATGCGAGACTTTTCGCCGCCTGGATAGGCACAGATCGTTCTTCTGCTCACCCAAACTGAAGCGATTGTAATGAAATTGTGGAGTCCATCACGGTGATAGTTCCTGAGGTCAGTAAGAGGCCGAAGGATGTAGACAACCTATAAATGATACACCGGGAGAAACGGAAGAGGAGTTTTATTGGGCCAGGTTGGTGGTGATACGAGGGTGAGCAGTAGCAGTCAACACGAGTCGGGTGGTGTAGAAGTATCAGGGTATCGTCTCTACCGGAACGGGCTCAGGGTACCTAGTCGTCAATTCGACCTCCTTGCGTATGCCATACTTTCGCGACTCAGCGGGTCCAACAATTGGTACAGCTCGTGAAAGCGCTCGATGCGACAGTGGTTCCTATGTTTGTGATGGTTCAACCTATTGATTTGGCTGATGGCGTTTGATAGCTGCGGCGAGTCGTCCGGAGCTTTCCACTTTCGGATAGCTTCGCCCCATCTGTGGCGCTGCTCAGGTGGTAACTCCAGCTGTACTACAACAACACAGCCTCGCTCCCTGCCATCGACTCCTTTCGTCTCTCTCACTCCGTCTCGAGCTTCATCAACACGGTGCGAAACTTCCGATATGACGAGAAATCACCCCAGCCTTCGCAAGGCGGCTTCGAACGCGGACCTCTACGCGGATCCGTCACCGCCCCGCCCGCTGCGGCATTCGTACTCCACGACACTTGGACGCGCTCACACAACCGCATCGCTACCTCAACGTCATCGGCAGGACCGAGTGACAGAGAGAGGATGGAGGAGCCGCGAAGCTGTTTCCGACTACCGTAACCGGCACAGTATCGCCGCGACGTATCCCAACCTCATCGATGTTGAAGACGAAGACTACGCGCCGCCTTCGAGCTACCAAAACCCTCCCCCTGTACCACCGAAGATACTAGAGGTTCCAGTTGAGCAAGCAAAAGAGGACGTCGAGATGCCTAAGCCAACGCCCTCTCATTGTTGGATTCCGGTGCCTGCTCGCTCAAAGGAAGACCCGGCACGCTACACGAAGCCCTTCACCGACTACATGACGAGCAATCCTACAATCTTCCACGCCGTCGATGCTGTCGCACAGGACCTTGAGAAGGATGGCTACAAGAAGCTGTCTGAGCGCGATGCGTGGGAGCTGAAGGCTGGCGACAAATACTACGTTGAGCGCAACGGGAGCTCGCTCATCGCCTTCGCCATTGGTGACAAGTACGCGTCGGGCAATGGAGCTGCGATTCTCGCTGGACACATTGATGCCCTCACAGCGAAGTTGAAGCCCATCTCGAACCTTCGCACCAAATCAGGCTACGTACAGCTCGGTGTGGCCCCATACGCCGGTGCACTGAGCGACACATGGTGGGACCGCGACCTTGGTGTTGGTGGACGGGTACTCGTCAAGGAGAATGGGAAGATAGTCACGAAGCTTGTCAAGCTGGACTGGCCTATTGCAAGGATTCCAACACTAGCACCTCATTTTGGTGCTGCCGCCAACGGGCCGTTCAACAAAGAGACGCAAATGGTCCCCATAATCGGTCTGGACAACAGCGATATTGGAAGTTCGTCGGAACATGGTGAGGAGAACTGGAAAGCCAGTGTGCTGGGCAGAGAGGGCGCATTCGCTGCTACTCAGCCGGAGAGGCTTGTGAAAGCCATCTCAAGCGAACTCGGCATCACGGACTGTATGTGCACTACACCCTCACGTCCCTGAAGATACTGATTTGTAACAGATTCGTCCATTGTCAATTGGGAGCTTGAGCTCTTCGATACGCAAGCTGCCCAGACCGGCGGCCTCGACCGGGAGTTCATCTTCGCCGGTCGGATCGACGACAAACTCTGCTCTTGGGCTGCTATTCAAGCTCTCCTCAACTCGAGTTCATCCCTCTCAACCTCGTCCCAGATCCGCATGGTCGCCCTCTTCGACGACGAAGAAGTCGGCTCGCTACTCCGACAAGGTGCTCATGGCAATTTCCTCCCCAGCGTCATGGAGCGCATCGTCGAAGATTTTGCATCCAACGGAAAGACGAGCAGTGCTTTGAGCAGAACATATGCAAACTCTTTCCTCGTCTCCAGCGACGTGATTCACGCGGTGAATCCCAACTTCCTCAACGCGTATCTCGAGAACCACTCTCCGCGTCTCAACATCGGTCCTGCTGTCTCTGCGGATTCAAACGCGCACATGACGACCGACGCTGTCTCAACCGCTATTCTGCAGCGTTGTGTTGATCGCGATGTCGGCATGCGCAAGGTCGACCCTAAGCTTCAGGTGTTCCAAATTCGAAATGATAGCAGGAGTGGAGGCACAGTTGGACCAATGCTGAGTTCTGCAACGGGTATCAGGTCGATTGATTGCGGCATCCCGCAGCTGAGTATGCATTCTATCAGGGCGACGACCGGAAGCTTGGATCCTGGTCTGGGTGTCTTTACTTTCCAGAGTTTCTTGGAGAACTTTGAGAGTGTTGACCAGGAGTTCAGAGCATAGTGTGTTGTTGGAGTTGGATAGCATATCGAGTACAGAATCACAGCTGGTTTCCACGTCTTACAATACAAATCAGTAAACACATGCCGGCAAACATTGTTGAATCAGAACGTCATTCATTGAACAGACTACGAATTGAAGTATTTGAAGTACTCCACGGCCTTGACCATAGCGCCAGAAATCCGAAAACTCCACCTTGATGCCGCCAAAATCAATTCGTGCAACGCCGCTGGGCGAGCTTCGTACGTACTCTCGGGGTCGACCTCGGCTACCACTGCAGCTGGATACGCATAGCACGGGAAAATACATCTACTAAGCATTGGGTCGTGTCGGCATTTCCTCATCTTCGTCATCTTCTGGATGACCAAGCAGGTCCTTGACGTTCTTCATTTCATAGTGCTTCTTGCGCAACTCCTCAAACTTGCGGTGCTTCTCCCTCTCCTCCTGGGTGGCGTTGGGGAGGAGCTCGCCGTGGTAGCCTTCATCTGTATCCATGCCCTCTTCGACCATGACCCTCTTCTCGCTCTCGGGCGTCTGCGAGTGTCGTGCCTGCAGCTCCGGCTGTCCCAAGTCGAATTCGGGTATGTCTTCAATCTTAGGTTTCCGCTTTGGCTTGTCCAGCTCGTCCACCTTGAGCTCTTCGGCGTTGAGCATTTCGACCTCCTCTTCGTCCTCGGCGGGATCGTACTGCTTGGCGTATGGTGTCTTGGGCTCATCGATCTTCATGGTGCTGTCGCGGTTCTGCTCGTTCAGGTAAAGGTTGGCCTCGTCCCACTTGAGCTGCGGGCTAGTCTCGTCCGCGGGGTCAATGCCCGACTGCCGTCGTGAACCGATGCCGCGCGGGTTCGACGAGGATCTTCGGTGAGCGCCAGCATTGCGCAGCGTGTTTTCCAATACAATTTCCTTCTCTGACAATTCGCGACCCAGCTGCGGCCGCTCGGATATGGGGCTTACGGCTGGCGGAAGCTCGGTAGTGGGGGACGTTTGGGAGTCGGCGCGGTACGAGCTAGAGTTTTTGAGGATACCTGGCCTTGTTAGCCATGCGTGCACCAGGCGGCGGGGTATGGGAGAGTCCCACCCTTAGGTCGCTCAGGATGCGAGCTCGGCGAATGCAGTTCGGGGGATTGTCCAGTCATGTTGGGTGATATGGGAGGGACTTTGCGACAGTAGCCGTTGGTGTGAGAGGCTGAGATGCGGGAGGAGCGGGCTTTGTATGGTGGTGGGCGACAGATGAGGCGACGGCGTTAGTTTAGGACGGCTAGAAAGCAATGCGCGTGGTGGGGTGCGTTGTCCTGTGAACGGCGGAAGTATGACGTAGGCCCCAGCACAATCCCACCCCGCACGCGTTCTGATTCACATGCAGGTGCGGCCTATAACCCCGGTCATTGTAGCAGATGCAGAGGTTGCCGCGGTTATTAAGACGTCTCGATGCATCAAGGATATGTCCACCCATTGTGGTCAGTGTGGACAACCTGGTCGCAAGCCGCCTGTGGTCAAAGCACGCATGAGAAAATCATCTGTATTATTCTGATATTGCCTTCACTCCGGAAGAAGTCCGCCATCTTGATGCTTTCCTCATCCTGTATTGAAGAACAAGCGGCTCTACGGCACCTAGCGTCTACGAGAGGTGACTGTCAAGCGATGCAGCCAATGTCCGCCAAGACTCTTCAGTGTGTTCTAATGTTAGAGCTTTCTTAAACCGCGACGCGCCTGACGCTACTCGCACCGGAAAACATACAAGGCGGCGAGATGTTAGGTACTGAGATACACGGTGAGACCACAAAGGAACCAGTGCCCAACCTTAGCGGCTATTCAGAGCCAATTCACCGCCTGAGCAGCGCTGTATAGTACTGCTTAGTTGTCAATTAGCGGAGATTCCAGAGGTACCTGATACACGCGTGGTACAATTGTGGGCTTCAGACTTTGCCTTAGAGCTTCAAGCTCAACCAAGAAATCGCAAAGTTGCGATAGTGTACATCTGGCTGAGACTCAGACTACCAGAAGTGGTCCATAGGACCTGGTCATCACGAGCCGCGTCGCGAACGGAAAAAATCATAGCGGCACACATACAGAAGAGACTGAGACAGCGTGCAGCCTGAACGCGTCGCGCGCGTGACAAAATAATGTCCCTACTTTCAGGTCATCACCGCATCATGGAAGCCACCGAAGCGGCCCTCGTGATGATGGTTTTAGAAGAGGATGGCTCGTTCTGGGCCAGTTATCCGAGTTGCCAGCTGAGTAGGATGTGTCGAGCTGGCAAATGATACGAGTCAAAGGCCGGTGTTGAAGAAGAGAAGAGGTCGGGCGCGCCGGCGAAGAGAATATCGAGCTCGGTTGATGACTAAGCCACATCCCTGCCGCGGAAGGCGCGCGCCTGAGCTGCAAGTGCCAACCTCTCAAACGTTTTCTCAGTACGCACCACCATCGGCCATTGCACACGATACATCCCACCACGCTCGACAATCACACACCCCCGCCTTCGCCACATCTTTCCGCAGCATCATACCAACAACACGTGACAGACTTCCTCCTCGCAGCAAACATCCACCACCACAAACTACACCCCGCATATCTTCGACGCACATTGGCCGCTAGCCCGCCAGCTCCTCTGCTGCTTGTTCGCTCGTTACTCCCACCAAGCCTTGGATATTTAACCTTCTTGCATTGTATTATATACTCGTTTGACACTGCTGCCAATGGATAACAGGGATAATCTCTGGACTCGGCGCTCCAAGTATGCTCCTGCGTCCCCGCATCTTTGTTCTCTCCACTGACGGCCGCCAACAGCACCAGCAAGCTCTCTCTCTCCATGTCACATTCGGAAAATAACAGCGAAAAATCCGAGCCACACCAACGCACCGTCTCCGCTACCAAACGCTTCGGTGGCGACTCCTCCCACGGCGGTCGAAACCCTTTCAACGCTATATCGCCCTTGACACCCGGTGGTTTAGCATCGCCCACAACGGGGGGCTCTTCTGCGTTTGGGCTCGGCTCAGGCGCGTTCGCTTCCTTTGGATCTGCGGGAAAGGCGCCCAAAACGCCTGGTACTGCTTTTGACTTCAAAGCAGCCGCCATGTCATCGCCCACGCCCGCGACACCTTCTGATAAAAAGGACAAGCCCGTGAGCAAGGTCGTCAATAGCATACGCAAAGAATCGATATCCACGACCTCAATACCAGACAACACATCGAGTCCCTCTGCGCCGCCAGATTTCAATGCGCCATGGCCGCTCAAATACACATGGGCGGTATGGTACCGCCCGCCTACGGCCAAGAACGTAGACTACGAGAAGTCAATTGTGCCCCTCTGTAAATTCAGTACAGCGCAAGAGTTCTGGAAGGTCTTCTCCCATCTTAAGCGTCCCTCGAGTCTCCCCTCCGTTTCCGATTACCACGTGTTCAAGCAAGGCATCCGGCCGGTATGGGAGGACGATGAAAACAAGCGAGGTGGCAAGTGGATCATGCGCCTGAAAAAGGGCGTGGCTGACCGCTATTGGGAGGACCTGCTACTAGCACTCGTTGGAGATCAGTTCCTGGATGCTGGGGAGGAGTTTTGCGGCTTCGTCTTGAGTGTCCGGAGCGGTGAAGATGTCTTCAGCATCTGGACTAAGAGCGATGGTGTGAAGAATGTCAAGATCCGGGATACAATAAGACGGGTCCTCAAACTGCCGGAGGGGACCAACATAGTATGGCGCAGCCACGACGACAGCATCGCCCAACGATCGGCCATCGATCAAGCCCGCCATGAGAAGAGCCAGCATGAAAAACGCAGAGTAGTGTCTACGGATGAGTCACGTGAGAAGCCGACTGCTGGTTCCTAGGAGAATCTCAGCCTAGCGACGATCTTCAGGCCGACCCCAGATCAATCGCAAAGCCAACCATACACCCCATGTATTCGCCACGGTCGTCTGACGGCTGGCTTACGCGACCGTTATTCGCACCGTATGCCCAAACGCGTCTGAAACAACGCCGCTTCGTGTTGTACTGGGTGCGGTTTGCAAGTTGGCTGTCAATACTCCGGCGCTTTCGACCGAGCACCGCTTGTAAGAGAGACTGCTAGCTTCTGTTGCTGAGTGAGTTGCACGGAGAGATATTTCTTTGCCGAGATGCACAAACAGATACCGTGAAGGTATACACCATACTGTCATCTGTAGATGTGTTCATGACATGACCGCGAATACCTTCTGGGTCACGTCAGTCACAACTCGGAAATGTAGAGCGCGCTCGATTGGGGACGTCGCTGAAAGGCTGGCCATGCACGTAGCACATCCAGGGCCCTAGCCTCATTTCTGTACATTGTATTTTTACATAGCGAAGCGCAGGATCTCAGGTAGCACCAAGCCCTGAAGCCCGCCTGTCCACAGAGCGAGGCATCGAAGAAGAATATGTCGCATTGATTTGTGACTATGAATATATCACCAAAGTCCCCAACGTGACCTTATCTGACGTGCCGTTTGTCGTGACGCACCAATCTGTTCTCGAGCTCGACGTCGCAGCTAAGCCGTCGCGTCCCTGCAGCGCGCTGAAGCACCTACGTCAAGGCGCACGGACGTATCGCCGACGGGTTCTCTGGCGCACCTTCACCTCCGCATGCCCCACGGTGCGCGTCTGCGCTTGTGCAGTTCCCTCACGCAGTTCCGAGGTCACCCAGCCTACCAGACGATGCGAATGCCCGCCGCTCTGCCACCGCAATGCGACACCAATGTTCACTAACTTATTCAACGGCATACGAGCCGCTGCCGAAAGCTCTTTCGGACTCACCAACTCAGACGTACGCGCCTTTTCCTTGCTCGACGACTCGACTGCCTCACACACTCTGACAACTACACTCCTTTCTCATGCTGAACTGCCTGCGCCTCCAGCTAACGCCATGTCGCCACAGACAGACGATGTCGTCCCCCAGTCGCCCTCGGGTCCCGGCTTGCCTCCCAATCCTTTCCTCGAGGAGTCAACACCCCCCAGGAAGACCTCGCGCGTCCTCATAGACCTCTCTTCGCCCCCGAAATCTTCAAGCCGAACTCCACGCAAAGAGGCGCGTTCGGAAATGGCCCGCCCACGGCAGCACGTCACACAAAGGAGCGAGGATGAGAAGCGATTAATTGGGGATTATTCGTAAATCGCCCTTGTACATCAAAACGGAAGAAAGAGACTAATGTTTGCGAAGTAGACCTGCAGATGCTATTAGTATGCCCGACCCATCCACTTGGATGGCGATACCGAAGAAGCGCACCATGCCTACAAAAGTATGCATACTACCACCTGTCTGTGCCTATAGTATTATACTGACCTCCAAAAGCCAGGGTCGAGTAATGTCTTCAAGCCCGTAGACACGATGCAAGGAGGATCCAAGAAGCCTACTACGTACGGGAAGCGCGATCGTACACAGCCGCCACTGATAGGCCAGGCGCATGGGCCGGGCCAGGCTGCCTACCTTCAGCGAACAGACAGAGCACCTGCAACAACGGCTCGTCGTCCTTCTTCTTCAGAGAGCCAGGATCGATGGTCGAGTGGAGCTACACCTGGAAAACGAAGGAGGACTGCCAACGTTATTTCACTTGTCGATGACGACGATGAAGTGGTGGAAGTATCTCAAAACCACCAAAATACACCTGTTGGCACGTCACGCGAAAGGCCGCGTTCTGCCTGGTCTCTGCATTCACAGATAAGCAACGGGAGCGAGAGCACAGTAGGCGACTACAAGCCGCCTCAGGCTACAAGCGAATTTAGAGAAGTGGACAATCTTCTCAGACCGTCCCAGAAGAAGCCGAGGAACTCGAGTTTCAACACAGCCAAAGGTGGCGCGCGACGCTCTCCTCTTACCAGTGTTTCTCTATCGACCAGCCCTGGCGTACACACTCCTCGGCAGGCGATATTGCAGACGTTTCGACAGGGTGAATCCAAGCGAAGTCCTAGGAAGTACGACGGAGCCGAAAGAAAAGTCGACATAGTCACGTCTCGCTACTTTCCCGAAGCCCGCATCAATGAGTCAACATCTGATCACGCAGACCAGAACCAACGTGTAACAGTTGAAGACGAGGACCTTCGCACCCAACACAAACCTGTGCCAAAGCAAGCGGGACCTATGACTGACAACTACAGCGCGGACGAGCTTGCCATCACGCCTCCGCACCAGGGAACCAGACTTGTTTCGAAGCAAAAGCAAAAGCAAAAGCAGACTGCAAATAGTGGAGTCAAGCGAAACGCTCGCGGAAGGGTTGTAGAAGAACTATGGCCACTTTCGTTTGCACGGTCGTATGGGTTTCAGAGCCACGGATCAACAACCATGGACGGCCATGCCATCTTGCTCTTAAGATGGAGGAAAGATGAGGGGTTACGTCTCCAGACTTGGGAGTCAGTGGATGGCGTCTACGATAGCAAACTTGTCATAGAGCCTAAAGACGTCAACCAAGTATATGCGGACGGTACAAGCCGCATGCGGTTGACGGGCCCTCGCGGACACGACGGGAACAAACTCATCTTGGACCTGGAGTTTGCTGATACTGCCGATTTCCTCGTCTTCCGTGATGAACACGCAGTATTGATGACGTCGGGCGGAAAGTGTATCAATAAGTCGGATGATTACATGGCCCATCTTTTCAAAACACCTCTCCCATCGAGAAACGAGAAGGTTGGTACGTCTGCACTGGTAGGCGATTCAACAGCGAGCTTAGAACAGCCTCACCGCGAAAAAGCTAATGGAGCGTCGAAGAGACCTCTGTTGGATCAGCTCAAGCCCGCTGTCCGTCAGCATGTTATTGATGCTGAATCTGGCACTACCGCGACAAGCAGAGCATCGACCCGTCCGTCACGTTCAACAAGATCGGCTCCGATTAATTACGTCGAAGACACGCCTACACAGTCGGATGTACCCAAATTCTCAGTTGAAACTGGACTTGGGCAACCCTGGGCTAAGTAAGTTTCCACGCACTTACTCATGATTCTGCTAACCATCCCAAGGTCTCTTGAATTTGGCGAAGGTCGTCAACGGGCGATAGTGCACTTTGATGATCTGCCCCGCCTGGACGAGGAAGAATTCTTGAACGACAGCCTGATCGACTTCTACATGATGTGAGTACGTGTCCACCTTGCCATTAGCGCTGCTAACCTTCTCCAGCTACCTCTTCAAGCAGCTCAAAGTGCCTGCTGATAAAGTCTACTTCTTCAACACCTACTTCTTCACGAAGCTTACCGAGAACTCGGGTCGGAAATCCATGGACTACAAGGCTGTGCAACGCTGGACGTCTAAGATTGATATCTTCAGCTACGACTACATTGTTGTTCCCATCAACGAACAGTACGTCAAATTACCACCGCTTTGATAGCCTATGCTAACAGTCCGTCAGAGCCCATTGGTACCTGGCGATTATCTGCAACATGTCGAAGGTTCAACGCAAACCGATAGTTCAAGACTTCGATGAGCCCAAGGCAATTCCACACGATCAAGCAAGTGATTCAGCCGTAACAGCCACGAACCCCGAGACGCATGCGACTATGGTACAAAAGTCAACCTCCCCAGAGCCAACTGCCATCAGTGAAGAAGCAATAGCGGCCCAAACGAACGAGGAAGAGCCGATGCTTTTTGATGAGGCGGCACTTTCTCTTGTCGACCGCGACGATACTGGGACCGAAACCCCACATAAATCAGAGACGACTCAAGCAGATTCAACATCCCAGAATCCAGATACAGAAGCTTTAGCTGAAGCCAGGAACACACACCCAGGAACATTGTCCCAATCCCAGTCCACCGCGTCTTCTGCAAAAAGGAAGGCAAAACGCAAGCCCATAGCCAAAAGAGATCCCGATCAGCCTGTCATCATAGTACTCGATTCTCTTGGTGGTAATGCCCGTACTGGAGCGGTTCGCGCTCTCAAAGACTGGATAGCAGCGGAGGGGGCAAGCAGGCGTGGTATGGAGGCTGTCATCAAAGAGAACGGCTATTACCCCAAGAGTACACAGGTTCCAATGCAGAACAACTTCACCGATTGTGGTGTTTACCTACTTGGCTACATCGAGAAGTTCTTCCAGAATCCCGATGACTTCAAGAACAAGCTGCTCACTGGATCAATGTCAGCTCAAGAAGACTGGCCGGAGCTGCATCCATCCGAAATGAGGCACAAAATGCGTCAAGTCATATTTGATTGCTATAAGAAGCAGGAAGACGATAGGAGAGCCCAGAAGAAGGCGAAGAAAGGATCTGCGAGCTCAAAGACATCACCAGCTCCGACAACGTACAAAGCCTCAGATCTGGGCAGACACAACTCTGATGAGTTACCCAGTGAAGAACCGAAGCTCGCACTCTCGCCCAAGAACGCAGGCGCGCAGCCCACATCGCCACGAACCCATTCACCTTCTCATCCTCCACTCAGACTCGCATCGCCGTTCAGTTTCGATGCGAAGCATACTTCTGCTGTTGAGGAAGCACCTCAAATAGCTGTCAGCAAGGTGTCTGACTCACCACCTGTGCTCACATTTCCTGCAAAGCAGGCCGTTGGTAGTCCACGGTCAGAAACGACACCAAGGCGCCATAGTCCCGAAGTGCGCATTTCCAGCAGAACGCCCCAATCACATGATTCTTTGCTCAACGGACACATCACTTCGAACAGAACACCACGTCAATCCAAAGAAAACGATCAAACATCTCAAATACCCGGTACATCAAGCCCCAAGAAGCGCCGAAGACACGGTGACGATAATGATGACATGAAATCGCCATCAGCGAAGCGCCAGCTCATCAAGTCGCCCCAACGACATCAAGATGGCGATATGGAAACTAAGCAAAGAGCTTCGCGCAGCCGAGAAGGCAGTGTCCCCGACGCACCTATTGAGATCAAGGACTCACAGGAAGTCAAAGACATCAACGTCAACCATCGCCAGCAGGTGCAGGCAGCTCCCACTGCTCAGCGGAAACCCGCATCACGTTATGCACATTCCAGCGAAGGGCTCCGTCCTTCACCTACGTTTGAAGAGATTCCGCGTTTGTCGTACAGCACAAAGACGTCTAAACATGGTCAACACGAAGGTACTCCGGTTGATAGTGCGCTCCAGACAAAGCTGGACGAAGACGACTATGCTAGGGACAAGGCCCGGCGTTCAGAAGCACCTGCTCCCAGCAACATGAATGGAGCGCTGGAGCGTAGAGAGGAGGCATGTGATCCAATGGAAGGGATCTCACAGTCCACTCACGATCTGCAACTTGATGGAGTCAACGACGGATCCGTGGTTCAAGAAACACCAGAACCCGATGAGAGGAGCAAAACCGTCCAAACTGGATGGTCGAGGGACCACCCTACCCTTCTTTAACTGCTCGAGATGAAGCTTCTTCTTTGTTGTTCTGCGAGCGCCAGCTCGACCTTTTACTCAACACATCTATACCTATTTTGGTTTCACGGAGGCGTTATCTATCAGGACTAGTGACGGGGTCTACAAAGCTCAGCTGTGATGTCGGAGAACAGCATGTCGCAGACTACATGCACATCTGGCAGTGTGCCAGAGATGATAGTACAACCACATGAACAAGGAATATTTATACTGCACTTTCGAGAATCTTATCCTCCTGCGTACCTCGTTCGTTCAGTCGACGTGAAATAGTTCCGTTCGCGCCGCGTCCGCCTGTGGGGTCATCGAGCGCTGCAACTGCATCATCGACTTCTGCATCTTGTTAGCCTCGAAACCAAGCCCCCTCGCTCGGGAGGTCTACCGTTGATTGACGGCCTACCCTGGAACCCTTCATCAGTCTCAGCTGCTTCTCTACCCACCCACCGCTTCATCTTATCCCTAACGAACTCTGTAAAGTCCCATTCCTCGGCCTCAAGTCTATGTGCGCCCGCTGTCCAGATGTATGTTTCCGCTTCGACCTCTTCGCCTTGTACGTTATCTTCTTCCTTTTGTGATAGGTCGCCCATGCCCTCTTCCGTACTGGCGTTGTCATTTTTCGGTTGCAGGACCTTGACTTTTACTTTCCGACGCTGGTATTCTGAGCCTTCGAAGATGTCCAGTCGCCAGATGTCGCCGTCTGTGAGGCCCTCTACGAGTGTTCCGCGCACAGATGAGGAGGTTCCGACGGGGAGGATGGCTGGGTAGTCTGCTTGCTTTACTTTGTGTCGTCGGTGCGCGTGGAGGATCGCCGGGCGTATGTGCAGGAGCGAGGCATGTGCTGGTGTAGGAGAGGTTTGTGAGCCCCATATCACGCGGTGGAGGACGGGCGGTGCCATCAGGGTGCCGTAGAAGAAGGCGGTATGTGCCATTTTGGTAGTTCGATGGCGAGGGGAGATTTGCGTGTGTTGAGGCTTAGGCGATTGGTGTTGGTAGAGGTGAAAGGCATCCATATATCGTCAAGATTGAAATCGAATGGAAGCATGGATCTGTGAGTGTATTTGGGGTAACAGCCATGACGGCAGGCGCTAAGCTGCTTATCAGCCCTACAGCGGCCACTAATGCAAGCCAGATCTGATCTGCGGGAGATTGCGCCTCCTCCCTTTTCGTCCGCGGGTGCTGTTTCGTTTGAGCCTCATACCCCGACAAAGTGCGCCAAAACGGTTCCGTGGTTGCGTGTGCGTTCCTTCCACAATCGTCGGACACTCCAGCGTTGTAAAAGGAGTCTCAGGGAAGCCTTCCGACGTTCCGAGACGAACCGCCGGGCCAAGCACACGACCACCAACATGTTCTTCATCAGCGCCATTGTGAAGAACATTGCACCCGTCTTGTACGACTCCACACCTCCTTAGCCTCTCCGTCTCTAACAGACAGCACCCAGTATCGCGACGAGTCCGATTACCAGCTATGGCGACCAGATCTACAGCATGCACCGAGCTCGCAGCTCCGCCGGCTTCTCCCTCGACATTCCGCTCATCATGCTCGTCGCCAGCATCCTGAAAGTCTACTACTGGTTCGGCGCCCACTTCAGCACCTCGCTGCTCGTCCAAGCCCTGCTCATGATCTGCGTCCACCTGCTCCTCCTCCACGTCGCGCTCACGAACCGACCGCCGCCCTCGCATCTCCCTTTCCAACACAAGGACGTTTCGAACCGACCGTACGATTTCTGGCAGTGGAGGGCGCCAAGGCCGTATTGGACCTTCATCACATACTTTACTGGGGTGCTGTTGGTGCTGCACCTGCTCATGTCCTCTACGAGCGTATTTGTGCCGTACACCGATCTGCTGGGCATGGTTGCGTTGACAATCGAGGCTACGCTTCCGATACCCCAGCTTCTGGCTAACTACCAGAGACGTGGGTGCAAAGGATTCAGGCCTAGTGTCATCGTAAACTGGGTCATCGGTGATACATTCAAGATGTGGTTCTTCTTTGCCAGCAGCAGTGGTGAGGTACCTTGGGCTTTCAAGGCTTGTGGTATCTTCCAGGCATGCTGCGACTTGGGACTTGCAGCGCAGTACTTGATCTGGGGCGACGGGCCGCCTGGTGTGGAAGGTCTGGGTCGGGAGAAGGAGATCAGAAGCCCGATACCGCCTGAGGAGGGATGGAATGCGGAGAAGCTGGGACAAACGAGCATGGCGGGTGGCATCGAGATGAGCGACGGCCAGGCGTGGGAGAGACCGAGGGCTGCGTAGAGTCAAGTCGGATCAGAGAGGCGAAACGAAGACGAAGGAAGCCATAATGAAAGAGACGTTAATGTACACAGGCACCACGTATGTCAGAATAATAAGGTTACCAGATATATATACCACGATACCAATGCGTGAGCCCACGGGATTAGGACCATTCGAACACGATGACAATCGACCCATGACCTCTGCGCCTGACTTCGCGGGGTCGGCTGGCACTGGATTCCATGGCATTAGTACATATATCACGACTTCCCAGTCCACCTGCATCGGTCAGGACGAAGCGCAAAGATACCTAGCTAGACGCTTCCTCCTCACCATGGACTCTAACGCCACATCCACTTCTAAAGTACCCCATGAAGCCATTCGGTTCGCCATCCGCGAAAACTTCCCGTCCATTCTCGAGCCTTCTCACGCTCTCGGCGATATTTTGATGTCAATGCTGACAAAGATCAACACGCTCCACGAAATAGCCAGCAGCACGATTCGCGATACAAGAGGAAAGGAGATGACAGATGCAATAGATGCGCTCCTTGATGAATGTGCAGAGGTGGAAGCGCAGTTCAAGGTTTGGCACGAGAAGCTCAATGTTGCTTGTGTGATGATAAAGTTGGTGTACTCGCGGCAGGAAGCCGCTTCAGGGAAGTAGCAGGCAATGAACAGATGCGGAGGTTTGCTCGATCGGTTTTCATGGGTAGGCGCGTGTAAGCAGCTGGACTACGTTGTTGCTAGCAATGCGCCGTAGATCCGTGATTGCTGCGATGCCATTAAGCTTGATCGCTAAATCCAAACTTCCTAAGCGCGTCATCTAGCCCGGGTAAGTACTCCAGAAATCATAGCTATGGCATTGCTAAGCCAACGTATAGCAAGCATTGCGGTCGAGCAAGCCCAAACATCGGCTATGCAGCGTCCTGATACCATCGATGTGGCTCCACCTCTCTCACAATAGCGACAGAGAGCGAGTATATCAAATACCTCCTGTCGCACGGGATACCAATTTCGAGCTTGATCATCAACCCCTTCTCTCCACATTCCAAACCGATCCTATACGCTGTTCTAACGCGAAGATTACGGGCAACCATTATCACAGAATGTTTGGTTCACCCCACTCTACGTCGCGTCACCTCCGACGCCGCCAGCAGAACTACTCGTGGGACCACGGCTATCTCTACCAATCCGAGCTCACACCCGTACCCTCCTATGAAGACCTCTCTATACCCACTGCCATCCACACCCCAATCGACCTCCCCTCTCGCGTCAGCGCTCTGAACCGCCGCGCAGCTATCGTCTCGGCCAACCTTACTCATCTCACCGCCGTTGTCAAGCCGCTTGAAACGATCAAACCCGATGACCTTAGCGAAGCCCATCTTAGCGACATGTGGGAGGAAGGTGTGTGCTTGGGCAAGGCCATGGAGGAGTTCAAAGAGCAGATGGAAGAAGTGAGCTTGGTACTGGAGGAATTGCTCATCGGTCGCAAGAAGGGAATGAAGATCTTGGGTGGAGTTGGCTTGGGCTTGGGCTTGGAGAGTAGTAGGAGTCTGTCTAGGGGCTTCGGTAGGAGGAGGGGCTTGGGCTTCTGAGTATGGGCAATGGAGAAGTGGGATGGTGTAACAGGCTTTGGTGCTAGTGGCACGGCGTGTCGGAGTGAAACTGTCGGAGCTTGCTATTGTTCGCGAGTCACACTGTCGTTTACGAAGTCTTCATGTATAATGATTCAATGTATTGGTATATCAGTCTATCCTAAGCAATCCATATCTACGCAGAGATCGGCTGTGCCGGTACACTTTCCAGAGTAGGCACAACGGGCTTCATTAAGCCTTGATCATCAAAGTACAGTCTATCGATGGTGACCTCCCTGTTCGTTCCGTTGCCGTTTGGGATGGCAAATCGGTGGTAGCAGATATACCAATCGTCGGTGTTCGGGACGTTGATGATGGAACTGTGACCAGTAGCGAGAATGCCCTTCGAGGCATCTTTCTGCAGTATAAGACCGTGGTATGTCCAGGGACCATGAACGCTAGTAGAAGTCGCGTACCCTACTCTGTAGTTCTCTGAACCAGTGTCATCGATAGAGTATGTGAGGTGGAAGAGGCCCTTGCGGTAGTTCATGAAGATGCCCTCGCGGAAGTCAGGAAGACCGCTAATGGAACGCGTTGTGTCAGCCTTCAGCGAGAGCATGTCGTCGCTGAGCTCAGCATAAAGCGCGGGTGTGGTGTCTGAGCCTCCGTTGCCCCAGAAGATGTAGTATTTGCCAGTAGTCGGGTCTTCAAACACGTCTGGATCAATGGCTTGGCCAGTGGTAACATTGCCTTCGTTAAGGATCATAGCTTCCGCCTGTGCTGTAAAGGGTCCTTCGGGCGCGTCTGCAACAGCGACGCCGATCGTCTTGCGGTCGTACTCTGGGTTGTTTCCGCTGAAGTAGAAGTAATACTTGCTGTCCTTTTCGATGATGGTCGGGGCCCAAGCATTTCCGGTCGCCCAAGGCACGTTACCGCTAGTACCATTGAGGGTCAAGAAGGGTTCGGCTGATCGGGTCCATGAAACTAGGTCAGGGGACTTCCAGACATAGAAGACATTACCGCCCCAACCAGGGAAGCCATCTGTTGTCGCGTAGATGTAGTAGTTATCACCGAATACCGCGATGTTGGGGTCCGCGTACAAACCAGGGAGGACAGGGCTGCCTGCTGTCTTAGCAAGGACAGAACGTTTTGACTCCGCAGTCAAACCAGCAAGTTCTTTTGCCGTTACTGGAACCACGGTGCCGTGACGTGGGCTAGTCGGCAATTTGTACGAACTGGAAACCTTCCAGTCAGGGTTGGAGATGTCTGCTGTCTCTAGCGGAATGTATCCACGTCCACCGTACTCATCCACAAAGAGATAGTACTTCTCGCCATTGACATCGCCTGGATTGGATTTGAACACCGTCGGTCCCTCGACACTGCTAGTGCCGGCGTTGCGACCAATGCATGTGGCGACTTGAGTCCAGGACTGTACAGGAGCAAGGAGCGAGTCAGAACGCTCTTGGATAATGTCGGAGCAGTTTGTGCCTGTGCCGCCTTCGTCCTTTGTGAACCGATAAAATGTATCCGCCTCTTTTATGACCGTAGTGTCGATTCGTGACATGCCCGCGTCCTGCCAGATCTCGGGCTCGCTGAACGTGACGAAGTCCCGAGTAGTCACGTAGAGCATGCGGTGGTATGTCGTGCCTGTGCGGTCCGTATCGCTCTCAGCGTAGAGAGAGGACGCCCAAAAGACTACATACGATCCAAGATCCGTATCGTAATACGCCTCAGGTGCCCATGTGTTTCCAGCAGTGGGAGGAGAGACCTTGACATGTCGTTGCTGTGACCATGTCTTGAGGTCGCTTGACTCCCAGATCTCTAGATACAAGCTACCTTTGCGAACTGCATCTCCCCATGAAGTACCGGATCCAATCGACAAGTCGGTAGCGAGCAGGAAGAATCTATCGCCCTCTGGAGAACGTATGACGAAGGGGTCACGTAACCCCTTCGTGCCTTCAGTGGAGGCGAGGACAGGCTCGCCGTTGTTGAGTTCTCTCCAAGCTAGAGCGTCATTGCCTTCGCTGGCTGCGAGATAGATCTTCTCGCCCGCCAACGAGTTGCCCGTAAAATACGCAAAGGCATAACCTTCAAAAGCATCAAGTTTGACCGCCTGGCGTACGTTGGCACTGAAGGTGCGATTCGAGGTCGTGCCATCGCTGTCGATAATCGCTGTAAGATCGACTACAGTGTCGGCACTTTGTCGCTGAACCACGCCGTCTGCTGATATCACGGAAGGTTTGTTGCTCATCCATGTGACGTTCTGGTTCTCGGAGACGCTTGGTAGATGAAGATTCCCACGAACATCGTCAATGTTCGTGATCGCGAGGCTTTCTAGCGCTGATTGGGCCTGCGCTTTGGAGGTGGCTTGGGCAGAGACTGTCGACCACAGACCCCACGCATAGAGTGGGAGGTGGTACGACCGCATGATGGAATAATAGGAAGTAACGAAAGAGATACAGATGAGCTACGGATTCTATGGGAATACATACCTTGAACATATACTGCGACTGTGAGCCGGGAGCTATACTTAACTCATACTTTGGAGCCATAACCACCCATCGGAAGCGATACTTCATCAACTCATCTCCTAGACTCTTGGTATCCTAGTCTTGAGTACGAGAAACTCCACGAATACGCGTTGACGGACAGAACCTTCTTTCAGCGACTTCCAGGGACCCTAGTCGTGTCAAACAGCTAAATCTTGACGATCCCCGGACTATCCTCCACATCTGCTTGAGTCGTGGAGCATGAAAAGTGTGGACTATCAGGCACATGAGAAAGTAGAAGACGATGACGCCCCTCCCGAGGTCCCATGTGGAAATAGTTTGCGGGGTATGGCGCTAATGACGCACGAACCACCGGCGTCGGTCTGCTTTGATGGCAATTCGGGGTGAAGACCACCGGACTCATAAACGACTGCAAGACCACTCTTCCTCGTCTGTATAGGTAGCTTCCTCTTAAATCTCGGAGTCTTCGTACGTGTGCTGGTACTGCTGTTTCGATGCGTATTGCTCGAACTACCATGAGCGGAGTTTTTCTGGCACCACTCCCGAAGCGGACTTTTGAACGGATACGACATTGGAGGCGGAGGTATGCGGGCTAGTTCGTACGGCGCTGTTTTCTGTCGCTCGTGGATCGGATAAAGAGTAGGTTGAATCGACATGGGCAAACAACCTCATCAGCCGTGAGCAGGAAGCATGACGACGTGGTGCAAGAAGCGCTGTCGACACACCAAGAAGGTATTGTATGAAGGCAAATCCTTTGGGGGGAAGGAATCATCCGTTCGTCCCGGAACGCGATGGCCATCGCCCTTGACGGCAACACGTGGGACACGGAAGGAGCCACGCTTGTGGTGTTCGCCGACCGCCATGCCGCCCACCAAGTCTCCAAGAACCTTGGCAAAAGAGCGTCGCACATTCGAAGAGACATACCAAGGCTGGGCTTGCGCATAATAGTACATGGAGGTGCAGAACGTGATTGCGGAAATTGCTGTAAGTGGTTGAGATTCAAAATAGCATTCTTCACATCAAATTTCAGAACATGAGCGGTGGTATCTTTCGCAACATTACCAGAGTGTGTACTGGATGTATCGCAGTGTTGCAAAACGGTCTGAGACTTGACAGGAACTCAGCGAAGAGCGGTCGAAACACCAGTACACTCTGCTAAACGGGAGGAAATTTGGTAAATATTTAGGTATCGTTCATTGGGAAGCTATTCGGACTGAAGTCATCGGAGTCCAAGATTTGGCGAACAGGCATATGCAGATTCCCAGGGCCTAACGTGAGTACCCACAGGGTCGTGGGATGTATGCTCCCTTAATTTTGCAGTATATAAACTGCATCGGCTTCGACTGCTGTACTGTAGGTTAAGTTTTGAACTCATCCCCACCATCTTTTTCGACCACCCTGTTGCAGTGCCACCATCTACCTGTTGCCCACCATGCGCACCTCCACAATCTTGACTGCCCTCTCTTTGGGACAAGTCTCACTCGCAGCAATCGACCCGAAGAACTTTATCTTCATCGTTCCCGATGGCATGGGTCCTGTCTCCCAGACACTGCTTCGCACATACCTGTCCATGGTCAATGGAAACTCGACTACTCGTGCTCCCCGAATCAATGCTCTACCTATCGATGTTACTGTCATCGGCAACACTCGAACTCACTCTGCCAACAATCTCGTGACAGATTCTGGGGCCGCTGGTACTGCTCTTGCCACGGGACACAAGACCGATAATGGGGCTATTGGTGTAATGCCCGATGGCACACCGATTGGATCAGTGATGGAAGCTGCGAAGCTAGCAGGCTATCTCACTGGCCTCGTAGTGACTTCACCCATCAGTCACGCAACTCCTGCGGGTAGGAAATGCTTTCTTGGTGCCTCAAATATTCGCTGACGATACTTAGCTTACTTCTCTCATGCTGTGAGCCGAGACGCTCTTGATAAACTCGCAGAGCAACAGATTGGCTACAGCCATCCCCTAGGTATCAGCGTTGACCTGATGCTTGGTGGTGGTCGGTGCTACTTCCAGCCTCAAAATGAGTCCGACTCATGCCGCACTGACGACATCGACCTGTTCGCATATGCAGAGTCAAAAGGCTACTATACCGCCCGGGATCGTGCGAGTTTTGACGCTCTTGAGCTTGGTCTGGGTGATATCAAGCTTCCTTACGTTGGCCTGTTCAAGGCAGGAGATCTCAGCTATGAAGTCGACCGCCAACAACAAGCTGCGGAAGTCCGCGAGCCATCGCTGTCTGAGATGACTGAAGCTGCTCTCAATTCGCTTTCGCGGGCCAGTGCATCCAACGAGAAGGGCTACATCATGATGATCGAAGCTTCGCGGATTGATCACTCGTCGCACGCGCACGACTCAGTCGCCCATCTTCACGAAGTCTTCGAATTCAACAATGTCGTAAACATGGTCATGAAGTGGATCGATTCGCACCCTGACACCGCCTTCCTCGCTGTGGCAGACCACGAAACCGGCGGCATAACCATACCTTCTCAGTACGACCCATCGCTACTCCAACCCAGTACACACTCTGTCGAATACTTGAGTGAGCTCTGGAGCGACTACAACGGTACCGACCGCGCCGCATATCTGTCTAGCGAGATCATTCCTTCTTATGGTCTAACGGACGTCTCCGATGCCGAAATTGAGACGCTTCTGGCAGCTGGCGATGAATTTGGACAAGAGCTCGCTGACCTTCTAAACGCGCGCGCTGGACTTGAATGGTCGACTGGCGGTCACACTGGTGTCGACACCACCTTGTACGGCTATGCTGCTGGTGAAATGGGTGACAGGCTTGTTCTGGATATGGCGGGTGGTTGGGATAACACTGACTTGCCCAAATACGTGGCTGCCGCGTTGGGTGTAGACATGGACAAGGTCACGGAGCTGTTAAATGCTAATGGAACGGAATGGGTACCTAGGGATGATGAGGAGTCGGAGCGTAAGCGCTGAGAAAGCTTGCGACAGATAGCGCGATCGAACTCAAACTTTGTTGAGTTCCCAAAGATGCTTTGCAGATGCCTGTGATGTTCTCCAATAATATAAACCACCGATGGTAAAGTTGAGCTGACCCTCGCTAGTAGCCAGAGAGCAGCTCGGCTGTCCTCGGGCATAGGTCGGCTGTCCTTGGACTCAAGCGAGGACAGGGCAACATCCCGGGAACCGTGTGGTTTTACGCGTAGTACCTTCCTGATCAGGCAGCTTTGCTGCAGGCGTCGATTGCGGTAAGAGATGGTGCAGTTGAGCTGTCCTCGAACCCCAGCCACCCGTTACCCCTTAAGCATTGACCCTTTCGCTTAAGCTCACGAAGACAGGGCGGCGGTATTATGTAAGCGCGGCGCGCAGATGCCCGGGATGCGAGCATGTCAAGTGCACCACGCAATCTCAACATTTGGAATCCAGGGTGGCTGCGGTTTCCCATCGACACGAAGAGATTGGATGTCAGTGCGAAGACACACACGAAATTTGATCAGTCAGACCGTCATTGGGGGCGCATGCGCATGAGGCGGTTATTGGGGGTCTTTCAGGGATAGAGACTGTGAGACGAGTTTACTTCCGAGCTACCCAACAAGAGCGTGGAAAGCCAAATTCGAGATTCGGACGGGGCTACTGGGTGCTCCCGAGACGCGAAAGGTGATTATCCCATAGACCGTCTGGCATTTTACCACGGCATCCGCAAACAAGCAAAGGCGATACCCACAACAAGGATGCGCCATCCCGCAGCACCTACGATTATCGCTGTGCTCCTCGGTTTTCTCTTCTTCATGCTATTGTGGAGCCGAGCACGAGGCGACGGGCACCACGAGGGTAATCCCCATCCGGACGATATACCGCGAAAAAGGGAACAGCAGAGAGAGCCTTCGTCAAGTAGTGACGAGATCGAAACATCCGAAGCTCACAACGATCATTGAATCCATCCAATCACTCTTCTCTCTGGATGCAGGTGGTATTTCTGGCTCGTTGGTTTCCGCTGCGCACAGTCCCGACGACCACCAACGAGAGCATTGAGCGGAGGAGAGAAAGAAGAGCGTCCAAGGACGACGTCAACATATCGTGTATGAGAAGTACAGATAGTGCACACGCACAAGTCCATATGGGTGCTTGGGAGAAGATGCAGCGCTACAGTTTCTGAACTATCTCTATATCTACAGTGCTACGAAGAAGCACACTGGAACTAGGGCTTGGAGGCATTCGAGAATGCCTCTAGTCGGTCTGCTAGTTGCTCCCACATGGGTTCCCCAACCCTCGCTGTGCTTCGCAGACCCGCTGTCACGAAAGGGAGAAGTCTTTCGAACTCCTGATCTACATGCCCATGGCTCTTACCCTCAGCCTGCGAAAGTAACACTCCAAGATCCAGTAGTTCAATGATCGCTTTATGGATTGGCTTCACTTCCTTCGACAAGAGCGCTCGCTGGTGCAATCTTTCCATACACTTGATGTGAATCTGAGACATCTCGTCGATATCATCGGCCTTTCCCATTGCCGAATTCATGTCTCGTATGGTCAGGAAGACGGCAGTCTCGGTGACATAAGAACGGAGGACATCGGCGAACCAATTCAAGCGTTGCAGAAGTCTGTAGAACATCGGTGGACGATTCTTTCTGGATGCGCGAATGCGCGCGCGTTGCAGCTGGTATTTGACTCGGTAGACCTGCATCAGGAACGTACAGATCTCTTGGTAGATGGGTATGGACGAGCGTTGGATAATGTTTTGAATCGACCAAGGTACCTAAAAAGATCTTTAGCTGGGGCACATAAGAGCATTCTTCCGATGCATACCGCATAATCCACGGAAACGGCGGCTAGACCCTTGACCGAGCTTCCTTGCGCCTTCGTTTTCATAGAACGAACGACAAGTTTCTCCGTGTCGGGACCAGAGAGGATCGTACCGAAAACGCCCCGTGCAAGCTCCGTAAGGACGTATCGATCGTTCCAACCACGTCTTCCGGCATCCATGCGCTCAAAAATTGCAGTGGAAAAGTCCTCGAAAACGGCACCGTTGCTGCCCAAGTAAAGGGTTTCGAATGTATGTAGCACACGCATCAGGCCGTCAGTCTCGAAGATGTGTTGACGAAGAACATTTGAGGCGACTGAGTACTTGCTACGTATCCATTTCTCGAAGGCTGTCTGGAACAGTTCTGGGAAAGGCGAGAGGGGTACGTCGGACGACGTATCGCAGACTGTTTCATGATCGAGGCGCGGCTCTGCCAGTGAGGAATGTAAACCTGTATCATAAATGCCCAGTTCTTTCAAGAAAATAACGCTTTTGCCTGTATTGAATATTTTCCTAACAGCTGGCTGTAGAAACGCAGGCAACTGCATGTGTTCCTCAGAATTACGGCGGAGCATGAAGCGGTCGTGCCAAAGGGAAGCAGCTTCACTCAGTGCATCGCTCGAGATGACAAAGAAGTTCTCCTCGTCAGGACCAAGCTCGCCGGTTTCCATCCACCGTCGGATTGGCTTCAGATATGTCTGTAAGCACTCGAAGAATATCTTCGACGTGTATGTAAAGATTTCGTCTTCCAGTGTCATCTGCGCTAGCGTGGTCTGCTCGTACAACGCTTCCAGGTGGTAAAAGGGATTTACAGGTATCGATGGATCTTGAGTTGCCGTTGATCGACTCAGACCATCGACAATCGGCGCCAGACGTAAGATAGGGTGACACAGTGCCCGCACATCGCCGTGCAATGGCAACAAACTGACGGGAAGTGGCGTATCAGGAATGAGATATCTCTGCTGCATCGCGGATAAGGAGTGGTCGAAGTCAAGTAGTCGCTTCCGTACAACGGCCTCGAAGGTCTGGACAAGAGGTGATGACGGTGGCTTCTTGGCTCGTTGTTGCAGCGTCCAGCGTCTTATCGCCTCTATACGTGTTCCAGTGTCGGCGAATTGAGAAAGGAGATGTGTGATAGCGGTTGATTGATTGTTGTCAACAGTATATGTCTCATTGGGGATAATGCTGTCCTTTTCGATCAGGTACAAGCTCGTCTTCAGCCCACCAAGCATGAATAGCGTTTCTCGCACAGCCTGCAGCTCTGTTGTGTGCACGCCAGTGCTACTGCTATCCGCGCCCGAGGTCCAAAATTGCGCGTCTTCCAGCTTGGTAACAAGATTCTCCTCTGTAGATGAGATACAGGCTTCGGGATCGAAAGTATCATCTGCGTCGAAATTGGTCGGTGGTGTGCTTGGAGCCTTCCTGCGCTTTTTGGGCGTTTTCTCGTCGCCCGAAGAGTCCACGGCATAGTCGATGTCCTTCCAGACATCCTCATCGCTGTAGGGGTCGTCTTCAAGGATCTCCGCCCAAGTCAGTGGCGGCGGAGGGCTAGGGGGTCTAAGCAGCTCTAAGGCTTCGACCTGGGTGTTCTCAAGAGGCCGATCGGCTAGCTGGAGTAAAAGAGATAGGAACTCTGGCTTAAATTTGTTCGTGTAGGCCTCCAACTTTTGAAGCCGTGTTTGGAGCGCATCAGCAAGGTCATCGCGGTTCTTGATGCGAAACTTCTCATCCAGTCCGGCAAAGCTCGCCGTAACGTCGAATTGATTAGTTCTTGCATACTGGTGCCCTCGAAGATTGCGCGATGCAATCTCCCTGGCGTGCCTGTAGGCCTGTTTGTTTGCTGCGGGATCGTGTCTCAGTATGGACTGTATCAGCTCGTCCGTAAGTCCGGAGATTTTCGCGTTTTGGGCCATAGTAACGCGTCCTCCACCTGCCGTCGCGAGATGACGCCAGCAGAAATAAGATCCCGGTAGTAGTGATATCGCTGTGGTGACTTGCGGCGGTTGATTCGGCTCCACTTGACAGAGACATCATGCCCGATGTAGGCTAGCGTGATCACGCACCGCGTCACCGCCGGCTGTGAAACTCGAGGTTGAGCGCTCCTGCGACTTTTCTGAGGCGGGACTGTGTCCCAACCCTCGGCCACCGCAACTGCAACTGCTCTTTATCATGGCGCTTCCCAAGGGCATGCGCTACTTGGCTGGCGCCACTTTCTGCATCTTCGTCTATCTGTTTGTGCAAATCCTCAAGGCCCCTGGTTCCGAGAAACCCGTCGAGATTCCGAGCAAAGTTCCGACGAACAAATTCGGCGACTGGGACCACGACCCCCAATTGGATCGTAAGGCAGCCTGGGATATGGTATGGATCCATCATAGATGCTAATCATGTGATCAGCCTCCGGCGAACCTCCCGAGCCGCTACGACGAGTCGACGGTGACAACTACGCCCCGAACAATCCCGCGAGCGCGCGCATCAACGCCACGATCCTCAGTCTAGTCCGCAATGAAGAGCTCCACGACATGCTGCAAAGCATGCGCGACCTTGAGCGTACGTGGAACCACAAGTTCAACTACCCCTGGACCTTCTTCAACGATAAGCCCTTTACCGAAGAGTTCAAAAAGGCCACGCGAGCAGCTACCAACGCCGAAGTACGATACGAACTGGTTCCTGCCGAACACTGGGACATTCCGTCGTGGATAAACATGGACTTGTATGAGGAGTCTGTGTCGCTACTCACGTCGCTGGATGTACAGTACATGGGCAAGAAGTCTTATCACCAGATGTGTCGGTGGAACAGCGGCATGTTCAGCGAGCACCCTGCGCTCAAGGACATCCAATACTACTGGCGGGTGGAACCAAACGTCCACTTCTTCTGCGATGTGGATTACGATGTCTTTGCTTGGATGCAAGACCACAACAAAACGTACGGCTTCAACGTCAACATCTACGATAACGCCGACAGCGTTGCGACGTTGTGGCCAGAAACGAAGAAGTTCATCCAAGACAATCCGGGATATGTACATCCGAACAATGCGCGCGAGTGGCTGGAAGACGACCAGCGCCGGCCTGAGAACAACAAGAAAGCCCATGGCTACTCAACATGCCACTTCTGGTCCAATTTCGAGATCGGCGACCTGAGCTTTTGGAGGAGCAAAAAGTACCGCGACTATTTCGACCATCTCGATCGCGCTGGAGGCTTCTTCTACGAACGTTGGGGCGACGCTCCAGTACACAGCGTCGCACTGGGACTCTTCGAAGACAAGAGCAAGATACACTGGTTCCGAGACATCGGATACCAACACATACCCTTTTTCAACTGCCCGAACAGTCCAAAGTGTTCCGGTTGCGTCACTGGTCAGTTTACAGACGGCGAGAAGTGGCTGAACCGGGAGGATTGTCGGCCGTTATGGTTCAAATACGTTGGCATGGACTGAGCTCTAGTCTGGGTAACGCTGCCGCGTATTGCCTACAGCTATGTGCTGCGTACAGTAGTCTTGGAAGTGAGTGATGTGATTGTACGCACTCACCTTACGAGAGTTTTAGCTGTTGCGGAGTTATTTGGCGCCTGAGTATGTACGATTTCCATCTCGATATGACGCATTTACGTGAAGAAATAGCAAATACACCAATAGACGCAACGAATGATCACATTTTTTTCTCTCGAAACCCAGCATCGGTTTGAAATTCGCGGAGATTATACGACAGGTTGACTACAACTAATGGATCTTCACCCTGAACCCACCGGACGATATACATCTTCCCGACAAATACCCTGTCCCGACGCGCTCGTACACTTTGTCCCCGTTACGGTCTCTCTGTGCGGTTGCAGCAATGATCAGGACGTAGTGTTGTTGAGTCGCCGGCGACATGCTGCCTTTTGCCTTTCCTAGGACTACGCAATACCTCTGTGGTGCAGTGGACCCGTTTGGCGTGTCAAATATTAGGTCACCTTCTCCTTGCAGCCCTGCCTTGAGGGAATCGTATTCTCGCGCTGTAGCGTGGAGGGCTATATTTGCTGTGTGGAAATCCGTGCTTGAGACATTGGTTGGACCCTTGGATGACCAAGGCGATTGTAACTCCTCCCACTCAAAGTTGTCGAAGTCAGGCTGCAGGTAGTCGATCCCGCCAGTGTATGCCATCCATGACCATGATGGAACCGTGGCGACGACACTCTCTGTTGGGAAGTGGATACGAGACAAGCTGTCTGTATCGACGCCCCGGCACCACAGCAGGCTTCGTCGGAGTAGACCCAGTTTAGTTCCTTCGTCAAAGATTCCGAACCCACCACTGACTCGCATTGTGCGAAGAAGACGTTGCTGAAGGCCGTCGATTGCAGTAGGTCGGTCGTATGCTTTTGATAGACCTAGGCGGGAGAATTTACGGTACAGCCCTTGAAAGCGCAAGATCTTCTCGCCAGGGGAAGCATTGGAAACCATACGTGGGAAATCTGGGTCGCCAAGGAAGGCAGCGAGTGGGCTGGAGTGTGTCAGTCGACCTGAGTAACTTGACAGCGGTGGGTGCAAATTACTTATCTAACTTTGTTGACGTCTCGCAGCGCACGCCGTTACCGCACTCGAAGTAAGTTTGATGCTCCGTGAAGAAAAGCGTTCGACGGGCGAGAGCGTGCTCCTGTAAGACCCAGCCACGACTGTGCAACTCACCACCAAGCACATGGTCCTTGAAATTGTCGATGTTCTGGCAGATGTAGAAAGGGTGTTGACCATTGCCTTGACCACACAGACCAGCATACTCTCGTCGAGTGCGAGGCTTCAAGAAGCCGTCATAGTGGTCAGTAGCGCAACTAGCCGCGATAACACAGTAGGCGCCGCTATAAACTGCTTCCATACGCTTGGCCTCGGTCATGAAGTCGCCTTGTGGACCCTGTATCACGCAAAGTGAGTCTATCCAAAGATAACGACGTCCAAGTGCGCGGGTTACGATTACCGCATCCTTAAAAGTGGCTGGGAGGATGCCGATTTTGATACCGTTTAGGTGGTCTTGAAGGGTTTCGGGTGTGGTAGAAAGATGTCGAGATCCCCATTTATGCGATAGAGCAATCCACTCGCCCACATCCGATGGTTCGGTCTCCCACAGTCGAATTGTGTCATCCTCATCTGTGCCAACATCGATTAACCGCGTCGGTAGCCGGATCTTTGTGCTATTTGCTGTATGCTGAGCTGGGGAACATCCGTGATGGCCGTTGCAATCGTGGAGCCAGTGCTGGAGCACCTCAAGGTGAGCGGTGCTACCTGCTTCTGGGAGCTGAACGAATCCAACCTGGCCATCGCTGGTAACCCTAGAGAGCTCCTCCGGATAATGAACGATGGACAGTACAGGAAGGCCATTGCTTTTCATCCGGAGAAACGAACCAGTCCGCTCAAGCTTGATGCTCGCAAACTTCACGCCACCGTCTCGGATAGCAGTCTGCCAGAGCAGGACGCACAAGTCACAGTGCTTTCTCTCGGCGCTCATTCGAAGAGTGTGCACGTCGTACGACTTAGAAAATCCTGGTGTGAACAACTCCTCTTGGAGGCAGATGCAATCTGAGCAGAGTCGCGATTGAGAGATATTGTCGGACGACCCCAGGGATTTGCTTTCCCTGAGTGAGACGAACAAACTTGATGCAAGATCATTGCCAGACTGGTACTTCCAGTCATCTTCATCGAGTTCTGGAGGCGCGTAGTCTATCTACATCATGAGTTAGTCCTTAGTGATACTGACGATCGGTGATGTCAACTTACCCTCTTCTGGGAGGGTGCCATCAACCCGCCAACGGTAGGTCGATTGGTTTCCCAGCTTGGTTTTTGGAAGACCTCACCAGAGTAGACTTCAGTGGTGGTAGAGGGTGGTAGTATAAGATCTGCCGTCGAGCGGAGTTCTGCAGGCTGTACCCAGCATGTAAGCCAATAGCCTTCATCTTCATCCGGATCTTCTGCGACAATGTATTCCATTCGCGAGCAGAATTCGGCTGCGAGGCATCGTGAGTGACCTTGCGCTTCGGGTTCAGGCTGTATAGGGATTCTTTCAGGCTCCGCTTCAGCAGGAGTGATGCTGAAAGAAGGAATTCCTACAGCAGTTGCTACATCTGGAATATTCTCAAGGTCAAAGGGTGTGTTGTTCGTGGGAGTAACACTTGCTTCAAGCCTTGCCTCCGAGACGACCGAGTCGGTACGAGGGAGTTCTGGGAGTTCTGAAAGATTCGAACCGAGCCTTCGAGGAAGCTTAACAACCAGTAGTGATGTTCTCACAAGTTCCAGAAGATCCCCTATTGCTGTACTTCCGGCCTGACATCTGGGGTCTCCCGCCAATGTATTCATCCAAAGCATGACAGTTCCACGCACATGAGCTACTTTCTTTCCGTTCTCGATTGTTATTTCGTAAAAGCTCCCTTCCCCAAGATCATGACGAAATTGAGTAAGTCCCTCATACCCTTTCAACAGCCATATGGTGAATTCGAGAGTGATGCATCCCATCGCCCAGACATCGTATAGTCGAGAGCGGCGCTTTGTTGACTGACCCAGGTACTTAGCTCTGACGCCCGTTTCGCCCTCAGGGGCCTCATAGACACGAGTGCCATACTTTGCTGTTGTTTTGCTGGGACGCATGTCTGTCACCTGTCCGTGCTCTTTCGCTTCACCCCAGTCGCCAATTTTGAGAGTACCAATCGTGCGGCCGTTACTAAAACACAAAATGTTTTCCGGCTTGATGTCTCCATGGCGGTATGATGCGCCGGTCTTGTCGAGGTCGTGCGCAGCCGCGAGTGCTCTGGCAAGTCCCAGTATCTGGAACATAGCATCTTTGACTAATGCTGCCGTCAATATTGGGGAATGCTCCCTCTTCCACATACTGCGGAGGTTTCCGCCATCAGCCCACTCAAATATCAGGTAGTGATCTGGGTCGCCGTACTCTCTACGGCGTCGAAAAGCTGTAACGAAACGAACGATGTGATCTTGGTTCAACTCATTCATGGTTCGGAGGGCTTTGACCTCTCTTTCCCAATGTTCTGCAACTTCCTGCGCGTTATCGGAAGGCTGAATCTCCTTGACTGCGAACGAACTATGATCCAGGAACGGCTGCTTCGATTCAGCGATCGCTGCCACAAATGTTCAAAAAGCTACCCGCATACTGACCGGATCCAGATGATTCCTATGTATCACATACTGTGACACCACGCCGAAAGATCCTCTACCAGAATCTGACCTTTTGGAAATGAAAGGTAGGATGTGGGCGTCATCGAGATTGCGGTTGTATTGAGTTGTCGAGAAGACAGGAGCGAGGAACATCCATTGCATTTCGCAAAATTCCGAAAGCCACTGTCTCTTCCATCCAGGCCGAAAAGTGATCGGCAGATCGCCATCGTCCATATTATTCTTCTTCCACCATTTCATGATTGCGACTATCTTGTTTGGCTGTACGTGGATTGCGATAGCAAATATCTTTTTCGCGCGCATACGTGTGAATCCCACCAGTTCGTCTTCTTCAACTGTTGCTGCTTGTATGTCCAAAGCGGCCTTGATTTGGTCTTCCGTAATCAGCTCGTGGATGATGCCTTCGGGGACGAACTTGATAGGTGTTTTCTCGAACGCGCTTTTGATTGCGTGAGATGACAGCAAATTTTTGAGCTTTTCTTGGAAGCTTGGTTCGTCATCACTATCTGTGTCGTCTGCGCAGTCCTTGGGTCTTGAATATTCTTGACATGCCGCATTCTCGTTGCAGTCTGCCATGATTCGCGTCGATCGCGGAAAGCAAACCCTTTCTCCAAATGTTTGGCTCTAGGGTCAGAGTTTTAATGAAATTTTGAAGCTCCTCGGGACCTGCTGTCGATATGCACGTAAGGTATGATAGCACGCTCAAACGAGGCTTTATGAAAGCGCAGACATGCGTTGGGGCGACTGAGCCAATATTGGCTAACCAAGATCTTACCAGGCTTGGGCATGGGGTACAGCAGCTGTACATCAGTTCGCCACACCATCGCAACAGGCAGCGAGGCGTTTTTCGCAGCTGCTCAAAGGTCAAGGGGCCATCGACAAACCAGCGCGCAGAACAGACGATCAAAGCGTAGCGCAAGGCGGCCGGGATGTGTGTGGGTATCATCGTGCCGTACCTTTGTATCCAGACCACCAGCCGAGTTGCATTGCCGTTACTCTTACGGCACAGCCTGCTCTGTGATCAGGAACGGCAGCGTGGGGGCCAGCCTGGTCATCCAGGGTAATCTCGTGCTTGTCAGTGTTACCGCATTGAGTTTGGAAGCGTATGAGGTATCATAGAGGTTTACAATTGCGCATGTTTGATAAATGAGTGCATTGTGAAGAAAAAATGCTTCGTCCAAAGACGCAGATTCGTGTCGTTTCACGAGGCTGGGGGCGCGTCGCGTTCGCCGTCGCGTGATGACGTTTGCTTTTGCAAGATAGCCCCACTTCGCTAGGCGCGTACCTTCCCCTGATAGACGCGCCCATTTCTGCAACCTTTTAAGGTTCCATCACACGAGTTCACAGCAGCATATCGATCGATTCGGTAATGATCAGAATTGCGACGCACGATGCGGCCCCCTCGCTGCAGGCAGAACAGCCAAACGGACCATCTAGCGCTGTCTCCAAACCTTACACCACTACCGGCACTCCTCTATATCGTCCTATGCGATAAAGTCAGACAACATAGCGAGTATCATCAAGAGGAACCAGCATACCAGTGAAAGCTTCTCAGTGGCCTCGATGATATAAGTATTGTGCATCATCTGCAGTCCCAAGTTAGTGAGCCTTTACTTCCTATCTTCTCGGCCATTCGCACATGAACCTTGAAGCCAGACGGGAACCTTTGTTTTAGCTTTTTCATCAACTTTTCCGGATCAATATGGGCGGCGTCTACCGACTGAGTTACAGTTTTGTTATCCAGATTCGGCGCGCTCGGGTCGGACGGTTTCCGTTGCTTAGACGATGGCTTCCGGAAGGGACTTTCGAACTTCTTGATCAGATCGACCATGATTATCCGCAATGTTGACACTGGAATTTTTGTGGCGATATTAGAGGGAAAACGCCGTGTCTCTTCCGCTGTTATACTCGAAGTCCTTGACACTCTGTGGGCTGAGTCTACCACAGCAGTCAAGGATCTTTCAGCCACAGCGTATGCTGGACAACCAATCATGCTCCTAGCCGACACACCAACTATGGGTATGTAATGAATGCATGTTGGGGGCGTCGAGGATGTTTTGCCTGCCTCATGCAGTGCTATTATCCATTTGCATCACGCGATACGAGATGACACAATTCATTCGCTACGACCGCCTCGTGCATCGTTCTTTTGACATGGAGCAGGGTCTCGACGTCTTGTGCTTCTCGATGCTGGTCGGTTCCTCCAGCACTTGGTCGATGAGATCAAACCACTTGGAGCTCCGCTGGGCGATGTTTACTTTGTTGGCCAAGCCGGATGTTGCTCGAGGCACACCAGTTCTAAGCGATGGGTTTGCGATAGACTGGACGCGTCGGGAGCAATAGACTGTGACGCCTGCCTACCTTGTCTAAAAGCCTACGCCCCTAGCAGGGATTCCAAGATTCTGCATTCTCGGACCCCACATTCAGTGGAAGTACGTACCGCCCAGCAGACCTTCAAGGTTTAGGCCTTGAGTACACTCGCTACATCGAGTCCACAAGACTGTGGGAAGCATGATGCCTCAGGCACACGTTCCAAGCCGACTGGTACTGCCATGAACCGAAACATACGATGGCCATTGTCGCAAGCTCATCGATAATCCCGCATCATCAGCCGGGGCTGAGCTCGCCTCACAATGACCGATCTGAGCTACGAAACGATCATGTAAAGGTGGACTCATCCACACGCAGCAGCGGGTGGGCTTTCACATCGAACGATTTGAAAAACCAGACCGGACGACGAGGTGCGCATTGAACACGATGATTCATCGGCTTCTAGCTAATGACGCAAGAAAGATCTACAGCGAAGATCGCGGCCACTTAGCGAGCCTCTGTTTGCGTGCGAGATAAATACACCATCTGAGGCGGGTCGTGCTACCCGGACAGATCTCAAAGCTATCAATGAACTCGATAGTACGGCTTCGCCTCCAGTACCATTACAAACGGAGACAACGACCTTCAAGAAAAGGCTGACCGACATCATTGTTCCAAAGAGATCAGATGCCTTTGACATCCGAAAACACGCAGTCAACCCAGTCTTGTTTGTGCGACGGTGGGCACAGACGCGTTTACCAAGCGATAGTTCTACATCACAGATTCCGAATAGACTTAGGGAAGCTAGATGTCGATCGTATCTTCGAAGGTATTTCATACCAGAGGTTGAGATTGAGAAGATCGTTACAAGCGCAGTAGTGCAGCAAGAGCTCTCGAACTCGAACTATTCGAAATTCGGAAGAATAGGGAAACAGCGCTTGAGCATTGAGGACGGCACGCCTTACATGAAGATCCTCACGGTCCTCTACCTTATGAAGCACCCATCGAAGATCAGACTTTTTATCAAATCTGGTGTCTGCGACAAACACCTCCCGCTTGAAAAGGATCCACATTCGGACAGGCCGGACGGCTCTTATTCGCTGATAAGCAGACACGACCCAAAAGCCGGCCCTATTTCGTTCAAGAGGCAGGACTACGCCGATGATTTTCTAGAGCATCAATGGAGTGTCCTTGTGCCGATATTTATCGGCGCCGATGGTGCTGCAATCCCTCACGCTGATCTCGACTCTGAAACAATCCTGCCATTCTTAATCTACACCGAGGTTCCGAAACGAGGAGGATCTAGTAGAGTTTTTGAGACCGAAATTCATCCCGAACATGATCGTCTAGACAATGTGAAGGTACGTTATGACATTATCACCAGCTGTACGGTGTGAGGAACGCTGACAATGTCCGCATCAGGGTAGTGGCAATATATACGCCATCAAAGCCTTGAGATCAGGCGACAAAACGGATTTCAGACGAGAAGCTACCATTCTCACCAAGCTAAGCGATAGTAAACACGCTCACGATCACCTTGTCACCCTATTAGCTACGTATGAACACGACGGGGTTTATCATCTCATCTTCCCATGGGCAGAGCTCGATTTGTTCGACTTTTGGAGGCAGCGTACGCCCGAGGTCGAGGAGATGGGTACATGGGTTGTAGACCAATGCCTTGGCCTTGCCGCTGGACTGAACAGTGTGCATCGGTACGCCACTCTCTCTGGCGCCATCTTGAATTACGGCTCAGACCCACCGGTGCGGAAGGCGGTCGGGAGGCAGAAACAATTTGGGCCAGTTGAGAATACGAGCCCAACCCGGGTAATGAGAAATCTATTCGGTCGTCATGGAGATCTCAAGCCGGAAAACATTCTCTGGTATCCAGACGACATGACTCCAGGGGGCCATGGTATTCTCAAGATCACCGATTTCGGAGTTGCTCGTTTCAGTACGGAGAATTCTTGGGACACGAGGCGGACCGGACGCATGCCAAACTCAGAAACATATCGCTCGCCTGAGATGGAGCTCGACGGTGTTCTTACCAGTGCATGTGATGTATGGGCTCTCGGATGTGTATACCTGCAGTTCATTACGTGGTATCTTGGGGGGTGTAAACTGGTTGAACGATTCGGCCAAAGGCGTCTGGCAAGCGATCCCTTTATGGCAGACATACCTAGTGACACATTCTTCTCCATATACTTCGAGGCAGGAGTGAAAAGAGCCAAAGTCAAGTCTGCAGTCATCGAGGTCAGTCTATTGAGTCAACTTTCCGTACTAAACTCACTACGATACGGTGCATACTAAGATAAAAAGTTGCTTATCACTAAACTGCTTCAGGTTATGGATGAATTGAGAGAGCATCAACGCTGTACCGTTGAGTTCAGGGAGTTCCTCGACTTGATCAAAGAGGACATGTTGGTGGTACAAGAGCAGGAGACCCCAGATATCCAACACGGTATTCCAGTGCTTCGAAAAACTCTATCAGAGTCAGCTAGCACCCATAGATTGGGCCATTTGCGACGAAAGAGCTGCGGAGACGTGTTCCGCAGTCTGGGCGAAATTAAGCCCCGCTACGACCTAGAAGGAGACTTGACGAGGCGCGATACTCTCGATCCGATTTCACCCATAACTCCACGCAACCATGTATGGCCCAGAACAGAGCCATCAGCCAACAGAAAAATGTTGTCTCGCGGATTGACCTTTGGCTGATAAGTTCCGGTCTTCAAGTCAACGACAATCAGGATAAGCTATGGCGTACCGTGCTAGGGGAGAAGCGAATTGTGCGCGACTTTCCATTTGCATGATATCAGCTGGCGTGACGGCTTAGCCTTTCCATGCACGAAATCCTTCGATACGTACGAGTATCTCGCTGTTCTGTTGCCCTTTGCCCACTGCCCAAGGATATAGTGGGGCAGTGACCCGACAGTACCCGCAGGCAAGCATCTCCGCATATAACGGCAACTTCAACACTAGGCAACAGCAAGTGACACCGAGATAGGGCGCAGAAAGGAAGACAAGGAAGAAATCCATCGCACGATCAGCATAAAGTTCATCGAACGCAGTTCACCAAGTTCCCGGATAATCGAAATCGGCCCTTCTCTCGACCACCATGACTTTCACCGTCCTCTCCGACGCCGACATTCAAACCCTCCTCCATAACATTTCCCCATCCGACGTCCAGAACCTTGCATCAGCACTCAACCAAGCCCTTACCGAATACTCATGCAACGATGAAGTTCCCTATCAACCACATCGCGCGCATGTCGCGCGACCAAACGGTCAGGTCAGCCTCTTCATGCCAGCAACAACACCATCATCTATCGGTGTGAAGATAGTCGGTGTCGCACCATCTCAAGCGACTCCACCTGGAGAGAATCCCAAGCCTGCACTACGAAGTGTACTTACGATTTGCGATGAGTCGGGACAGGCAGTAGGCGTGTTGAATGCGGCAGAGTTGACGGCGTTCAGAACAGCGCTGGGGAGTATGTTGTTGTATCGGTACCGGAAGAAGACTGAGAACATAGTGGTGTTTGGAGCGGGTAAGCAGGCAGAGTGGCATATCCGCCTTGCTATCCTCCTGAAAGGAGATGCTATCCGGAAGATTACTGTTGTAAATCGATCAAGTGCAAGAGCGAAGGAACTCCTTAATTCACTGGCACAATCGAAAGTCGGTGGACATATCAAGATGGATATTTTCAATGACAAGGAAGATGCGTTGGAGAATTTGGTCACAGAAGCAGATGTCATGTTTTGCACAACACCCAGCACATCTCCGTTGTTCCCGGCTTCGTATATTACATCGAACGCTGGCCTTGCTAAGTCTCGGTATATCGCTGCAATCGGGTCTTATCGTTTGGACATGCAAGAGATTGATCCGGAGTTACTGGAGGATATCAGCAATCCCTCCGGTCTTTTTGCCTCTCAGGTCTACCAAGGGTTGATCACTGTTGATAGCATCAAAGGATGTATGGACGAGGCTGGTGAGCTGGTAGCAGCGGGACTGAAACCGGAGCAGATGCTTGAGGTGGGGAAGGTGGATAGGTTGAGGAGCGATAGCGGGGTGCAGAAGTGGCTTGAAGAGGGGTTTGTTGTGTACAAGAGTGTCGGCGTGGGTATTATGGATATCGCGATTGGCAAGGCTTTGATGGAGCTGGCCGCGGAGAAGGGGGTCGGCGTGCATTTGGATAGTTTTTGAGACATTCAGATAGCGAAAGCATCGAGCAGTATGGTAATGGCATCGTCAACATACGTAAGAGCGCGTTTCATATTCCCAAACTTTGAGATCCGCCGCGCTTGGTTAGACAGCATACATGTCGGGATAGCCTGCATACTCAAATATTGAGGTCAGATCGGGCTGGAATAGACGCAGTAGTAGTAGTAGTAGTACATGTCGGGCTATATCGATAAGCGGTGTAGTCGACGTCAAGTGTATCATGTTCCACGGCGCATCCTGAGCGAAGAAGTCGCAGCGCCAGTCAGGAACTATAGTCGCACAGCATGGTTAGATAAGTAGGAAATCTCAATGGCCGCGTTGGGTCTGCAGATGCTGAGGCAAAGGCGGCATTGGTTGAGCATGGGTAGGTTTAGACGGGAAATTGCCTATGCACCAGGCTACCAACACGAAACCTTGGGGCCTTGATCGCGAATCGCAATGGCTTTGTTGTATTGGAGTTGGAGTTTAGACGTTGGCCTAAAGTATTATGGAGGTTGCGGCGCGGAAAAGAGCAAGGATTCGGCGGCAGTGACGCGCGCCGATTTTTTTTGTAAAGTTCCCCCCTCCCCCGCCATGTGAACGCGCCCGCGATCGCTCTGGTCTTCGGACACCCGCGATTACGATTCCCAGAAAGCGATTCGGCGTCACACACGATGGCGTCTAACGAGGACCCCTATCTCATCCTGCCGGGCTCGTCCGCCTTCTCCGACTTCCGCCTGCAGCGCCTCGCCCAGGCCATTGGCGCGACCGAAGTGCGCTCGCTGTGGGTGCACTTTGTCAACCCCCTCAAGCAACTCGCCGACGATGAGTTGAAGACGCTGCAGCAGATCCTGCACTACGGCGAATACCCCAGCAGCGACGACCGCCTCGCCCAGGTCCTCCTCGACGCTGTCAACCGCGGCGGCGAGCCTCGCGACGACAAGACGGTCCTCTTCTACGTCTGCCCGCGCGCCGGCACGATATCGCCATGGAGCTCCCTCGCCTCCATGATCGCCCGCACCTGCACGCTCGAAGGCGCAGTCAAGCGCATCGAGCGCGGCATGGTCATCGCCGCCACCTTTGACCGCGCCCTCGAAGCCGACGAGATCCCCAACCGCGACCATCTCTACGACCGCATGACGCAGACAATAAGCCGCACCGCCCCGAACCTCGACGCCATCTTCGGCCAGGGCGAGCCTGCGCAGGCCACGACCATCAAGTTCGACGAGTACAACAGCGCCCATGCCGCCCTCGACCACGCCAACCGCGAGCTGGGCCTGGCCATGGACAAGTCGGAGATTGAGTACCTCGTAGAGGCATACACACAAGAACTCAAGAGGGGCCCAGTCGACGTCGAGCTGTTCATGTTTGCCCAGGTCAACTCGGAGCACTGTCGCCACAAGCAGTTCAACGCCGAGTTCACCATCGACGGTATGCGCAAGCCCATGTCGCTGTTTGGCATGATCCGCAACACCCACCAGAAGAACCCCAAGCACGTTGTCAGCGCGTACAGCGACAATGCTGCTGTCTTGAACGGCGAGGAGGCGAGCTTCTGGGCACCCAACGACCTGACGGGCGAGTGGCACGGCACCAAAGAGACGGTACACATCCTCTGCAAGGTCGAGACACACAACCACCCGACTGCGGTATCGCCCTTTCCCGGAGCCGCCACGGGCTCTGGCGGCGAGATCCGTGACGAGGGAGCCGTCGGGCGTGGATCCAAGCCAAAGGCTGGACTGGCGGGCTTCACCGTCTCCGACCTGAACATCGAGGGCTTCGAACGCCCATGGGAGCTGAAGGACGTCGGAAAGCCTGCGCACATCGCCAGCAGCCAGGACATCATGCTCGAGGCCCCCATTGGCAGCGCCCAGTTCAACAATGAGTTCGGTCGCCCTTGCACCACCGGTTACTTCCGCACCATGCTCATGCGCGTCTTCACAAACGAGAAAGAATCGGAGCTACGGGGCTACCACAAGCCTATCATGCTGGCAGGTGGTGTGGGCACCGTCAGGCCGCAGCATGCGCTCAAGGACCCTGACGTTGTACCCGCTGGCTCGCACCTTCTCGTTATCGGTGGACCTGCCATGCTTATCGGTCTTGGTGGCGGCGCAGCTTCCAGTATCCAGTCCGGCGAAGGAAAGGTCGACCTTGACTTTGCTAGTGTGCAGCGAGGCAACCCCGAGGTGCAGAGGCGCGCGCAGGAAGTCATCGACGCGTGTCGCTCTATGGGCGACAAGAACCCTATCCTCTTCATTCACGACGTCGGAGCTGGCGGTCTGTCCAACGCGCTGCCCGAGCTTGTTCACGACTCTGGTCTCGGCGCCATCTTCGAGCTACGCGAGATCGACAATGTTGACAAGAGCATGAGCCCACTGCAAATATGGTGCTGCGAGGCCCAGGAGCGTTATGTGCTTGCAGTCAGCCCTGACCAACTCGACTTGTTCAAGCGCATCTGCCACCGTGAGCGATGCGGTTACTCCGTCGTTGGCAAGGCTACCAAGGAGCAGCGTCTAGTGTTGAACGACAGGGACTCTAAGGAGAACCCTACACCCATCGATCTTCCAATGGCCACACTTTTCGGAAAGCCACCAAAGATGTCCCGCATTGTCGAGAGCCGCAAGTTGAGGCTCCCTGCCTTTGACAGCAGCTTGTCAATGTATATTCCCGACACACCCAAGGATGGCTTGATCGCCGAAGCCGTAGACCGAGTTCTCACCCTACCAGCCGTAGGCTCCAAGTCCTTCTTGATCACCATTGGAGACCGCACCGTCGGTGGCCTTACTGTCCGTGATCAGATGGTTGGCAAATGGCAGGTTCCAGTAGCCGATGTATCGGTAACAGCTACATCGCTACTGGCTGGTGTCAGGACTGGCGAGGCTATGACTATGGGCGAGAAGCCTACCCTGGCGCTCATCTCGCCGGCCGCATCTGCCAGGATGGCAGTCGCAGAGTCTCTGATGAACATTGCTGCAGCAAGCCTCTTCGACAGGCTATCTAGAGTCCGACTCTCGGCCAACTGGATGTCTGCAAGCAGTCATCCCGGAGAGGGTGCAGCCTTGTACGAGGCCGTCGAAGCTATCGGCATGGATCTCTGCCCTAAGCTTGGTATATCTATTCCCGTCGGCAAGGACTCGATGAGCATGAAGATGAAGTGGTCCGACAACGGTGAGGCCAAGGAAGTCACAGCACCCATGTCGCTTGTCATCACTGCATTTGCGCCTGTCAACCGCACAGATCGAACATGGACACCCGCTCTGGAGAGAGTCGAGGATGTCGGTGAAACTGTCCTGATGTTCGTTGATCTCGCGGCAGGCAAGAAACACATGGGCGGTTCTGCCCTGGCACAAACATTCGGGCAGATCGGCGACGAAGCACCCGATGTCTACGACGCCGATATCATCAAGGACTACTTTGATGCGATCGAACAACTTCATGAGTCGGATATCGTGCTTGCATACCACGACAGGTCTGACGGTGGTCTTTTCACAACCCTTGTTGAGATGGCCTTTGCTGGACGATGTGGTATTGAGATCATGCTCGACGGCATCGCAGCGTCAAGCGAACCCAAGGATGTTCTGGAAACGCTATTCAACGAAGAGCTCGGAGCTGTCTTCCAGATCAGGAAGAAGGACGAAGTTGCCTTCAACCGCTGCTTCGCTACCTGCGGGCCGCCTCCAGGTATGATCAAGAAGATCGGTCGCGTGCCTGAGGCGTCAAAACAAGACATCTCTTTCTACGTCGGCACCCAGAATGTCTACCGCAGCACACGCCAGAAGCTCCAGCAGCGCTGGGCAGAGACCTCGTACCGCATGCAAAAGCTCCGAGACAACCCTGCTTGCGCCGACGCCGAGTTCAAGAACATCCTCGACGACAAAGACCCAGGCCTGTCGTACAACCTCAACTTCAAGCCTGCCGAAAACATTCTGCCCTTCATGTCCAACCTCAAGTCACCTTTCACCGCCAAGCCCCGCGTAGCTATCCTTCGCGAGGAAGGTGTGAACGGCCAAGCCGAGATGGCATTTGCTTTCCACCAGGCTGGCTTCACTGCCATTGATGTACATATGACCGATATAATCTCTTCGCGTGTATCGCTCGCTGGCTTTGTAGGTATAGCAGCGTGCGGTGGTTTCTCCTACGGTGACGTGCTTGGCGCAGGCCAAGGATGGGCAAAGTCCGTCCTCTTGCACCCTAACACCCGCAAAGAATTCCAAACATTCTTCGCGCGCCCAGACACTTTCGCCCTTGGTGTCTGCAATGGTTGCCAGTTCATGAGCAAGTTGAAGGAGCTGATTCCTGGTGCGGAGCTATGGCCCAGCTTCGAGCGTAACGCGTCTGAGCAATACGAAGCGCGTGTCTGCATGGTCGAGGTGCTCGATCCCAAGGGACCCAACACACCGCCATCTGTCTTCCTGCACGGCATGGCTGGATCCAAACTCCCCATCGTCACCGCGCACGGCGAGGGACGCGCTCACTTCTCCAAATCTGCTTCCGCGGTTTCGAGCCCACAGGCGCTTTACAACGAAAACCTTGTGTCGTTCCGCTACGTCGACAACTATGGAAAGCAAACCGAGACATACCCATACAACCCGAACGGCAGTCCAATGGGTATCAGTGGTGTGAGGAGTACCGATGGTCGGGTATTGGCGATGATGCCGCACCCCGAACGCACTATCTTGAAGGAGGTCGGAAGCTATATCCCACGAGATGTAGAAGGATGGGGCGAACTTGGCCCGTGGTCACGCATGTTCAAGAGTGCTAGGCGATGGGTCGGCTAGAGCACACTTGACGAGAGACGCGATTAGGTATGCATGGATTGGTTGGCGTTTAGGGAGGTTACTATAGGCATTTACGATACGGAAATGATAGATTTACAAGCATCCAAACGATTGTTTGCAGAGGCGAGGTGTATTTTTACTTCGTACATCGTGTCAGGCATCCACTTTGCCAAGGAAATGCACAACAGGGGACTCTCCATCCTCGTACAACAAGCAAATCTGCAATCAGCTGTCTCAGTCAATAGATCTAGGTCAAGATGGGCGGAGTTCTCTCAATTCTGCGAAACACAGCCAAGGCTCTCATCGCAGCAGCATCTCTCTTAAGAGCTTTGTCAACCGAGTTCGATCAAGCTCTGAAGCGTGCATCACAACCCCCGGGTTTTCCGGTCCCCAAGCCATCCGAAACTTACTGGCTCAGCGACCCTCCACACCCTGCACTATGCGACGCAAGCTCGCCCAAACTACCGCAAACCGTAGATGTGGTCATTATCGGTTCCGGGATAGCAGGCGCTGCTGTTGCGCGGTCATTATTAAACGAGCGACGCCGTCGCAACATCCGCACTGATGAGAAAGTGGTGGTCCTCGAAGCTCGACAGCTGTGCAGCGGTGCGACTGCTCGGAACGGTGGCCACATAAAACCTTCAGTGTACGAAAGCTTCTCTCGATTCAGCAAGCTGTTGCCCAAAGATCGTGCTGCTGCCCTGGCGCGTTTCCAGCTTTTGCATGTCAAGTACTTAACAGAATTATCTGAAAGCGAAGGCATTGAGGCTGCCGAAGCTCGGAAGGTCGAGACTGTGGACTTTTTTCTGGATGACGAAAGTTTCCTCAAAGCTGTCGCCGATGTTGAGGAGTTGAAGAAATGGTTGCCTGAGGTTGAGATTGCTGTGTGGAAGGGTGATGAAGTGCAGAAGGTTCGACGACACCCCGAGGTGACTAGCAAAGGAACTCCTGATGCTGACGAATATAGAAATTCGGTGTCAACAACAGCGTCGTCGGTGCTTTGTCATACGAAGCAGGCGCTATCTGGGCGTATCGATTCGTTGCATCTATCTGGAATGGTCTTCTCAACGACTTCCCTGACACCCTCTCTATCGAGACAAGTACGCCTGTAGAAGCAATAAGCGTCTCAGAAACGGCCTCTGAAGACTTCCCATACGCTATGCAAACTACTCGAGGAACGATATTCGCCCGCCATATAGTCCATGCCACCAACAGCTTTGCAAGCCACCTTGTCCCAGGGCTACGCAGCAAGATCGTGGGCGCACGAGCCCACATGTCCGCTCAGCAACCAGGACAAACATTCCCATATGCTGACGGCATGCGCTCATGGAGTGTAGTCTACGGCGAGGGTTTCGACTACGTCACACAACGTCCACCAGCCACCAGTGGTCCCAAAGGAGATCTGATGATCGGAGGCGGCTTCGTGCGATCGCTGAAACAAGGTATCGATCAAGTCGGTCGGTATAACGATGGCCCTCAACTCGACTTATTGACCGCCGCACACATAGCGGGTGTCTTTCCGGCAGTGTTTCATCCCAAATGGGGTGCTGGTGCAGAGTTGAAGCAGATGTGGTCCGGCATCATCGGTCTGACTGGCGATTACATGCCATTCGTCGGTCGCTTGGATGCAAAGCTAACGGGGCGGGATATCAAAGCACGAAAACGCGTGGCGTCTGACAAGGACTCGTGCGGGGAGTGGATTGCGGCGGGCTTCTCGGGAGAAGGGATGGTGTGGGCTTGGCTTTCAGGTGCTGCTCTTGGTATCATGATTGCTGGTAGTGAAGAAGAGGACTTGCCTGAAGCTCCGGGGAGACCGGGTGGCAAGTTATCGGAATGGTTCCCGAATGAGCTCTTGGTGTCGAAGGAGAGGATGCGCAGCGCTGATGTTAGTAACCTGGCTAATTAGTGTTAGAAGCAAGGGTATGGTTCGTCGGCTTATGTCGATGGATTTGCGAAAACACCTTATATAACGATCGATTGTGTATTAGGTTCTATTATGCTATGATACTCTCTTCTAGTTACAATTCCTCTATTCCCAACGCCGTCGATTGCTTCATTGCTGTGTATTCCAAATGTAGGGTGCTTCAGTTCAAGCAGCCTCTTTCTCTATATCTCTTGACGCTTGTTCTGCTGGCTTTCCTGCACGTTCGTTGATGCTCCTCCATTCCACCATCAACGCTCCAATGATGGTGCAAGCGCTGAGTGCTGCTGCTAGCAGAAACGTCCGAGTTATTGAGTAGCTGTACGCCGATACCACCGTATCGATCTGGTTCGCCGCTACCACTTTTCGGAGGTCTGTTGCACCGGTGTTGATGATGAGTCCAGTGTCAAGGTTGGAGTTGCCCGATAGTTGCTTGACGAGCTGAGTCGAGAAAAGATTTTGTCCAACAGCAAGGAAGATAGCACCACCCTGTTGATTTAGGAAGAAGACTATAGGTTTACGAAGTCAGTGTATGTTCGGCATGCAGTTCATACAGTGAAACTTACTCATCGCCATGCCTAGGGACACATCTGAGCGTGACAGGATAGTCTGCGGCACCAAGTTCGTTGTTTGAGCCCCAAAGCCAAGCCCGCACCCGTAGAAGACCTGGTAACCAATCCATTCGCGAGCGCTCGACTCCGGCGTAAGTGTAGAAAGGAGGCCACTGGCGATTGATGCGACAACGGCCGAAAGGAGCAAAGCAGGGACATAATATCCTATCTTCTGAGTTATCACTGCTGTGATAATGCCGAAGACAATGAGCGATGTGCACAACGGTATTGTGCGTACACCAGCCTGCATGGCAGACTGGCCCTGGGCTGCCTGGAACCAAATGGCGATGTAGTATACAGCGTTCATCATACCGCCGGCGAGGAGAAAGATGAATAGCATAGCACCGCCCATCGAACGGTTCAAGATGACCCGAGGCGGGGCCATGGCTGTATCCGGCATCGTAAACTCCACAACCAGGAATGCGATGAAAGTAACTGCAAATGTGACGAGCAGGCCGATGATTCTCGGTGCTGACCAGGGATCGGTTGTACCTCCCCACTGAAGAGCGAGAATAAGGCATACCATGGATGGTACGAAGAAGAGAAGACCTATTGGGTCGAGGCGCTTGAGCTGAGCAAGAATGGACAGCTTCTCCTTAGGCGTTGAAGGGAGATCCAGAAAGAAGAATATGCATGCGAACGTCAAGGCACCGATGGGGAGGTTTATGTAGAAGCACCATCTCCACGTCAAGGTCCTATTCGCGTGTTAACCGTGACTCATGAAGAAAGCCTGGAGACTTACGGATTGTCAGTAAATGTGCCTCCAACGAAGGGCCCCAATACAGATGACACACCAAATGCGAGTCCGAGAAAAGAAGTGAAAATGGGTCGCCTTCGCAATGGCACGAGAGGTACAATGATCATGACCGCACCACATTGAAGTCCAGCTGCTCCGATACCGGCGATTGCGCGACCGACGATGACTTCAATGAGGGTAAGCGAGTGTATCATCTCGCGATGTGGTGGATTACTTACGAACAACAGAAGTAGGTGCGGCCCCACACAATGCACTGCCAACTTCGAACAGGAAGACGGACACCAAAAACGTCCGTTTCGTATCGTAAAGCTGGTATACTTTGCCGAAGAGTGGATTGAAGATTGCGCACGTAAGCATATAGCCACTACCATACCAGCCTATATCCGCGATAGTGCCGTATGTGTTTGTGATTGCCGGTATAGCAGTAGCTAAACAGTGTCAGTAAGGACTGAAGACGGAGCAACCTCGCGTACCAATGATCATGCGGTCGAGGGCGACAAGGAAGAAGGCCAGATAGATCGAGATGATGACGAGCCAAAACTTGAGCGTTTTGGGCTTATAGTTCTCCTCGGAATCTGCGTACTCGTTGCCTCCAGAGGCTGAAGGTGAGGCATCCTTTTTAAGCTCTTCGTGCAAACTAGCGGGATGGGCCATTGTTGTAGTCCCAACTTGAGATGTTGTAGTCATGGCGTAAACTTCGGAATAGGCGCAGTGGGGTTCAGTGGGAAACTTGAGATTGGATATACTAGAACCTTGTCAAGAGAAGCTTGGCTGTTATATGTACATTCGGTATGTGCAACGTCCCGAATGGTGTTTTGCAATACAATCCCGTTCGGGGAGTAGCAATGTCCGACATGGAGGCGGTCTACGCAAACCTTGGAAGCGAACTTCGACCTGTTGCAGAGTAACGAGTGATTCAGAACTGGTAGGAAATACCAGAGTTTCTCCGAACGCATACTAACGATTCGATGTGTTGTAACAATTCAATGTCCTGAATGCCCAGAGTTGGTGTTCGATGGGAGAGAGATCACGTGATGGGCTCGGGGATTAGATCTGACCGAGAGGCTGGCCGCACCTTACTGAGGCGTCGGTGCGCGTCACTACGCCATCGCGGATCGAACATGGACTCCATACATCAATACGCGTGAACAAACGCGCGAAGATTGCGGAGATATTGCGATGGAAGTCATCCCGCCACTGCTGAAACAAGAGAAAGGAGTGGATGTGGTTGACGAACGCGACTGAAGCGGGAAGTGCGGTTTACGTAAGCCTCACGCGTCGTGATGGTGGTATCGAGCCTGGGCACCCTCTTGCGCCGGCCTGCCTGCCTGCTCTCCTGCGAACCGCCCTCTTCGTCGCAAGGACCCATATTTCTCACATGAAGCCACAATGCTCTTTCGTTGCAGTCAGCCCGGGGATAAGCAGAGCCAGGCGAGCGCCTCGCGTCTGGTTGCCTGACTGCCTGGTTAGCGCCTGCCTCGCCACCTGCTCTGTGGTGGCCTTTTCCACTCCGCGCTCGCATACCTGATCAATACCGCTGTCACGAAAGAGAGCTCGTTCCCTTGACATGTCGTCTGATATACCCACACCTGAACTCAGCGCTGATGCACTGTCTCCATTAGCGCATGCAAGCAAGTCTCAGCGCGTGCTTTCGTGCGTGCTATGCGCGCAAAGAAAGGTCAAATGTGACCGGGCTTTTCCTTGCTCAAACTGCAAGAAGGCGGGTGTGCAATGCATTTCCGCAGCGACGCAACCACGCCAACGACGTCGCAGATTTGCCGAACGGGAGCTGCTTGAGCGTCTTCGCCACTACGAAGACCTCTTGAAGACGAACGGCATTGCCTTCCGACCCTTACATGCATCTTCGAACTTATCCACAGGGCCCCACGAAAGTAACGTCAGTCGCGGTCAGGAGATTCTCAGAGCTCAATCGTCCACCATATCAGATACCGACAACACCCAACCCAAGTACGCAGAAACTGTAGCACTTGAAAGAGACACTACTAACTGTACTAGGAGTTTTTGGCTTGCCTTAAACCGATTAGCATACGATGCTGATGACGACGGCAGCGACGACGATTCCGAGAACAGCGGCTCTTCGCAACACGCATTACAGCAAGCGCAGATTGTGCAAGCCTGGGACAACCTCTATGCGCAGAAACTACACCGTAACGAAGATCTCTTGTTCTGCTCGCGTAGTACGGCCGTCGACCTATCAGTTCTCCATCCCCCACAAGGCCAGGTGTTCAAACTTTGGCAACTGTACCTTGAGAATGTCGACCCATTATTGAAGCTCACCCATACGCCTACCCTCCAGCCACGCATCATCGATGCCGCTAGCGACATCTCACATATCGATCCAAATTTGGAGGCCCTAATGTTCTCCATCTATTGCATGGCTATTTTCAGCCTCAATCAGGAGCAGTGTCAATCATGGTTTGGTAGGCCTAAGCCGGACCTGATCAGATCTTACCAGTTGGGTGCAAGGGAGGCGCTGCTGAATTGTAACTTCTTGAAGTCTAACGATCGAGAATGCTTGACAGCCCTTCATCTCTACCTGGTCTCACTCAAACCAGACACAGACCCACGGTCATTGTCTTCGATGCTAGGGGCTGCTGTTCGCATTGCTCAGCGAATGGGTATCGATGCCGAATCTGCCAATTCCAAACATTGCGTGCTAGAGGCCGAATTACGCAGAAGACTATGGTGGTCTCTCTCACTCTTTGACAACAGGATGTCTGAAATGACCGAGAGCAAGTCCACTACATTAATCCCGACATGGGATTGCAAAGCCCCGCTCAACGTCAACGATTTCAACTTACGAGTCGAGACCAAGACCCCTCCTGTTGAGTCTGAGGTGGTTTCCGAAGCCTTGTTTCCAGTCATCCGTAGCCAGATTGGCGAGTTCATTCGTCAAAGCCCATCTCATTTGGATTTCATCAATCCGGCCCTGAAGTCTTTCTCCAAGAAGGCATTTGACGCCTCCTATTCAGGGCTTGACGAGCTTGCCGCTTTTGAGTCAACGATAGAGCAAAAGTATCTTACGCGTTGCGATGCTCAAAACCCGCTGCACTTTCTAACCATGTGGATGGCGCGCGCGTCACTCGCAAAGATCGGATTTGCACAATACCTATCAAACAACTCGAAGGGACTTGCGCAAGGAAGTGAGGAGCAGCGCAACGTTGGTCTTGGATTTGCGCACCGTATGCTTGAGTGCGATACGCTGCTCATGACCTCACCCCTCATAGCAAATTTCCGCTGGGTTGTCTACATGCACTTCCCGTTCCCTGCCTATATTCATCTCGCCCAAGAGTTGAAAATACGCCCACTAGGCCAACTCGCAGATCGATGGTGGCAGGCAATGAGCGAGAACTGCGCCGCTCGGTTGATGGACTTCGAGAAAAAGGACAGCCCGGTGGAGACCAAACCCAACAACCCTTTCTTCACACTCTTTGGGGGGCTTGTTCTACAAGCTTGGTCGGCACGTGAAGCAATAACGTCCGAACAATCGGATCCACCAGCTATCGTGGCGCAAATCAGACAAAAGATGGCCCTAAGGGACAAACTAGCGGCAGAGTCGCAATTCCAGACGCCAGGTCTTGATGATCCACAAACGTCCGAGCTCATTAGTTTGGACAGTCTCGGCTCCCAATCGAGCGTTACCCGTGGCAGCATGAATTTGGGCTGTGTAGCTTTCCCCATGGAACAAGCTTCGATGAACTACAATGGCAATCCATGGGATTGGCCAATGCCGGCTTGGGCTGGAATGCCCGGTCAAGGCTGGTGAACCTACCGTATTCACGCGTAGATCCTCTTGTTCGATGAGTACCTCATGCGACACGTGATCGTGCCCATAGAAGCCATCGCCAAGACGGACTGCTCTTTGTATCAATAGACTGACTCGAGCAGTGAGGACCAGGGTGTCTCAGCTGTCACGACAGATTCACCGAGCCTCCCTTTTAGCTCCGAGTCAAAAGTCTAGTGCAAGCGCTGCCTTCGTCTCGGCTGACCTAGCCGCATTCACACCAGGATACCCCAATCGCCTTCTGCACTCCGGCCGTTGTGCCGACAACCGTCACTTTTCACCTCTCAATGTCATGCATCGCAGCTACAATGGATTGCGTTACTGAAATTTAGAGCACCTTATCAAGCCGGCTTTAAATCGTGTGGATCCGCCACGATACCTCCGATAGAGCTGTTCCTGCAATTCCCATGCGCTGGGAACAGGGGCGGAGTTTTGACGGTGGTTATTCACATGAAGTTCTTTTTTTGTAGATAACGTCTCCCTGATGGGCGCAGGGGTGGGGTGGAGCGTTGGCCTTGGCGTTTCAAGCAGCCTGACATGGAATCGATAATTGCCAGCTGGCACGTGTAGAACCACCGCCGCAATCCTTCAGCAGGCCGTTCAGGATGTATGAAATACTGTCAGGTATAGCACTTTGTCCGAGGAAAAGGCACATGTCCCCATGAAAATGTGGGAACTGGGGTCATCGCATCAGCATAACAACTCATTACAACAATGCGACACTCCACATCACGACCCAAGAGCCGAGATCCATTCGATCTTTTGCTTGAGGCGCAGTCAACAGCATGACTCCAGGAACACCGAGCATACCGATAGTGGCATCATCGCTAACCTGCCTGGGTCTCCCGGCCCGCTACCGTTGACATGAACCCCCTGTTAGGTCCGGATCTGGTGCCATTAGCGCTATCGAAGATACTAAAATACGATATATAGGTGAGCATATACAGGGTAGCTACTCACGAACGGTTCCCATCTTGGCAGTACGCTATCCTCTTCGATGCTAGGTCTACAATCCCCTCGTTCGTTTCAATGGTATCCATTTTTGCAAACTCCTATGCGGGTCACCGTTATAGGATCGTGGCTGGGACGGGTATATAGATACTTGACGCCAGTCCTCCGATTCCTGCCTCAGGCCAGTTGTCTGATTTCACATCCAAGATGCAGGTCCGCACTCTTTTCGCCGTGCTTTCGGCAGCCACTCTTTTACAATTCACCCACGGTCTTAATGCTTGCCCTGGCAACGACGATATCTTTACTGGAGCGGAAGGCATCAGATATCGAGTTTGCCCCGGCACCGACCTTACAGGACCCACGAAATCGATCACGCGCGTTGCTTCGGTTACAGCATGCGCAAAACTTTGCGACAAGAGTATGGACTGCTTCAAGGCAGTGTTTGATACCAAGACGAAAGATTGCCACTTCAAGGATCTTGCCGGCCTGAATTGGGTTGCCAACGATCGCTTCCAGGTCATTCAAGCAGAGCAAGTGAACATCGCTCGCTGCCCTGCTGGCGAATGGACGTATCACAGAAACAGGGTAAGTCTGCTCCCCAGTAGCTTGAGACACGCGGACATTAACATTGCACCGCTAGAAACAATACAGCATCTGCCCTGGCACCGACATCCGCGGACCAAGCGAGAAGGTATGGCAAGGCGTGAACACATTTGATACCTGTGCCTACCTGTGCGCCAACTGGGCCACGTGTACCGCCGCTGTCTACGATTCTGCCAAGAAGGCTTGCCACATCAAAGCCGACTCGCGCAGTAACACTTTGATCTGGTCAACCGACAAACGCTTCGATGTAATGCGTCTCAATGTAGCGCCTGCACCTGCGAAGGATGGTGAATGGTCAGATCTTATCCGCCTGCCCGTCATCCCCGTTGCTGCATATGTCGTCCCGGAATACCCTGTCTCGGAACGTCTTCTCGTATTCTCGAGTTGGGGCGCTGATGCTTTCGGAGGTGCTGGTGGACGCACTCAATTTGCGGACTACAACTTCAACACGTAAGTCATAGTGGTCCAGTATCATCAACGCACGCTAACATTATCTTAGTGGAGCTGTTTCAGCTCGTACAGTGAGCAACACTCATCACGACATGTTCTGTCCCGCAATGAGCAGTCTTCAGGACGGAAAGCTTCTGATCCAAGGAGGATCTGACGCTTCCGCCGCCAGTCTTTATGATCCAGCATCAAACGGATTCACTCGTGCACCCGACATGTTAGTCTTTTCTAGCCCAACGATATGAACTTCATACTGATGGTACTTAGGAAAATGGCTCGCGGCTACCAATCATCCACGACGACATCCGACAACCGCGTTTTCACCATCGGAGGTGCATACTCTGGCCCACGCAAGGGTAAAGACGGCGAAGTGTACGACCCTACCACCAACGCCTGGACGGCACTGCCAAACGCGAAGATGAAGGCTATGCTCACGACCGACCATGAAGGCATCTGGCGTGAAGACAACCATGCATGGTTGTTTGGTTGGAAGAACGCCTCCGTTTTCCAGGCCGGTCCAAGCAAGGCCATGAACTGGTACGGTACCAAGGGAACTGGATCGCAAGTCGCTGCTGGTATTCGTGACCCCATTGATGATGCGATGTGTGGAATCTTCGTCATGTACGATGCCACTGCTGGCAAGATCTTGAGTGCTGGCGGCGCGCCTGACTACACCAACGCAGACGCCAACGCTCGGGCCCACATCACTACAATCGGCGAGCCGAACACCCCTGCCAAGGTTGAGCGAGTCGCGGACATGGCCTACCCTCGCGGTTTCTCCAACGCGGTCGTTCTGCCTGACGGAAAAGTTCTCGTAAGCGGTGGTCAAAAACGCTCATTGGTCTTCACCGATACGGATGGAGCTCTCTACCCAGAACTGTTCGACCCAGCCACCAAATCTTGGAAGACTCTAGCACCACAAGCTGTCCCCCGCAACTATCACTCAGTCAGCATCCTGCTAGCCGATGGACGCGTTTTCTCCGGTGGCGGTGGTCTTTGCTACGTCGCGCAGGGAGTCGGCCGCAGCTCCGCCAACTGCAACAAACTCGTCGACCATGCCGATGGCCAGATCTTTTCCCCACCGTATCTCTTTAACAACGACGGTACCCCCGCAACCCGACCAGTCATCAGCTCTTTGAGCGCGGAGAGCGTCAAGGTTGGAGGCAAACTGACCATCCAAGTCGAGACGTCTACACCAGGCCTCAAGTTCGCCTTGGTCCGCATCGGCAGCGTCACACACTCCGTCAACACCGATCAGCGCCGCGTGCCTTTGACCAACGTCAAGGGTGATGGATGCAGTTACACTGCTACACTGCCTGACGACAGTGGCATTCTCATCCCAGGTGCCTACTACGTCTTTGTCATGTCGAAGGAGGGAGTTCCTAGCATCGCCCGGACTGTACAGATCGTACTCCCATGAGTTTACCGTGGCACGGGTAGACCCACATACTGGATGTCGCAACGCTCTTTACGCACCACTCGCTTTCATACATCATCATCACATTAGCCTAACCCATAAGTCTTTCATTCCCCTACATAGTTAGTATATAATGTATATTACAAGATAATGTATACTATGAGTACAGAGGATGAGCAATCAGAAGATCATCCTCATGTTAAAAATTCTTCGTATAGATGAGTGATTTACCCGTCAAGTTTTCCTGACTTTGCACATCCCGGTAGTTGAGCCTCCCCCAAGGATCAAAACTTCTTCGCATCTTTCGGCTAATATCCTGCAAGCAACCAGATTGTACTGACCGTAGCACCCGTTGCAGATGACACATGTGCTGTCGATATGGGAATGTAGGCTCTAGTTGGGCTAGCTTATAGGTTTTGGTGACACTATGCCGGCTGTTAGTTGCCTGACACCGCTCACGAACTGTGTACGCCAGCTTTTCTCAGTTTCTCAACCCGCATACAATTACACCCGAACCAATTGTACGCTCTCAGCAAACCGTGCTTCCTAGTTGTCACTAGACGCCCTAGCCCCGCTAACTGTCACTGTTCTTCGGACTCCGAGGCCTGCTAGCGAACTTGACATCTACGACCACGAAATGACACTGTGAGACATACACACTCAAGAGCTATTGCCTGCGAGGCCAAATGTGTTTACGATCAGTTTTAGATAGAGTGCTGGCGTTCCATGTGGAAGAGGGCTATACGAAATGTAGGAGGAGGTGGCGCTCACGATGCGCGGAAGCAGAAAGGCGTCATAGCATTGATCAGCACGAACAGGGCTTTCACGATCGCAAGACTATCGACTTGAAACGTTCCCTATACTCACGATGAGCGTTGCCAGCATCTCACACATGTCTCGAAGGACCTTGGCCGCTGGGGCTGGCACTAGAGACATGGTAAGCTACGCGTATATAGTACGCAGCCTCGACTTTCACCAGGAGCACCTATCAAAGCAGTCTCAGAACGTCGTTACTTGAGTCCTCATATTGCAAGAGAGCCATCATGCACTTCTCTCCTCTCCTTTTCAGCCTCAGCGCTCTGGCAGCCACGATTACGACCAATCTAGCACCCGCACTACTCACAGAAGCACTACCAGCACTAGATGCAGAAACAGCCGAGCTAGGCCGCGACGCACTATCCGGCAACCTGCCCAAAAACCTTGCCAAGATTTGGATCTTCAGCAACCTCAACTGCGATCAAAACAACGGTCCTGCTTGGAACATCTACGTACTTCCCGGCGAGGACAGATGCATTCCGTATCAGAATGTCGGATCGATCTTCGCGTGGTACGAGTCTGATATCGGGTACGTTCTCAGGTTCTGCTTCAAAGGAGGTAAACTGACGTGTGGTCTCGTTTTTGTAGGCATTGCACGACTACGATTCATAGTGGTAGTAATTGCAGAGGCAGCAGTATGACGCCGTATAACAAGATGTGCACTAGTGAGTTGTTCGCGTCGCTCAGCGTCTCGTGCCCTAGGGTGTAAGAGCATCGGTCGCAACACTCTCCCAAGTGCATCAATAGGGGTGTGCCCTTCTGGGAAGATGCTGTGGAAGTGGTCGTTACGATGAGGAGCGGGTTTCTTCCAAGTGTTCTTCCGTTTCTTCACAAGTAAATCACTCAATAAGGCTCACTATTGTACCGAACAAGTTGATTTGGCTTTACGGTACTATGCTAGCCGTGACCCATATCCATCAGTGGAAAAGTCTTCATCCACTGTTCGCAAACCACTGCGCGTGATAGTCATTCATTCCCTCCATGAATCCTCCTAAGCCTCTCAAACTGCTCTAGTGTGGGAACTTCCAGTCCTCGGGGCCCTCGGGGCCGGGCCAAAAGAACCCGCCATCCTTGTCCCAAGGCTCGTCAAACTCGGAGGAAGAGTCATAGTCCGATACATGACGGCATCGGTAACAGCGGTGCACGGACTTGTCGAACGGGACTCCATCCCGGTATGCTGCTGCGCAATCAGCGCACACGGTGTTCCGGATCCTGTCCATGCAGACGGCGCACTGTGTCCTGAGGAACTCCGATGGCTTATCGGACGACTTCTTGCAGGTCACTATGCAGCCATGCTGCTCCTTGACCGGGCGTTCGTGCCAAACGATCCTGTCTTTGCCGCTGTGAGCGACAGTGGCAGTGGCCAAGAGGGCCACGGCGGCGACGACGGAGAGGAGGAGACGCATCTTTGGTGAGGGTCTGGAAGTCTTAGTTAGTATCAGTAGGCAAGAGGGTTAGGCAGGTAGTACGAGAGTGGTATCGTTTTGAAACTATGATTGATTAGCTAGTCATAATAGGTAAGGGGGAAGCTATTCGTACATTTGCGTGAGGTTGTTCTTCCTGAGACTTGATTGACTTGTGTTGGGACTGGAAGCTACTGCTATATGGTGAGAGGAAAAGCATATGAGAGGAAGGATGTGAAGGTTTTTATATGAAGACGAGTCGAATAGAGGTTTCTAGACGGTCGGTAAACTAACGAAAATTCTCCTCCGCACTGTTGAAGAACCATGCCTCTACATGGGCACAATTAGCATTACCGGGATTTCATAGGAGGACGAAGGCGATTTGTAAGTGGCCTCAGGTCACGAGGATCACCAGCCAATCGTGTGTACGGCGTCGCAAATTCCGGTGAGTTATTCAATGACCTTCAAGACGTGAATCTGGTCGACCCAAGCAATAGGAGAATGTGCTTCCCGTAGTTGACAACGGTTCATCATATGCTGCGTATGTGTGAGGCTCTCGTGAGAGACAACCGTTTCTTTTCGTTCGTACCTTGGCTCAGGCATCTGGTACCAGATTTCATTGCTTTCGCGAGTGCTCCGATCTGAAAGTGAACTTTGGTATGGACGTAGTTTGGAATAGGTAGGCTTTGAGTGGTTCGTCGGTACCGGTTATCGCGGAACCAGTGAGCCTGGCACAGAACATTATCTGGGACGTACTCGCTGGATCATATACATTGGTTCCTAGGGGCCAACAGACCGCTTATACTTGCATGGCGCGATTTAGTGATGAGATACGGCCTCGAGATATGAGCTTCATCGCATGCGCCATGCTCCTAGCTATGCACTATCCTGGCGTAACGTTTGCAGTTCCGTGGCAACCCAAAGCGCGTACGGTATAGTCGGAATTCGACATGATGCACTGCTGCTCATTCTATGTACCAGGCCAGGAAGAAAAGAAATATCGAGCATCCCCGTCGAGAGTTGGGCATCGTAACCAAACCACCAAAGCCATGATGCCTACGCTGTCGTAACGCCTGACACCGGGTATGAATTAGCAAGATAAAACTCAGAGAGCGAAATGATGACGGAAGCGCTCTACGAAAGAGTGATATCGCTACCTTCCCCATTCTGCTCCATCGTAGTATCGTCCCCATCGCCGCCTGCAAGGACCTTGGTCTGAGGCCGGTATCCGTCTGGCGGACCTACACCAGGTGTGCACGCTGCGACATTGCCATCCTCGTCGACGAATTCGAAGTTGTAGCGGGAGAGCAGATGAGGGATCGCCGAAAGTTGTGGTCCGTAGCGCGCGGTATTATCGTAGAGCTCGAATAAAGGAACGGCGAGGAGTTTCATGTTCTTCGGAACGCTGAGAACCTCTGCGAAGTATTAGCAATTGTACATATTGTGGGAGACAGGCGACTCGAGTCGACTTACTGCTACGAGGAAGCTGGATAAAGTACAGCTTCTTGCATTCCTTTGGCCTGGTGACATGCGCAGGGATGAAAGGGTACATGAAGGTCTCGAAGTTGGGCCGCCACCACTGCGCCAGCGTATCGCCAACTACCCACTCGTCGTTTACGCCTTCGCCTGTGAACTGTGTGCCCACTGGTGCGAGGCGCTCGTTCAGCCTCGCCTTGAAGCCCTCAATCTCGTCGTCTTCGGCGCGGAGGTAATCTCCAGGTCTGTGTGACGTCAGTGATGATATAAGACAGAGCATGCGAATGCGTACAGCTTGAAGAAGGCGTTTGCGATCTGCAACATGAGGATGTGCGGGTGGTTGTGCTCATGGCAGACCAGGATGCCTTCGCAGGTCCGTCGCATGCCATGCTCCGAGTAGTGCTCTTCTAACCGCTTGAGTCGGGCAAGGACGGAAGGGTCTTCTTCGGGCTGGCCATCTTTGGTGCCAAATGTGTAGTTGCTTAGAGGGAACAAGCGGATAGTCTTTGGCTGGTTGCCGTTGAAGTCTTTGGGAATGACGGGGCTGCTTCAATTAGCTAATGCGATAGACACAGCTTTTCAGACGTACGGGTATGAGCTCTGGGACGCTTCCTTGACTATGGTGGACATGGTGGGCGCGAATGGGTCGTGTAAGCGGTGGGTTGCTTGTTGCGTCGCGACAATCGAGCAGTCGCGGCGAGCTCGCAGGGATTCAGGGTCTCGTAAGCACGTGATGATGCGCGGACCTGGGGGTGCCCCACGGCAGCTGCCACAGATGCACCACGCTGTCGTCATCACCGCAACCAAAGTTCTCAAGAACTCATTGATTGCGCATGGTATCAGTATGGCACAGACAGCATTGATCACCGGTGGTAAATAGCCTCCACGAATGTGTTACTGCTAGCTGACCCCAGAGCGAAGCTAGTGGTCTGCTCGGCCGTCAAGTGCAGCGAGAGTTCTTGGTAGATGGCTGGAAGTCTATCGGCACTGGTCTGCATCGCATCACTGCTCCAGATGTGGTGAAGCTGGACATTTTGGATCAGAATGAGATCGCCAGGGTGCTTGATGAAGTCAACCCGAAAGTCGTCGTCCACTGTGCTGCCAACCGCTTCCCTGACTCTTGCACCAAAGACCCAGAAGCGGCCAGGAAATTGAACGTGGACGCGAGTCGAGCGCTGGCTGAAGCCGCCATCTCTAGGGGAATCTTCCTCATATACATCTCAACAGACTACGTCTTTGCAGGAAGCCCTGGAGAAGCTCCCTACAGGACAGATTCGACACCGAGCCCACCTAATACGTAAGTATCGGTTTATCACACCATAGTCGTAGCGGATCTTGGGTCGTTCGTTCATGTCTTCCGAGCCTGCTCCAGAAACAACGCCATCCCGGGATAATGCTGGGCGAGGTGTCTGATCACGGCTGACAACCTCCATCAGGTATGGCCAAACCAAGCTGGAAGGCGAACAGACTGTTCTTGAGGTTGCTGCTAAGACTGGAGCAAAGAACAAAGTCGTCGTTCTTCGAGTACCGGTCCTCTACGGATCCTGCGATGAACCCAAAGACAGTGCAGTCAATGTTCTAATGTCGCAATTGTGGAACGCCCAGCAAATAGAGCATGGTCAACCCAAAATTCAAGTCGACGACTATGCGCTTCGATACCCTACCAACACTCAAGACGTTGGCCGAGTATGCCGCGACATAGCAAAGCTGTATCTTGATCCCGCAAACGCGTAAGCCAAACCCGCGTCTCCGTTTGATGAGATGCTTCTTTCACACAGTGCTGACGGCCTGTTATAGGAAGCGCGAGCTACCCAACGTTCTTCAATTCAGTTCGGAAGATCGCATGACTAAATGGCAGATCTGCCAAACATTCTCCGATATCATGGGGTTGCCGCTCGACAATATGGAGCCCTTCAAACCTGACGAAGAACTCAAAGATGGCACCATCAGGCCTTACGACTGCCATCTGGACACTAGCGCACTACGGAACCTGGGTATCGATGTATCAACTGTTGACTTCCGCACATGGTGGTAAGTACTAGGCGCTGTCGCTTTTCACCGCTCACAATTTTGCAGGAGACGCGAAGTTGGGGCTTTCCGCTGAGGATTATCCCGGTTGACAACACACAAACGCCTGTCGGTAGATCATCAGAAAAGCTTCCAGAACGTGATGACCTTGTGCTCCTACTGCATAATGGTCAGGCGGCTCGATATTGCTAGTCGCGAAGCCAAGATCGCGACGCCGGTAGATCTCCGCGACGTGTCCCAAGTATAGCTATCCGTACCTGCGTTTCCACTGTTACAGAAAAGTCTGAACCCACTTGCCGCACATCTCGGATATCGCATTGGATGTTCCAGCGCCGGCCCGCAATCGTCGCGTTCCGAGGTTGTGGTTCTTGCCCTAATCGGGCCTGCGGTCGCTAAATGATTGGATGGTAGCCATCTTTGCGGCGCAGTCTCGCGCCTTGAGTTTTGGGGGCGCTTATGCTCCACGATAATGCTGTTAAGTATCTATCCTCTCAGCGTGTAGAATGTCTGAATCTACTTCCGTTGCTTTGCATTTCTCGCGTTGCGCTTCTTTTCGTTTGCTCGTCGCGCATTCTTTTCGTTCGCGATGGATGCCAGTCTAGCGCCTGTGGCGCGATCGGGCATCTTTCCTGCCATACTTGCACCCAAGAAATCAAACACACTCGTTTCCGTGTTCTCACGTGGAACTGACGACCGAGGTACGTCACGTAGACAATAATATGTCAGGCTTTCCGCTGATGAGTAAATAGTTTCAAAGACTTGGAAGCCACCAGCGCTGCGCGCTCCAGTACTCATTCTGACCACTGCGATATGCTGGTCATTGATCGGAGTACTACAATTCTTACTCCACAAAAGCCAAAGCGAAAGTGGAATCATATTTGCACCTCGAATCAGTGATCTACCATTAGGTCGCACCTTTCTTTATTTGTACTTCCCTACCATTGCAGCCGTCCTCTTCAGCATCTACTGGGCATGGATCGACCTGGAAACGAAACGTATGGAGCCATACTACCAATTAAGTAAAGAGAATGGTGCGCTTGGAAAAGACTCTTTGTTGCTTCACTACCCCTTCGACTTCATTCCGCTAGTCCCTCTGAAGGCTGCTAGAGATCGGTACGTTCCCATCAACGTCACTCACTCGCGATATGACACTAAATATTCCAGGCATTGGCCGGTATTCTGGGCTTCATTTGCAGTAGTACTCGTGACTTGGGGGCTGGTACCGACACAAGCTGGTATCTTCACCGTCCGAACAGTCACACGTACGGCGAACATGACTTTCGATGTCTCCACATTCAACATTCCCATTCAGCAACAAGCCTCAAGCTTGACACTTCGACACTCACAATCTACATACGGCATAGTGAGTTTGAACGAAACGCTTCCTCCATTTATGGCTCGCAATTACACTCTGGCGCCCTTCAGGATGTCCGCAGAAGATGAGCTGGGCAACATGCCACAGGGACAAGAGTCTTGGACTGTTCCAACAACCATGTACTCGTTGGATCTTTACTGTGAGAACGCCTCGCATCAAGCCGACAACTCGAAAAAGATCTTCTATGTGAGCAATAGCGGTTGCAACTTCACGCTAGGGCCTACAGGAAACTTGACGGTCGGTGAAGACATCGGTTATGGCACTGAGGCGCTTTCGATAAAACAATACGTCGGCCAGTACGCTGGTTATTGGAATCGAGGAGGCTTCGCAGACTATTCATTAGACCGTTATTGTCCAGAAACGGCTAATCATACCTTTTTCGCCGCTTTTTCGAAGAGCAAGGTATGTCTGGACACTTATTCATGATGAATACCCCCATATTGGCCTGGTGATTGTTATCTGACTTGAACACTAGGCGAAGGAGGCAGATCCACCTAACAACGTTACCGCTATATTTTGCACTCCAACTTATTACCAACAGCCCGTATCCGCGACTATCGACATGGCAAGCAAAAGTCCGCTGGAAGTTCATCCTGTAGGAGAGAAGCGTCTACTTTCGTCAGGTGTCTTTAATACTTCGACGTTTGAGCAGCTGCTGAACGAACTCTCCTTCGGGCACGAAGTCCGTGGCGACAATCTGCCTGCAAAATCGGCTCCAAGATATCTAGAGCCTGTGGCGAAGACGAATCTCAGCCTTACCAGTGGAACAGGTGGTCTGACACAAGCTATGGTTGGTCTATCCGTTGGTATTGGTGATCTACCTTTGGAAGATTATCTCGACTGGAAGACACTCAGTAGGTCTTACGCAGACGCTTACCGACTAAGCTTTGCTCGCGCGATGGTCGATGTACTTGGTACCGGATTTCAGTCGTCTCAGAACACGACTGGAGAACGTCGGGTGACCACAGAAGCTGTCGTGCTCGAGCCTGTGTTCGTATACATTGTAGAGGGCTTCTTGGGTGTGGTCTCTGTAGCAACACTGGCGTTGCTTTACCTGACATGCACACGCATCCGTAAACTTGGCACAGACCCCAACACGATCGCCAGCATCATGGCCATTGTTTCCGACAGTCAACAGCTACTCTCTGAATTCTCCGAGTTAGACTGCTGCACAGTCGACGATGTGCAGAACGCTGTTGGGCAAAAGCGCTACAAGCTTATCCGTGATGGAGCCAGTAACAGGTAAGCATCTATCATCAAGCCATGCAATCTCAAGCACAACAATACTCACGCATATAATGAACAGTATCATCGAGATCGATCAACACGGCGCCGTTGATTACACGGATAGGCACCCAGTCTCCCTCGGCATACGGCGAAACACGGACATTGCGAAGCCTGTACGACCTCGTGAGTTCAGTCTCTGGGTAGCCGGCCCGTTCGTCAACCTGTTCATCATTCTGGCGATTGCTCTTGGGGTCATCTATTCGAAGGCACGCGTAAATGGTAATGTTAAATGCAGACAGTCAACGTAAGTTGTATCAGACACTGATTGCGTTTAGGTCTACCTTTGCCTTCGAAGAACAGCTTAGTGCAAAACATCTTGGAGAACTATATCCCCACGGCTATCGCGACTATGATTGAGCCGATGTGGGTCTTGATCAACAGGCTGCTATGCATGCTTCAGCCTTTGGAAGAGTTACACGGGTGCAACGCAAAAGCGAACAAGTCCATTGACTTGAACTACAACTCCTTGCCGCCGCAACTCGTCATCTTCAAGGCGCTCAAGTCGAAGCATTTTGTTCTTGCTGCGGTCTGTTCAATGGCGTTGCTTGCGAATCTCTTCGCGGTTTCACTCTCAGGGCTTTTCGATCAAGCAACGATAGACATGCGACATCCCACCAGCTTTGCACCGCCATACGACCTCAAATTTGTTCCAATCAACGGTAGTATTGGTCCGGCGAGTGGATCAACATTTGGTTCGCTCAATTTTTCGGGTGCGTACCGAGGTGGCAACGGGGAAGACCAGTTCTTAGTTGCAGAGTCAAACTACACTAGAGGCACGCCGCTACCCTCTTGGACCGATGAGTCAATGTTTTATCTGCCTCTGTTCGAAGGCAACATCGACGACCATAGCGCTCACGCCAATGGCAGCCTGTACGAGGCTGTCACTCAGGCCTTTGGAGCCGACCTAGACTGTACCCAACTAGAGATGGGCCATGGATTCGAGGCCGCCTTGCTCATGGAAGAGTCGGGTGGCACCTTCTCCAGTCATGCGGCTATCAACCTCACCGTACCAACTGACTCAGGCGATGTCCAATGCTCAAGCCTTACTAGCCTCGCGATCAGCCCTGGCCCTATAAGGGAGAAATCTGTCTGTGTCGATGGTCCTGGCGCTTTGGAGTTAGTCGTTCAACTACAGGCGGGCATTAATGCAACACAGGAAGAAACCGACGCCTGCATGCGTCCTGTCGTCCTAGGCTGGTTGCGTGACCCCCAGGGCTCATGCCCCTTCGGTCGGGGCCTAACGCTGACCAAAAACAATTCGATCTTTATTCAATGCCAGCCTAGGCTGGTAGTTGGTAGTGCAAAGGTGCGCGTTGACCCTAGTGGGCGCCTACAGCACAAGCCCGAACTGGTCAATGTCGATACTGTCGATGTCAAAAGGAACTCGGAGAACTATTTCAGCAACGACCCTATCAACCTCATTGGTCAATCTGGACGTTACCTGTTCAAGTTTGATGCGGCAGAGTGGCATAACGACACGTTTGCTGATGACTTCATCAACTATTTCATCCGCCGAGCTAGCAATAGCACTCGATTGATCGACCCCGCACAAAGTGTGCCTTCGTTCGACGACATCATTAGTCCGCTTAAGAAGACCTACTCCAATCTCTTCGCGATCTGGTTGGGCACCAATAAAGACAACCTCTTCATTCGACGAGCGGACGATGGTGCGAACCTGATCACTGCTTGGAGAGTTGAGCCAGAACAACGACTGTTCGTATCAAAGCCCATGTTCGCTATCGCAGAAGCCATTCTCTGCACCTACGCAATCGTCGCAATTATGGTCTACCTGCGAAGACCTGGTCAATACTTGGCCCGTCTACCAACATCCATTGCTGCAGTAATTGCTTTGTTCGCGGCCAGTGGTGCTGTACAAGACATGAGAGATACATCACATCTTGACGCGAAAGGCCGCTCGAGACATCTGCAAGAAGTCGATGCACGCTACGGATATGGCAGCTACATTGGAGCAGATGGGAGGGTACATATCGGTATTGAGAAGACTCCTTTTGTGAAAGTGAGGTCTAAGAGCACCTGGTTCGAAAAGAAGTTGCCCGTCTTCCGAAAAACGTCCGCGGGAGTTTAATGAGGTTCAAGAGGACCGGTACGTAGTAAGATGACAAGAAAGAATATCTTCTGTGACGATGTAGAACATCGAACAGTCCCGTGATATTACTATGCATGCTGCCCAAGAACAGCTGCATGACTCGGTTTGGTTGTTTGGCCGCACTGATTGAGTATCTGTAAGTCCTTTTGCTGCCTAATCTCGGATGATTCGATTCTGCACAGACTAGTTCGCGCACGACTTGCACGTCAATCAACATGTCAACAGTATTTGCTTTTAGAGACCACGAATAGCGTGACAGAGCCCAACAATTGGCTCGGATCTCATGCCGCTGCTCGCACATCTGCATACACAAAGTTTCGAGGCCGATACTGCTCGTGAACTGGAGGGACTCACATGGAGAAAGTAGAAGAATAATAAACAATGGCAATGCAATGTTGAACTACCCAACGCCATGAGCACCGGCCACCGCAGATTAGCAGACTTACCACATTTGGGCCTGAGCTTGGCTAGATATGAGCAAGCATATAGAGCATGGTAAATGCATTCAGTTGGAGGCTCGGTGTGGCATCAGTGAAGGTGATTGCCGATGCAAGGTCAGCCTCCACGCGGACTTGTTGCACCATCGATCCTGCACGGCCTGCATAGCGGCAATGAAAGACCGCTTACAATTCCCACCGGAACCAGAAAATTGTTATAAGCCTCAGCGTGAACTAATGAAGCAACGTATCTTTTTCGCACGTTCGCCGCTATGGATGCAGTCTCCTACTAGCTGTGCCGACGTCTTCTCGCGGGTTCGGCATTTACAGAAGCAACACCAGGTACAGCACGACGAGGGCCTCATGCTCTTCCAGAAAGTTTAGCGGATAAGTGATGAGCCCGGATCCGTGCTTCAGTGTCTCTCATGGCTCTTTGAAGTTAGTTTGTAGCTGCTACTTGGATGAATCTCCACAAACAGAGCCGCTTCCAATCACACACTTCCATTCCTATTGGAACCGTTCCAGCTTTGTTCGCGAGGTGGTTGATGCGCAAAATATGTAGGACTAATGCTTCAACGCGCCGTGGCGGAGGAAGCGTGCAGTTTGAGCAGCATGTATGGCTACAGATTCTGGGTTGGCGCAGATGCAAATTGCGCGAGGGTATTGAGTAAAGCTTACTCCGGAATGATGCGCCAATTTTTGCTACATTTGAGATGTGTTAATTAGGTCTTATTCTGGGGCTCCATGTTCTGACGAAGTCGAGTCGATAGAAGGTCGCGCTCGAAAGAGGGTGAGAAAGCGTGGCCCTGTCAGAAGCAGCATCAACATCACTTGAGCATTTGAACTTATCGACAGTTCAGTGGATTTCATCTCATACTGATCACTTGACATAGAGCAAAAACGTGGAAGGATATAAGATCCCACTATACTGTCAGTGGTTAAATGAGGAGACGAAGACGGAACATCCGATTGGCATGACCGAAGATTGCATACTGCGCGATTTCAATGATAGACAGCCCGTCCACCAAGTCCATCGACGCCCGAGCCGTAGAACGGAGATTCAGACTCGATTGCAGGAGGTGTGGAGAATGATGACGCGTAGGAACGTTCGTGCGCTCGGTGAAGTGAGCAGCTTGGGTGTTTGATGCACCGAGGTCCAAAACCATATGGTATACCTGGGGACGTGAAGATAAAAAACGCAAGCGCGAAAATGAACGTTGTGAGAATTATGTCGCGAGGATGGCGTGGGTGGTCAGCCATTGCTGGCGCGCGCGAGGCCAAGGAGCTCTTGCTTGAACCCTTTCCCCACGAGGAGCACGCCAGACAGTCAAGATCGGTGCAGGGTGGAGAACGGCTGTCATCGTTCCTTTCTGTAGGTATGCCTCATCACAAACGTCGCAGCTTCTTGATAGGACACGACGGTACTGCTTTACCAGCACCAACCGCACTGTTTCATCCTCGTTGGGCAGCGACACCAGCAAGCGAAGTAGGACGTAATCGTGAGGGGGGTTTACTATTGTTTTGTCTCGCACTGTTGGCGTCACTAACTTGCAGCTGGTGGTAGACGGTCCAATGTCAGTCGCGGACGGCGCATCCGAAACGAGGCCCCGCTAGCCTTTTTCGATCCCCACTGATCAGCTTTCAGGAGGAAAGGGAGGCCCAGTCGTGTTGGCTGCCCGCCGCGCTTCCACCATGTGCGGGCTGTTTGCGTGTAAGTGATTTGATGAAACAAGCTGCGGTTGGTAGACAGCCAATCAGTCGATGGAGCGAGGAAGGCCTAAAGGCATCGACGCTTTTCCATCACGAGCTGATGTCGACGACAGGCTGGTAGCGAGGCCCACGGGTCGCTAGGTACCGCTGTGTCGTCACCTGCACGAGACCAGACGCCGCAGCCACACTCACCTTGTGCCCGGATCCGCCTACCTGCGACCTTCGTCGACACCGACGCTCCGACTCCGAGGGCAACTCGCCCACGTTGTGGCGCAGCCAGCTGAACACGAGGCCACGACAGTTGCATTGGGTCGATCTCCCAGATTAGCAGCGTTCGCCGTCAGGAACCATGCATAGACCGAGGGCTGTTAATAATCAGGGTCTAGTATTGTCGAGAGTAACAGAAGGGACGGCTAAAAGGTGGAGGCCCAGTAAAAGACCTTGCGCATGAGGGATACCCAGGGTGCGACGCATGAAGTTCGATGACATCGACGCGGCCGGTCGCCCACAAGGCCTGCAATCAAAGACCTCTTTGTCATTCTGGCCGGTCCGCTGCATAGCAGACTCCAGAACTCCAGTCTGGCGCCCGTGTCGCAAACACGGCGGTAAGTAACCTCTGCGTTACCTGCAAAAAGTCGCGATCGTGCAACCTGGTTTGTTGTCGGACAAGCCATGGGCGCACGCCCGGTGTGCGTCGAGATGAGCACGTCTGCCAATGGGAGGCTCCGCAGCGGCTTTCGCGAAGGATGCTGATCGTTTCAGCTTTAGCAGGCGATCGCCACTCCACACCATGGCTAGCTCTTCCCACTATTGAGTTATCGATTGGCTAGGATCCGGCTTTCCCCTGCATGGTACACAGACCGTCGGCACAAACTTCAAACCTGACGTTGGTCCCCTGGCCATAGCCTCGCACCAATGCCTTCCCCTCTGAGTCGCTTTCCGCTTTTTTGTTTCAAGGACAATGATCTTGTCATGACCACATGGCCAATGGCATCGGTATCGTGCCTGCCGAGACCTCAGGACTTTGACGTTACACCACTTATCCTGCGCTCGTCCCCCTGCCGCTAAACCGGGAGGGGGACGCCAGCCGAAAGAAGCCCGTCAACCGTTGCAAGAGAAGCCTTGCTCCGTCGAATAGCCTATGCTTCTTCACGATGATCCGCCGGGCATAGGCTCCTGAGTCCCTGCACTGCTGTACGAGCCCGTCCCGACCGCCACAAGCTAGCCCTGTGGGTAGACAAGAGCCTCCGTATATAACTGATCTGTGTTTCGTCTGCTTTTCCTTCTCATCTCAGGCTATTCACAGCAGTACCAAACTCCTCTCTGTTTCTTTTGCTTTTGCACATCTTGCCTGTGGCAGATCACATTCTTTACCATTGCTGTGCGTCAACGAAGAGCTAGACTCAACAACACCTCTTCCGTCTATATCAAGTACCATTTGCTCTTCGACCTTCAAACCACCACAGCCATCACATTCATTTCATCGCTCAGCAGGTCTAGCGATATCCAAACGAGAATATCTACTTCTCACAACATTCTTTCAAACATCAGCATGTTCTTCTCGACCACCCTACTTGTGGCTTTCGCCGCCAGTGCGACTGCACACATGACCATCGAACACCCAGTTCCTTTCGGCAAGGCCACTCTCAACAGCTCTCCCCTCGGACCTGGTGACTTTCCATGCAAGCAACGTTCTGGTGTTTACGACATTACCGAGATGAACCAGTGGAACGCAGGAGAGACCCAGACCATCGACTTCAAGGGCTCTGCTGTGCATGGTGGCGGATCATGCCAGTTCTCAATCACCACGGACTCAGAGCCCACTGAGCAATCTCAATGGAAAGTTATCCACAGCGTCATCGGTGGCTGCCCATCCAACGTTACTGGCAACCTTCCTGAGGATGCTGACGGCCATGGTGCTGCTACCTTCCCCGTCAAAATGCCCGAGAATATTCCCGATGGTCGCTACACTTTCGCATGGACTTGGATCAACAAGGTTGGCAACCGCGAATTCTACATGAACTGCGCTCCAGTTCAAGTCGGCAGTGGATCCAACAAGGCTTCCACAGCCAGCGTGTCCGAAGCGCTCTCTAGCCTGCCTGACATGTTCGTAGCCAACCTACCTGCCGAGGAGTGCAGCACCAAGGCATACGAGGACTTCAACTACCCCAACCCCGGTCAGTCAGTAGTTGAGGGCAACGGTGGTTCCCTTGGAGACACACTCACCGGCGCTGGATGCGACAAGATGACCAAGATGGGTGCTGGTAACGGACAGATGGGAACTCCATCTCAGCCTGAGGCTTCTCAGCCCGCATCAAGCGAGGCACCCGCTGCTACTTCTGGTTATGCCGCACTCCCATCCAACGGCGGTGGCGTCTTCGCCCCTGGTGCTTCCTCCGCTCCCGCTGCCGAGCCCACTCCTGCCGAGTCCACTGCCCCCGTCGCTGCACCTACTCCCACCTATGTCGCTGAGCAGCCTAGCAGCGCTCCCGAGCAGCCAGCCTACAGCTCGCCTCCTCAGGTGCCCGACAACAGTACTCCCAGCGCACCCCCCAGTGGCAGTGACTGCACTCCCTGTGACAACGATGGCGCCGTTGTATGCATCGGATCCAACATGTTCGGTCTCTGCAACCGTGGATGCGCTGTTGCTCAGCCTCTCGCCAACGGCATGTCCTGCTCTGGTGGTGCTGTCGTTGCTTCCGTCAAGCGATCCGCCAAGTTCCCTCGCGCCCACCTCCACCGCCGCCATGGCTCGTCTCTCCTTATCTAAGAGATTCGCATACGCTCTTACAACCTCAGCAGCCGTTGGCTACGAAATGCAATACACGGAGTTTGGGACACGGATGGGGACACCCACGGATTGGGTCGTCATACAGGATGGGTTGGGTTCTGGGTCTTATGTTCATATACCTCTTCATGATGCGCAGATACTGTTTGGATCTGGCTCCTGATTTTTCTTGTGCTTTTCTGTTGTTACATTCATTCATGACCAGCTCTAGATCGAGCTGGCATGCCCTGTTATCTTCCTTGGAGAGAAGCGCTGTGATCAGCCTCGTGTCTACGAGCGCAACATACCCCGTACCCACTGTACAAAATTAAATCAAACGCTTGTTCGTTCTATACTACTTTGACCATATGAATATCGTGACGCTTGCTACCTTCCTCTCACCTTTGATCATTTTGTCCCACTGCAGATCTACCATAAAAAATAACATGGGAACTGCATCCAGTTAATCAGTGTTTGCACTTCCAAACCGTGTTATCCCCATGACTGTATATAACTCTGGCGATAACTACGAATGTACCTAGGTAGCCAAGCAAAACCACGAGGCTATTCACCGGTTTATGACGTTCATGGGTTGGGCGGCTTCTGATTGGGCAGCCTCTCAGGGAACAGCCAAGGGGACCAACTTCCCCTCTGATTCCCACTTTCAGCCCTAAGCTCCTGTCGCCAGCGCACACCCGAGCACGCGACGAGCCAAACGACAAATCCCCCTACGGCCAGTCGACTACTATTATTTCGTGCTGTCAGGCCCCAGAATTCTAACCGCGCCGAGGCCTTCGTTTCGCACGCCGCCGCCACTCAAGCTTAGGCGGTCATTGCGCTCGCCCCACTACTTCGCTGCCTTCACCTCCACCGTCTTCTCGTGCTCACTCCCTACGGCTTGCTGTTCAGACCGCCCACCATGGAGAACCAACCGCAGGACGTCGACCAGTCCAAGTACATCGACAATGCTATTCGCGCCGTCCGTGAGAAGAAGCCGCTCCCGGAGATTGACTTCACCCTGCATACTATGGAGGATGGAAACCAAGTGAGCACCCAGGAACGTGTGTGCAAAGGTATGCTCATTCTATACGTCGTGGCATGGCATTCCGCCAGCTTGTTCGCGTTTGCGCCGTTTTCGAGGCACACAGTCAGCTAACTGTGCCGTGTTCGCCAGACGTACAAGCACCCGCCTTCCACCCGCCCACCGACGAGCAATTCTTCTCCCCTCAAGATCGCACAAAGCCCAACATCCAATTTCTGAAGCAGCACTTCTACCGCGAAGGTCGCTTGACCGAACAACAGGCGCTATGGATCATAAAGAAGGGCACAGAGATCCTCAAGTCGGAACCCAACATGCTGGAGATGGACGCACCCATTACCGTGTGCGGTGATGTTCACGGCCAATACTACGATCTCATGAAGCTGTTCGAAGTCGGTGGCGACCCAGCAGAGACGCGCTACCTCTTCTTGGGAGACTACGTCGATCGCGGCTATTTCAGTATAGAGGTAAGACGGTAGGAAAGCAACCGCTGTGCATTGGCTGACACTCGTAGTGTGTTTTGTACCTCTGGTCGCTCAAGATCTGGTACCCCAACACCCTCTGGCTTCTCCGAGGAAACCACGAGTGCCGCCATTTGACCGACTACTTCACATTCAAGCTCGAATGTAAGCACAAGTACTCCGAGGCTGTGTACGAAGCCTGCATGGACTCGTTCTGCGCACTTCCCCTAGCGGCTGTTATGAACAAGCAGTTCTTGTGTATACACGGTGGATTGAGCCCCGAGCTTCACACTCTAGACGACCTGAAGAGCGTACGCGAAACTCTACCCTTTCTAACGCCATCGCTAACCTTATCAGATTGATCGTTTCCGCGAGCCACCCACCCACGGCCTCATGTGCGATATCCTCTGGGCTGATCCCCTCGAGGAATTCGGTCAGGAGAAGACCAACGACTTCTTCGTCCACAACCACGTCCGCGGATGCTCATACTTCTTTTCGTACCCCGCTGCGTGCGCTTTCCTCGAGAAGAACAACCTTCTGTCAATCATCCGCGCACACGAGGCGCAAGATGCTGGATACCGAATGTACAGGAAAACACGGACGACTGGTTTCCCCAGTGTCATGACAATCTTCAGCGCGCCGAACTACCTCGACGTATACAACAACAAGGCTGCGGTTCTGAAGTACGAGAACAACGTCATGAACATCCGACAGTTCAACTGCACACCGCATCCATACTGGCTACCTAACTTCATGGACGTCTTCACATGGTCATTGCCATTTGTCGGCGAAAAGAGTGAGCAGAAGTACCAATTCACACTGGAGTATCATACTAACAAGTCGTAGTTACTGACATGCTCATTGCGATCCTAAACACCTGTTCGAAGGAGGAGCTCGAAGAGGAGACGCCCAGCTCTCTGGCTTCCGGTCCATCATCGCCACCTCTCTCCAGTCTCGACCCAGATTCGACCGAGTTCAAGCGACGTGCGATCAAAAACAAGATTCTGGCGATTGGTCGCCTCTCTCGTGTGTTCCAAGTGCTGCGTGAGGAGTCTGAGCGTGTCACTGAGCTCAAGACTGCATCGGGTGGTCGACTTCCCGCGGGTACGCTCATGCTCGGTGCGGAGGGAATCAAGCAGGCAATCCACAGCTTCGAGGACGCACGCAAGGTCGATTTGCAGAACGAGAGGCTCCCGCCGAGCCACGAGGAGGTGCGAAAGTCTCAGGAGGTTAGCCGAGAGCAGGCTCTCGAGAAGGCCACCAAAGAAGCCGACAACGACCAAGGTCTCGCGACTGTCGCAAGACGCATCAGCATGTAAGCATCGATCCTACGTAGCTTGTCGTGCAGTAACTAATTCGCACAGGTCATCTGGCTCTGGACGCAGCCGGAGAAGCTAGGCGCGATTCAAGCGCTCGCGATCCGAGAGCGAAGCCGATGGACGAGCTATGACATTGCAGGATGTTTAGGTTCTTGATTTCTGTATTGGCGGGCCACCAAATGTCATCAGTATACCACGTAGGCGTATTCGGGCCAGCGTAACCTAGAGAGGGCATCACCTTACGAAGCACGGTAGTAATTTGTCGGTCGACTGCTCAAGTTTAAGGGCGTCGACCTCTCATTGAATCACATAAAATCAAATTCCTATGACATTAGTGTATAGCCATTGCTCAGTGTGAAGGTGTTTGAGACTGCGCACGGGCCCGGGCCGAAGCTAGCTTTGCCGACCTACGTCAACATGGACATTTCAACAGCAATGCTCATCTTCAAGCCCGATGCCTCCATGGGTGGCCTCAGTGCCGCGACTGACGATCTTTCGCAAGACAGGACCGACTGATCGGCTCCCGCTTGCGCGTCGCTGTCGCAATGTCCTTACTTCACGCCCGACCACCAGCCTCCGCGTGCGCTCCGCATCGACGCATGTCTCGCCGACCGCGATAAATCTGCGCCCGCACATCCCACCTCGGAACAAGGAGTTGTACGATGCACTGTCAGCGCTTAGTGGAGCCGCCGAGACCTATGTAAACATAAGCAGATTGCAATTGGCATTGCGGGGTCTGGCGGCGCAGGATGCTGTAACAAGAGTCGCTGGTACGGAACGCGTAGTTGAATTTCACGACTAGGGGCTGACGATGGACAGTTCTCGGTTTGAACAGTCAATTGAGTGCGCAGCAACTTGCACGGCTACTACTCGCAGATCCGCTCAGTGCTGAGGAGCAGTGGGAGAAGGAACTCGTGAAATCACGCGACAGCAACGAGAGAGCGGTATTGCTAAAGTATGTGCTTGATCTGCCATACTGAACAGCGCATTAGCTAACACAATTGTTGTACAGATACGGCGACGATGCCGATGCACATGCGCCTTCGCCCCTCTACAAGGTCCTCTCTATACCCTCACGAACCCTTCAATCGCACAACCTAGAGGTCCTCGTCTCTACCATCAACGTCAATGTCGCAAAATCCCTACCCCATATGGTAACAGAGAGCTCCACCGAATCGTTGCTGGTTCCCAAGCTCCAGGCCACTTCCGCACGAGGATTGCCCGTCCCATACCCGGTACACAAGACTCTAGTATTAGGAGAAGGACTGGACAGCGCCATAGCATTTGGCAGATTCTCGGCGGATGGTCTGAACGAGATGGATGATATGGTGAAGATGGCCGTCGACCTCCCCGCCCCGTCGGACGAAGTCAAATCAGATACCCACGCCCCAAGCGCTCCCATCAACCTCCAAGTTGGCACGAAAGCGCTCGACAGCTTCCGCGAGTCGATCCAAAATTCCATCATCTATGAGCGAGGGTGGTTCAAAAGTGGTTTGCCAACGCTGTCGGAGTGGTTAGTCCAAGACCTTCAGGCCACCGACGCTATCAAGCCCCCGATGAAGACGCTTGTAGCTTCTATAGCCGACGATGTAGAAGCGAGCATCGCCAAACAAGACGCTGCTCGGCTGCAACAGCTTGCTCCAGTCCAGACCCAATCAGACGTCACAACCTCCATCGTCGGTCATCTCGAGACCTGGGCCGAGAAGTCTCATGCGGAGCTCCGTGACGAGCTTGATGAAGCCTTCACGGCCCGGAACTGGCACAAGTTGGCTTGGTGGAAGCTCCTCTGGCGTGTGGACGACGTCACGATGATAAGCTCCGAGATCCTCGAGCGGCGATGGCTCGTCTCAGCGGAGAAGAACAGCATCTACCTCGCTGGTCGCATGAACCAAGCTGGTTTCCCAGATGACGTTCAACACCTCGCCGTTGCCGACATCCCGGAAGTGACAACGCAGGACACAGCGCCGACAGCAGAGAATCCGCGAACAGATCTATCCACCAACGTCCGGAAACCAATACCATGGCCTGAACACATCGCGGCTGCTCGCACAGAACTCATCAACGACACCGTGCCACCTCTGCAGGCACTCGCTCAACGACTTCTCCTACAGACTTTCAGCACCACATCTCTCTCGTCCGCTGCCTCAGCACTGCTATACGCTTCCATGTCTACCTTCTCGGTCTTCGAGGCTTCAGCCGTCGCGGCACTCGGTCTTACATTTTCTCTTCGCCGCATGCAGAAACTATGGGAAGGTGCTAGAGAATCATGGGAGGGTACCCTGAGAGAAGAGGGTAGACGCACGTTGAAGGGTACAGAGGAGAGAGTCAGGTTCATCATCAAGAATGGAGGCAAGGAGTACGTTGAGGATGAAAGCGTAGCTGAGAGCAGGGCAGCGAGGGAAGCTGTAGCAAAGGTCAGGGAGGCACTTGAGCGGATGAACGGTGGAGATGGCAAAGGAAGTGTATGATAGATATGTATGAACTTGATTCAGTGTCGAGGAACAGTCTCCCGTCGTAGTCGAATCAGAATTGGCGATTTCCCCAGTTCACCTTCTCTCTCGACTCAAGTATTCCGCGATTTAAAAGTAGCCTGTGTTGCAATATCTAAGTGAAGTGAGGTGACACGATCTCAGCGCAGGTTGCGCATTGCAGGTTGCCTGCAGGTTGCTTATTCACTGCGACCTGCCAACATCCTGTCTTTTTTCTAAAGCCAAATGTGGCCTGAATTCGCGCGAATTCGCGCCGATCTGGCGTGACTCTGCCTTATTCACCAACTTTCTGCAGCGTACTCTTGCAAGAGTACGAGGCCGTCACTATAGTGTTGCCTAGGGTACGTGACGGTGCCCTACTGTGCAGCATCGTGTATTGTCCTCGCCCCGCCTGCTCTACACTTCTTAACAAAGCCCTGTCTGGTGCATAGACAGAGCCTGCAGGGTCTTGCTCTGCACATCATCTAACATTATGTAGAGGTAGAAGAACAAGCACGTAGATTTTCTAGAGAGCAGCGCACTTAAGCGGTAGAGGTATAAAAGGTAAAGGTAAGCACTTTTATGTATTTGTACATAGCTAGCTATCTGTAGAACCTGTGCTACTAGCAGAAGAACTGAATGCAAAAGCTAGTATGCTCACTACGGAGGTACATGTAGAATTAGTGTGAAGAGTATGTGAAGTCGAAAGCAGCAAAGTCAGCACAAGAAAACAAAAAAGCAAAGTGCACATGCCAGAGCAGTCAAGGCATTTGTCCGACCCTAGCTCAAACAGACGTGCCTAAACGCATGTTCATTTGGTCACAGTCATGAACCACGCTTGAGATGACACTCGACAAAGGAAAGAAACATAAGGTTAAAGACCGAACGTGTGGGATCAGGCAGTCTGAAGGGAAGTGTTAAATGTCTGCTTAGAGACGTTAGCTATGTTAAAGAGTAAAGAGAAAAGTAAGCGATTCGAAGAAGAGAAGACCTACTCGAGTTGAGAAGAGGCGAAGAACGGCCATGATGTTACTTCAGCTTGGCCTTCAGGTAACGGCCAAACTTATTCTTGTAATCCTTCTCGCGATCGGCAGAGTCGGCCTTTACCCATCTGTTCCAGATGCGCATATGCTTTGTTATCTGTTCAAACGGTACTTTTCGGGTCTCCGTCGGCAGTCCTCTGGCTGAAAAGCTGATGTGATAGTCGGTGCCCCGGCTGGTCTCGTGAGGGTTAATTATGTATTGAATCTGTTGCCTTATTAGCACAGTTGTAAGAGTAAAGTTTGCGTACCCACATCATGGGCATTATGCGTTCCAGATTCTTGTTCGTCTGAAACATCTCCTTGTGCAGATGCATTCGCGTCGGAGCTAGATTCTGCGTTGTTGGGCATCGGCTTTCGTTCTTCAGGAGCCCGTTGCTTTCCTTGAGCTTTAGAAGAGAGTGCCGGTTGAGCTTGATCTCCTGCACCTTTTGCCGTGCCCGCAGGTATTCTTACTTCGACGCTTCCTCCCTAATTATGAAAAGTTAGTATTTCTATGTGACAGACAACATCTTCTTGATTGCTTACCCGACGTCGTGGGATGGACACGCTCGGTGCCATCACCCTCGGCTTCGAAGATAAAAGTGATGGGATTGGGCCTTCATCTTCATCGTCCGAGGCTGCATTGTCTGGGTGGTAGTCCCGGCTGTTATCCTGAGGTTCGTGCATCCGACCGTGGTCATCTTCAAACGGCGAGTAGCGCATCGCGCCGTCAGAGGGTTTCCCTGAGCGTAGGGAACGGGAAGACATCTCAACGATGCTGGCTAGGGTCGATAGAAGCTGGAAAGGGAGTGTGACTAGCACAGACTTGTTGTTGCTGTTGAGGTGCGAGTATAGTGTAGTGTAAGAAGTTAAACCTTGAATCACAGAAGAGACACCCTATGTAGTACCTAGTCCCATCTCTACTAGCGGTCAAACAATTAGGCATCTGTCTCTCACTCTAGATGTGGTAGGTGCGTCGCCTACCCCGCCTTTGTAAAAAAGAGATGAGAAGCTATAGGTGAAGGCAAAGGGCGGTATGTTGTGAGCAATAAGAGCTAGCTAGCGGTGTCTGAGGGACAGACAGCGAGTGGCTGGCCCTGTGGGAGAGCAGCGTTTGCAACGGGCGGAAATGAACAGGCAAGCAAACACAGATGCCGATGCGGCAGTGACGGTGGTAGAAGGGCTGATTTTGAGTGGAAGTGGATGATGGGCAAGCTCGGCCACAACTCAGTCACCTAGTCTAAACAAGAAGAAAAGCACACAAAGGGACAGGCGTAATAAGAGTGTTGGACATGAAGTGTATGATTTGAAGTTCAACTTTGATTATGATCTGAATAAACACCAAACAAACCGAAGCGCTAGCTAGACATTGTAGTGACTGTGCAGCAACGCTGTACAAAATACCAAATGAGTATACTCGCAAAACATCAAAAGAGAATGCTCCTGTGTACGGCCACTCCATCGTAGACCCATTTAAAAGATCTCGCCAAGTCGAGGCTTTCCACCCTTCCAATCATTGCGCTCGTAGTATCGGAAGACAAGATCGTAGCCATCCAAGTCATGTACAATGCGGTCGACGCGACGGTATCCCGCAATTGTCTCCATCCTCTTCGCCTTCTCAATGTTTTTGGCGGGCATCTCGTCAGCAGTAGGCTTAGCCTCGAAAAGAGTGACGCTGAACCTGCCAGGCTTGAAGATGCCGACGACATGCTCGACGACGTCAGCCGTTTCTCTACCAGTCTGGCGGGCAGGTACATTGGTCTCGAACGAGGCGTAGGAGCACTGGGGCTCAGGTGTGACGTGTACAGTGAAGTAGTGGGTGGCATCAGAACCTTTCTTGGAGCCGTTGGGAGCACCACCTGGGGCGGGAATGACGCCGTTGGCAGAGAAGCCACAGGGCGTGAACAGGTAGGCGTCGATGCGAGCGTCGGGGTACTTGGAGGTAGGGTAAACATCGGCCAGACCACAGTGCTCAGAAACAACCGTGCCGAGGGTATGGCCCTCAGTGGTCAACTCCTCCGGGAAAGTAAGCTCCTCGTCAGAGTTGAAACCAGAGTGGTCGGAAGAAGTCTGCTCGAACACGTCGAAGCTGTCGTCAGAGGTATGGGTGTTAGCAGCGGAATTGAGGACAGTGGAGCCGCCGAGGCTCTCGCTGTGGCCATTCTCTTCCGCAATGGTACCTAGGGACTGGATGGCGTTCTTGCGAGCCTCACGGGCCCTCTGGATGTAGCGACCTTCCGCAACCGCACTTGCGTCCTCTAGATAGAACTGACGGGCGTTCTTCTCATCGAGGTCGGTCATCAGGATCTCCAGAGTCTCGTCCTCTTCTTCGTCGGTGGCCTGCTCACGCAACATGCGTTGAGGGTGGCTCACGAACTTGGTCTCGGTGTCAGGCGCAAGCTTCTCCTCACCAGGACTAGGAGGTGGAGTGAGGCTGGTGTCTGGACCGGTGATGTATAGGTACCAATGTTCGCCGTTCATCTTGCCAATCATATAGGCACTGCCACCCTGGAAGCGGTCGTCAAGGTAGCGAACCTCATCACGCCAGCTGCGGTGGGGTCCACGCTGCTGATCGGGGTAGAGGTAGTTCTTCCTGCTGTAGAACACGCGGTACGGCGTAGCGGCTGGCGCGACGCCCGATGCCTTGGGTGCAACGAAGGGGAAGCCGACCCCTGCAGCAATCTCCAGCATACGAGTGAGACCCCATAGCAGAGTTGTGGTTCCGCAGGTCTTGAGCACGACCTTGTGAGGAAAGACGAACATGCTCGACTCGGACAAGAGGTAAGCGTCGACATGTTCAGACTCGATGACAGAGAGAACCTTGCAGTTGACAAGATCGAGCATGTCCTTCCAGACATCTGCCGACACTGTCTTCAGTCCAGTTGGGCCGGCCTGTCCAGGCAGTTCGGTAGCAGAAGCGCTAAACCATACTTCCAAGAGCTTCTCAGGACCCTCAAACGAGTTGGTAGAGTCGAGATCGATGGTAGCCTCCTTGTTGATGGTCAAATGAGGGGTGCCAATGTGCGACGAAGGCGAGGCAGTGTAGTGCTGAGGAATCTCAGTAGCGACCATCTCTTGACTGTGTGGCTGTCGCGCGCACAAACAGGTATGATGGGTGTGGTTGGTGGCCGTGGCTGTACGGAAGCTTGGAGAGGTGGCTAGCTAGGAAGCTATGTGCAGCACAACCTCGCTCAGACAAGCAATGCGGTGCTCGCCTGAGAAGAATTGGCCCACGGGTCGCAAAGAGTAGGCGAGGCTGGCGTGTGCCAGCAGCAGTTTATGGAGTAGAGGGTAACCGACCGTAGTCGATGTTAGGGAGGTCGGGCGTTGAGGGGGATAAACGAGGCCTTTCGCCGGGAAATGGTGGCAGTGATTGGGGTCCTCGCGATACCAGATTCCGATACCCTGGGGAAGTATCGGGTCCAGCAGACGAGGAGATCTGCTTTAGATGGGTACGATGGTGGGTGGTGAAGGACGGGGCGTGGCGGGTGTTATCGAGGCCTGTGGAATGTCAGCGCTGGCCGTTGGGATGTCTTGCACACTGCTTCTCGCGGAGACAACGACTCACTTCGCAGGCTTGGACAGAAAGCGTACCAGGTCCTCGCGACGCATAGAAGAGCCGAGGTGGGCGGCGATAGACGGTCTGCGGGCTACTGAAGCCTAGGCAGTGGTGGAGAGGGAGGCGAGTAGGTCTGCCAGCGTGACGATGTAGGTTTGGTGGGGAGCGTTGAGCAGAGAGTCAAAGCAATGGCGTTGGGCGCTGATAGAATCTGCGTGTATGAGCGGGCGGACGTGACGAGGTTATATTCCCACACGGCAGGCGCGAGAGATATGGACGTGTGCAGAGTGTCAGGAGAGCGACGTACTGTGCGCAGTGGGTAGAAGCTTCACTAGGAGAATTTGACGTGTGTGGTGCTGGGGCGACGTCGTGGAAGCTTCGGGCCTTCACGCGACAGCGATTTTTCACGAGTGCGGTGTTTTCGCATCAGGACGTCACCGCCCGTCCCAGTTGGCTGGAGCGCCCCGCCGTCTGCCATTTCACCCGACTCGGCCACCCGCCATGTGCCTGACACAAGACGCGAATAGGTCCGACTGCCACTGCTGCCATGATCGGCTGCTGCTATGTACATCAGGGAACATGCTGCCTCTGCCACTTCCCACTACGCCCAGCTGGGTTTAGCAGCACATGATCACGGCTTTACACGTACGTACCAATGGTACCTGATCTCACCAGCACAGCCTTACGCCCTCAATCAGAACCCGATGGGCAAGTCTATGCTCCTTCGCAATCTCCTTCGTTAAAGTATTCCATTTCAAGCGCAGTTGCTCTACATCACTGCGTGCGACCACCTCTCACAGCCAGGGCGAAAATTCACACCATCCAATATAGCCAAGTTGATTGTATTGCCCGGAATAATAATCGCACAAACTGCGTATACATGTATAACACCACCCCATAAGGACACCAGGCCCTATGGCGCCAGCACAGCCCCTGCAACAAGCAAGCATACTCCCAGTACTCGTTACTACGGGCCGAAACACCAGGCGCACCCGTCCGTCTTTGTTCCAGCTTAATCGCATACAACAAACCTGATATATCTATATCCTGAATCAACACTTATTACCACCTAACCTTCCCTTTCAGGCATCTTCAACTTCAGCTTCCCTCTATTGATCATCATCTCGAAACATTCTCTCAGATCTAATACTAGCGCATCTGGTGCCTCGAAGCCTGGCAACATTGCAGGGCGGCCGGCATGGCGCTTCACCCAGGATATGTCCCAGGAACGTGCACCCCACATTAGCGGTGTTGCGGTGCTGCTGTTAGGATGGTGGAAGGTGGAGATGCCAAGGGGAGTGGATGTGAAGGGTCGGTAAGAGGGGGATTGCATGTCGATGTGCGCGCGGCGGAGCCAGCGGAGGGCCTATTCGTCGTCAGACGTCAGCGGTGAGGAACTTCAGACGAAGAGTTCAAGGGTAAACCAAGATGGACCTCAGCAGATCTTCAAGTGGCAAAGAGTACGTCACGAACAGCGGCGAGTACCTCCCATTCTCCTCATAACAAGCGCGTCAAGTATATGAAAAGGGTAACGTACCGCTTCAGGCCCTGGTAACCATTGCAACATTGTAAAGTTCAGCACCTCCGTAGGACTCCATGTATAACTCCTCCCATCGCTGTCCACTCTATCTGGGCTCGTCGCACCTCCAGGTTGTGCCGTAGATGTCGAAGGCACATCCTCCTCTTCCTCTTGCTCTTCCTCGCCTCGCTGCATCT